ATTTTATATATATATATATATATATCTATCACAAAGCAGACCTGTAACCAAAGCACATATAAATTAAAACGTTAGTTCTAAAAAGATATATTTAAAGTAATTTTGTGGTGTTCAAAAAGAAACACAAATAGATCCAAACAGATATAGGTGTTATTAAAGACGATATCTTAAAAATAAATTTAATTTTGCTTTAAAAAATAAAAATCACCCCACCAAATTATTTTGATCTGGTTCTTTAATTCAGGGACATTTGGTTAGTTTTTTTTTTAATTTTCTACATTTGATTAGCCAAATTAGTTGAGTAATTCTGAAGCAAAATAATGGACTATTACGGAATCTCTCAATACTGGTTTTATTTTCTAACAGTAATTTGGAAAAACCTGCTTTTGTTATCAAGTCTTAAGCATTTCTAAATTCTTGACATTGCTTGAAGGGAGGATCTTCCAAAAGCTTGTTTTTACAAAAATACTGCTAGCCCACCAAAAAATGCATTCTTTGTATAACGTTTTTTAAATAGTGAAATCCACTTTGTATTGTAAAATCAAATTGATTTTTTTTTTTCTTATTTTTTTTTTTTAAATGAAGCATAAGCCATTTAACATATCATACTTGGCGCATGTCTAAATTATATAAATGTATGTGTTCTTTTTTTTTTATATATAAATTGTGACAGGAAATTACATTATTATTATTTTATTCATAAAGCAACTACATCATTTTACTGTGCAATTATTAAACGAATTAGCTGAATAAAAATGGTAAAATTAGTTATAATTAGCCTGGTTAGTATAAAGAGGATAAAAAAAGACAGGTCGTATTAATTTAAAATTTTTTTTTAAATCAAATATTTTTAAGGAGAGAAAGAGCAATGTGGTGGAAATCAGATTTGTATCTATATATCTGTTTTATATTTAATATATCTGATGCAGTCTTAGGGTTCGAACATTGTCACATATTTCAATGTCATTAACATTTCAATATATCGCCAGCAATCGGTCTTTTGTAGTTTGTATAGAATTAAATTTTCCTTTTGTGGCTCAAATGTAAATATCCGAACATAAAAGTCTCAATCAACTACAATTCAGCAGCTTACCCCAGGGGCACACGAGGCAATGCATATTTCGCATAATGCACAGAATGCAATTTATCTCAAATAAAAGATATAATTTACCCCTGATTGAGATATCCCCCCCCCCACCTGAGCTTTATACAAATTCATCACATAATCTATCTGTCCTTTGTATTAAGCACTTAGTTCCTTTCTCCGTGGCATAGTAAATGTATTCGTTTTGTAATATCTTTCTAAATTATTTCGCATTATTTCGCAAACAAAAGACTAATGTCCGCAGTTATAAACAATACACAATAAAATCATTTTTAAATTGTTTTTTAAATTATTTCTGCTCTTCCATGCGCAGTCTATACGCTCTATATAGCATGAAGCCCACAACTATTTATTCTGTAATATTTATTATCATTAATTAATAACTGAAAATCACAGAACTATACATCGTGCTATGTTATAACGTCAGAACAAATCATTTCCAACAGATTATACACGTCCGTTAGATTGTTTATATTATAATTTATCTTTTATGTAGTGAAAATGTGTTTAAAAAAACCAAAATGGATACAATAAAGGTTGCCATAGGTACATATTTTTTTCTGTTCAAATAATAATATATCATTTTAATTAATTACTATTACTATACCACATTTTAAACCAAATAAATATTTTAAAGTACATATAGTACAATTAATTATTAGCATTGTTTGTAAATTACAGTTGAATTCTAAAGTTGTTACAATTTACTGTTGCAAATCAAAATAAATATATTGTTTTTTAAATAGCTGATAAACAACACTTTAAATTATCTATTTTAAGATATATATATATGTCTATAATAAAATGTGTCAATATCCGTTATAGTAAGCTTGACTTGGTGTGTGAGCAGTGAGATAAAATCTTCTGGTTGCTGTTTATTGACTAGTGACCCCTGTATTTCACACTAAGTATTTTTAAACTCTAATAATTGCCACCTGTCTCCTATAGAATCCCAAGCCTTTCCAAAGCTGTATTTAAAGTCCCGCAAATAGAATTTTATAGGCTAAAGAGCAGACAAGAGTTATAAGGAGCAAACAGATTATTTATTTTATATTCTGAATCATATCATCTTTAGTTAACTTTTACATTTGTTTCTGAACAAACCATATACGCTAACCGCTAAATTTATTAGGACATTCCAAGTATTTCATCGAATGCAGTTGTTGACACAGAGCATCATTCCTTTGTATGGATTGTAATAGTATTTTAATTAATCTCTGCAAGATTTATTTTGGACGCACAGCAAAGTTCATAATCAACAAAATATGTATCTTGCGGCTTTCTCTGTTAGTCCTCTGTGCAAAAATGTTGTCATTTAAACGATTATTTAAGATTGGAATTCACAAGTATTTCTCTTATATTTACTCCTTAGTGATGCCTCAGTGCCCCAGCTCAATGGCGTTATTGTTTAAAAAAGTTACCACTATAAAGTAGGGATTAGGGTTCATTATAATTAATTATAATTGAGTAAGTATTAGCGTAGAGTGGCTGTGCTCGATGACGTTAATTCGTTGGCATTGTCGATGACTAATACAGACATGAAGGGTAAAAACGTGAAAACTTTAACGAAGTCAATAATTAGTCTGTGCGACATCAAAGTGATATGGCGGAGAATACACCCAATGCCTTTATACCCAATTCTTTATTAGATTGCCCATAATTCCGAATTAGTAGCTTTTTAAAGAGTTGTAGGTCGTTGTCATAGATTATTCGGTTTAGTATATGTTTATTCAGAGTGTGATATTACACATTTGAGTTCATATATGTCAAATATAGGAGATTTTTAATTCCTCTTGTAAAGGTTAGTTGGGGGGCATCTCATTCATGAGCAGAGCACCTAACATGTACCTGAGATTAGTACAAATATGGAAACATTCTTTGAGATTTATTTGGCAAATTAAAGATTCTGATCAATTCTTAAATTACATAAAAGAAAACGCAGAAACATTCTACTACACCTCGGCATTTCCGTACTGCTCGTATACTGTGTGATAGCTTAGTTAGTTAATGCACAAACTGTAAAATTTGATCGGAATGCCAGATTCAGTTCAAGACGTTAATCCTTCTGATGTCAATACAAAGAACTCGTTAATAGTAATATATATTAAACCTCTACGATCTGGGCTTGTACGTGTGAGATACATAGATATTACTTTAACAGGCAGATGATGTGACATCACATAGTGCAATAAAAACCGGCCAGTATAGTCTGACTGACACTATGCCATGCAGGGGACCCTAATCTCAAGACAAAAAGAGTACATTCGTCCCACAATAGTGGGGAGCCCCATTAACCAGCTGCTGCCATTAACACAACCCATCTCCCGTCATTGATATGACAAGTAAGGGGCTTCGGAATGAGACACAGTGGGAGCCCCATCCCAGCCCCTCTCATGGTATATCATTAATGGGAGAGGGGTGAGTTAAATTTGTATATTATATATATATACACACAAGAAATAAAGACACTTTGTGTAGAACCATATTTTATTTGGGACAAGTAAATAGTGATCAACATATGAGCTTTGACCAGGACTTTGTTGATCTTTTTCTGTCCTATCACATCACGTTATATGACTCCATTTATGCACCTTAAGCAGCGCTGCGGAATGTGTTAGCGCTATATAATGATAATAACAAGAGATTGGTTATTAGTATTTCAGTTAAGCTCAATAAGTAAGAAAAAGGCTTAATCTTTCTGAAGAATTGTGGCTCACTCAAACCTAGAAATTGACCTAGGAAGGACTGAGACCTCAGAGTGAAACGTGGGCGTCAGATAGTGCAGCCACACCGCGTGGCACTACTGTATAATAGCTGGCAAGCTCCTAGGAACACGCTGTAATTGAGTTAACCAATTCTACCTTCATTTGGAATCACTATTATTTTACTTAATCCCCGCTTATATGTTTCTAGGACATTTAGGAGGTAAAGGTCCAGCATTGTCTCGTTATGGCTGTGATAAAGATGGAAAATACCTTCCTATTAAACGACCATCCATTGTGTAAACCAAATTTAAACAGATTCCTAGTTGAGCATTTATCCACTTACTTGGAAACCAGAGAATATCTGAATCTATCTTTCCTGTTTAAACACTTTGTTATTATTATAATCGTTTAGCAAGTGCCTTAAAACCCATCTCTTTAGGAAAGTTTATGGCCTCCCAGAGTAACCTCTACCTCACATACCTGTCTCTTGCTCTCTCCTAAAGGGCAGCGCTTTATGCTCTCCCCCAGCTCTGCTTCACTCCCACCTTGTTTGCTTGCTGCCTCCTGTCCTGTTGTGTTTTATACCCCACCTCCTATAGACTGTAAGCTCGTTTGAGCAGGGTCCTCTTCAACCTATCGTTCCTGTAAGTTTTCATGTAATTGTCCTGTTTATAGTTAAATCCCCCCTCTAATAATATTGTAAAGCGTTACAGAATCTGTTGGCGCTATATAAATGGTAATAATAATAATAATTATAAATGTGGTTGTCCACAGCTCTCTATATGGAAAAGCAGAACGTGCTGCAAGCAGTGTTTACAAGTGCACTATGGGATTGCGCATGGTGCATTGTGGGTGGGAACATATGCACACTATATATAAAGAATAGATTATTAAATAGTGCAGCAGGAGATATATATAAAATACCCCCGTATCCATATACAATGTCTGCACACCATTTACTGTTACATGTTAGTATTTAAACAATGAATCAGGACCCCTGACAGCAATACAGTGTTTATGGTTTAGTATAGAATGTATATAATGTATGTTAATAATTAGAATAATAATATTATTAAACTGCAGACCACATTTTATATTGATGAAGACTAGTGATGTCCCGAACGGTTCGCCGAACGGTTCGCCGCGGACTCATCATTGAGTAAACTTTGACGCTGTACCTCACAGTCAGCAGACACATTCCAGCCAATCAGCAGCAGACCCTCCCTCCCAGACCCTCCCACCTCCTGGACAGCATCCATTTTACATTCATTGTGAAGCTGCATTCTTAGTGAGCTGTCCAGGAGGTGGGAGGGTCTGGGAGGGAGGGTCTGCTGCTGATTGGCTGGAATGTGCCTGCTGACTGTGAGGTACAGGGTCAACGTTTACTCAATGATGAGTCCGCGGTGAACCTTTCGTGGACATCACTAATGCAGACCCCTTTATATATTTTATTATTAATAAAATGCAGACCCCTTTATATATTAATGCAGACGCTTTATATAACGTATTATTATTAATAAAATGCAGGCCATGTTTTATATTGATGCAGACCGCTTTATATAAAGTATTATTAGAATGCAGACCCCTACTGAACGGAGTCCGGACAGTTTCCCACCCCAACGCCCATGATCAGATCAACCCCTGGGTACACAGTGACAATTGGTGCACTCAAAAACCATAGCTGCGACGCTAGAAATTACCAGGGACCTGCGTGTCGGGCAATATTGTGGGCCTGCGAGCCCGAGAACGTTCCCACATGTCATGCTAACTACACTAATGAATGGTGCTCATACTGTTGTAGACTGTGATATGTCTCTTGGGACCTGCGAGTCCTATTTTTTCTTGACTTTGATAACACAAATAAAACAAATTTACAAAAAAAAAAAAGAATGCAGACCCCTTTATACAATGTATTATTATTAATAAAATGCAGACCCCTTTATATAAAGTATTATTAGATTGCAGACCCCTTTATATATTGATGCAGACCCCTTTATATAAAGTATTATTAGAATGCAGACCCCTTTATACAATGTATTATTATTAATAAAATGCAGACCCCTGTATATAAAGTATTATTAGAATGCAGACCCCTTTACATATTGATGCAGACCCCTTTATATATTGATGCAGACCCCTTTATATAAAGTATTATTAGAATGCAGACCCCTTTATATAAAGTATTATTAGATTGCAGACCCCTTTATATATTGCTGCAGACCCCTTTATATAAAGTATTATTAGATTGCAGACCCCTTTATATATTGATGCAGACCCCTTTATATAAAGTATTATTAGATTGCAGACCCCTTTATATATTGATGCAGACCCCTTTATATATTGCTGCAGACCCCTTTATATAAAGTATTATTAGATTGCAGACCCCTTTATATATTGCTGCAGACCCCTTTATATAAAGTATTATTAGATTGCAGACCCCTTTATATATTGCTGCAGACCCCTTTATATAAAGTATTATTAGAATGCAGACCCCTTTACATATTAATGCAGACCCCTTTATATATTGCTGCAGACCCCTTTATATAAAGTATTATTAGATTGCAGACCCCTTTATATATTGCTGCAGACCCCTTTATATAAAGTATTATTAGAATGCAGACCCCTTTATATAAAGTATTATTAGATTGCAGACCCCTTTATATATTGATGCAGACCCCTTTATATATTGCTGCAGACCCCTTTATATAAAGTATTATTAGAATGCAGACCCCTTTATATATTGCTGCAGACCCCTTTATATAAAGTATTATTAGAATGCAGACCCCTTTATATAAAGTATTATTAATATATAATAATGCCCCCCAGGCTGTCCTGGATACAATAATAATAACAATGTATCAATGAGGGTAATCTGACTGCAGCTCATGGCTGACATCTAGTGGCCGGAAATTAAACTGCCTTTGCTGTCCCCAGTGTTGGCTAATAAAGTTCTGACTGTTATAAAAAGCAAGCATCATTTCCCGGCATGCCCCTCTCTCCCAGCTGCAGTTATACGTTGGCCTAGCCTGTCACCTGCATGTGGCCGCCTGGTCATGTGATCCAGATCCATCCATTGCATGCCGGGACTTGTAGTTCGCAGCAGCAGTGTGTTCTACAGGCAGCCATTGAAACCAGCATCAGGAAGAACTACATTTCCCAGCAAGCACCGGAGTGGAAGGGTATTCCAGGCCAGTTCCTGGTGCAGGGCTGCAAGGGCAGTAGGATGCAGTGAGCAGTGTAAGCGGTGAGTACCATGGCTGGGAGGGTAGGTGGCTGTCACCATGTTATTCATGGAGTATTAGTGTCAGATCCACCATGTATTCATAGACACAGATCCCTGGATACTGGAGGGCAATAACTGATCAATAATCAATAAAACCAATAACCAGTGAGGGCAGGGCATGAAATGTGATCCCAATAACAGATCAATAATCAATAAAACCAATAACCAGTGAGGGCAGGGCATGGAATGTGATCCCAATAACTGATCAATAATCAATAAAACCAATAACCAGTGAGGGCAGGGCATGAAAAGTGCTCCCAATAACAGAGCAATAACCAGTGAGGGCAGGGCATGGAATGTGATCCCAATAACTGATCAATAATCAATAAAACCAATAACCAGTGAGGGCAGGGCATGGAATGTGATCCCAATAACTGATCAATAATCAATAAAACCAATAACCAGTGAGGGCAGGGCATGAAAAGTGCTCCCAATAACAGAGCAATAACCAGTGAGGGCAGGGCATGGAATGTGATCCCAATAACTGATCAATAATCAATAAAACCAATAACCAGTGAGGGCAGGGCATGGAATGTGATCCCAATAACTGATCAATAATCAATAAAACCAATAACCAGTGAGGGCAGGGCATGAAAAGTGCTCCCAATAACAGAGCAATAACCAGTGAGGGCAGGGCATGAAAAGTGCTCCCAATAACAGAGCAATAACCAGTGAGGGCAGGGCATGAAAAGTGTTCCCAATAACAGAGCAATAACCAGTGAGGGCAGGGTATGAAAAGTGCTCCCAATAACAGAGCAATAACCAGTGAGGGCAGGGCATGAAAAGTGTTCCCAATAACAGAGCAATAACCAGTGAGGGCAGGGTATGAAAAGTGCTCCCAATAACAGAGCAATAACCAGTGAGGGCAGGGCATGAAAAGTGCTCCCAATAACAGAGCAATAACCAGTGAGGGCAGGGTATGAAAAGTGCTCCCAATAACAGAGCAATAACCAGTGAGGGCAGGGCATGAAAAGTGCTCCCAATAACAGAGCAATAGCCAGTGAGGGCAGGGTATGAAAAGTGCTCCCAATAACAGAGCAATAACCAGTGAGGGCAGGGTATAAAAAGTGCTCCCAATAACAAATCAATAACCTGTGAGGGCAGGGCATGAAATGTGCTCCCAATAGCAGATCAATTCTCAAACCAATAACCAGTAAGGCCAGGACATGAAAAGTGCTCCCAATAACAGATCAATATTCAAACCAATAACCAGTGAGAGCAGGGCATGAAAGGTGCTCCCAATAACAGATTAATAACCAGTTAGGGCAGGGCATGAAAAGTGCTCCCAATAACAGATCAATAACCTGTGAGGGCAGGGCATGAAAAGTGCTCCCAATAACAGAGCAATAACCAGTGAGGGCAGGGCATGAAAAGTGCTTCCAATAACATAAATAATCAATCAAACTAATAATCAATGAGGGCAGGACATGGAAAGTGCTTACAATAACCTATCAATAATTAATTAAACCAACCAATGAGGGCAGCTCCACTGGGATCGCTGCTAATTTAGTTAAAGGGATACTATAGTCTCCAAAGCAACTTTAGCTTAAAGGACCACTCTAGGCACCCAGACCACTTCAGCTTAATGAAGTGGTCTGGGTGCCAGGTCCAGCTAGGGTTAACCCTTTTTTTCATAAACATAAGTTTCAGAGAAACTGCTATGTTTATGAATAGGTTAAGCCTTCCCCTATTTCCTCTAGTAGCTGTCTCATTGACAGCCACTAGAGGCGCTTGCGTGCTTCTCACTGTGATTTTCACAGTGAGAGCACGCCAGCGTCCATAGGAAAGCATTATGAATGCTTTCCTATGTGACCGGCTGAATGCGTGCACAGCTCTTGCCGCGCGTGCGCATACAGCCGACGGGAGGAGAAGAGGAGGATCGGAGGAGGAGAGCTCTCCGCCCAGCGGTGGAAAAAGGTAAGTTTTACCCCTTTCCAGAGCCGGGCGGGAGGGGGTCCCTGAGGGTGGGGGCACCCTCAGGGCACTATAGTGCCAGGAAAACGAGTATGTTTTCCTGGCACTATAGTGGTCCTTTAATGAAGCAGTTTTGGTGTATCGAACATGCACCTGCAGTCTCACTGCTCAATTCTCTGCCATTTAGGAGTTAAATCACTTTGTTTATGAATCCTAGTCACACCTCCCTGCATGTGACTTACACAGCCTTCCTAAACACTTCCTGTAAAGAGTCATCTAAAGTTTATCCTTCCTTTATTAGATTTGCTTATCCCCTGCTATGTTAATAGCTTGCTAGACCCTGCAAGAGCCTCCTGTATGTGATTAAAATTCAATTTAGAGAGAAAGCGCTACAATTGTTTAAGGTAAATTACATCTGATTGAAAGTGAAACCATTTTTTTTTTTTTTCATGCAGGCTGTGTCAATCAGAGTCAGGGGAGATGTAACAAGGGCTTCGTAAACAGAAACAAAGTGATTTAACTCCTAAATGGCAGTGAATTGAGCAGTAGAACCTGAGAGGCAAGATCTATACACCAAAACTGCTTCATAAAGCTAAAGTTGTTTAGGTGACTATAGTGTCCCTTTAATTTCCTGTTTGCCCTATGTGTCTCTGTCATACTGCAGGTCAGCATCCTTCACTCACCGCCCACCCCCAAGTCTGCGTCAAGGACAGCAGGCTTGGTTTAATAATCCTGGGACGTCAAAACAGCATTAGTATTAACTAGTATTAGTATTAACTAAATTAGCGCTGTGCATGCTGGGACTTGTAGTTCAGAACAGCGCTGTCATACAGGCAGCCACAGAAAGGACTACATTTCCTAGCAAGCATTGGGGCAGTGATTATCTCAAGTAGTAAAGAGAGTCTCTAAATAAGCAGACTGTTTGAAGAGTACAGCCATGAGCCAGTGTTTAATATGACCAAAGAGGAGCCCAAGGGGGAGCATTGTAAAGTGACCAATAACCCTGTTGATGTTTGTGTAAACGTGATATATGGGCTGTGTTTTATAATGGATGCAGCCATGTGTTCTATCTCTCTGTATCTCCGTTATACCCTTGTACAATCGCAGTATGACCATCTTTCACTCCCCACGAACTACCTGCAGATTGAGAACTCCGCTTTCTAAGGATATCAGTGAGCCATACTTTATAAGAAATGTAAAATATAAACACTGCCCTATAAAGGAACTCTCTCTTAATGTTAGAGTAGTTACTGTTTTATTTTCCATTTAGAACCCCTGTTAATCTACCCGTTTAATTGAGCACACAGACTATGCCTCCCCCTCATTTATTGTAGACCTATGGTGAATGACCGGTATCCTTACAGAGGAAGCAGCTCTCGTGAACGCCGGTCTGACCATTACTAGAGGAATGTTTCCAACCGTTTCCCAGAAATGCCATGGTTTTAGATTGTCCAGGAAAATGAAGCCCTTCTATGTAGCAAAACGACTATATTAAAACAAGTCTGTTGCTTTTTATTATTTTAGAAAGATATCTAAATGCTTTATGTAGTCAGATACTCATTGTGTTGGAATTTCATTAAGATTCCAACACAATCCAAAGATACCATAAGACAATGTACGGACCACTTTGTTTTATGGTAAATCTGAGGTTGACAGGATGCAGAATTTCACTGTCAACTTTTGTCCAATTTCGCAGCCATCACTAGCGACGGTTGTGGGATTCACTCATGGTCTTGCTCTCTGCGAGACGTCCGCTGTGGAGGCTCTCGCAGTGCTCTCGCGATTTCAGGGAGCACCGTACTGACATGGCTCCTGGCAGATGAAGCTCCAGCAGCCATAGAAGACCTCAAGAAAGAAGATGGCAGCAGCTTTGAAGAACAACGTTAGGTAAGTAAACCTAACCTTAACGGCAACCCTCGGCCCACTGACCATCACCGGAGATGTCACCTTTGGGGGTCTTTGCAAAATATGAAAAGACCCCTTGACGGGGTTAAGATGTTCAGGGTATGGTTCTTAGAGAGGCTCTCCTACAGTTAGAGTTTCACAGTGAGTTCTGCCCACACAAGGACAGTGCTCTGCCAATCAGGAGCCTCTCAATCTGTTCAGTGATTTCTGCACTTAGCAGGGGTTTTGGGAGATATACTGAACCACTTAACAGTAGTTCCATTCCTCACATAGCCTGTTATAAAATAAAACATTGATACCATTCTTTAGCTGTCTTCCTGTTTTTGTTTTGTTTTGTTTTTATTTAGTACCATTCACCATTTCGATGCTGTCACTGAGCTTTCTCCAGAGTCGTACGAGATTGGTGTGCAAGTCCATTGCCGTGCAGTATTCCCGATTCCATGCAAACATGGACAAGCCGGTGGAAATTTCAATCAGAACAAAACTGACTCAAGGCCTTGGACCTTGTCACCTAGAGGTCCATAACGAGAGCCACATGCATGCAGTACCCAAAGGGTCAGAAACACACTTTAAGGTGGTAGTAGTGTCTGAGACCTTCAATGGAAAGTCTCTGATTCAGAGACATAGACTTGTGAATGACCTTCTGAAGGACGAGTTAGCTGGGCCTGTACATGCGCTGTCCATCCAGGCTAAGACTCCTCAACAATGGGAAGAGAATCCAACCGTTGGACAAAGCCCTGCTTGCATGGGCGGCTCGAAACATGACCCTGAGATGAGCAAGAAGGTCAATAGTCTGGTGTAGACCAGAACCTGATAAGTTGTGGCGCAAGGCTCCGTGTTCTTGGTTTGTAATCGCTGTCTAAGAATGTGACTGGTGAAAATATATACTTAACGCTCTCTCTCTGAATACTGTGTTTTTTTTTTTTTTTTATTGGAAAACCTCAAATTCCATTATTAAGAAATATGTTGAACTGATCTGTTAAAATAAGGCTGGGTCTTAGATCACTTACCATCACAGACTGACTGTCATACACGACCTGTAATAAATACCGCAAGCTGACCGGCATGTTTAGCCTGAAATAAATACCGCACGTTGACCTTCATACCCGACCTGTAATAAATACCGCACGTTGACCTTCATACCTGACCTGTAATAAATACCGCACGCTGACCGCCATGTTTAGCCTGAAATAAATTTAGGCAATCCACAAAACTGAGGACAGAACTCGGCATGTGCTTAAATAGGGAGAGGGAATGGGAGCCTTCCCACAAGGAGGGGTCTCTGTGCCTATATAACTGGAAGGCCCCCTATGTGGGTGGAACACTGTCTGTTCATTTAATTTGCATTTCTCAATGCTGCTCCCATGTTTGCTGAGCTGGAACCCCCAGAGCTCTGTGCCCTGAGGAGATCCTGGAGCAGTATGGGGGACACACAACACACATGCCCACCGGAGGGGAGGGAGGCCTAAGGGCAGACAAAACGTGCAGCGAGACACAGAATGCTGCGGTATCGGCTGGCAGGAGTGCTTGGTGCGTCTCCCAGGATGCCGAAGTCCATGTGGCGCACCAGCCTCTCCCAGTGCGCCGAGACCGTGAGATCCTCAATAGCTTCACAATCTGCCATTAGCAGCATGGTTCCCATAGGCATCTCTTGCAACTTCTGGGAGTACTGACAAATCCTCATAGTGGAAGCTCCATGTTTTGTCACCCTCAGGCTGTCCCAGAACACAAAGTAATTCCTATTGTAGCATAGAGCTCTTTACTGTGTTGGGATTTCAATGACATTCAATATATTTTGTAAAGATTGTATCTGTTTGTGTGTGTAGCTAATGATAGTCGCTTTAACGAGACCGTACTGTTCCACCTAAAATTCACTTTGTGAAAGAGAAGATGGAATATGTAAGGAAAACATAAAACACACATCCATGTTTCCTTTTATTACATCCTCCGATAGCTCTGATCTGGGTGAACAACGTATCCAAAAATCACCCAGATCAGTTCAGCGGTTCAGTTATTTCCTGAAAGTCGTAGTTTTTGCCGACCGCATGCATGGTCCCATGCCCAAAACAGTTCCATAGAATCGCGGCTAATTGCCGCTGGGGACCTACCGGGAACCGCAAAGTTTTCATGCTGAAAATAGTTCCAGGGCATTCGCGGCTAAGTCCCCCTGAAGTCTATTTGCGGTTTTGGTCCACACGAACGGCCGCCAGTGAGCTAGCGTTTCGGTTCTATGGAAAGTGCCGAACCAGGTGGAATAAAATATGGGTCTTTACAGTCGCTGACCTGGCCCATAGTCTTTTGGCAGGAGGCTGGCAAGCAAGCCCCTCCATATGTGTGTGTATATATATATATATAATATAGATAGATATCTACATACATACACACACGATGTATAAATATACAGTGTGTGTGTGTATAAATATAATATAAATGTTTGGAAGTATTGTGTGTGGTGCAGTGTGTTGGGGTTCTATGTGTATGTGTGAGGGGTGCAGTGGGGGGTGTAGTGTGTGTATATGAAGGATGCAGTATGTGTGTGTGATGGATGCTGTGTTTGAGGGGTGATGTGTGTGAGGATGCTGTTTGTGATGGGTGTGAGGGAGCTATGTGTGTGAGGGTGCTGTGTGTGATGTGTTTAAGGGTGCAGTGTGTGTGATTTGTGTGTGAGGGTAGGGTGCTGTGTGTGACTTTTGTGTGAGGGTGCTGTGTGTGACTTTTGTGTGAGGGTGCTGAGTTTGATGTGTGTGAGGGTGCTGAGTGTGATGTGTGTGAGAGTACGGAGTGTGTGTGAGGGTGATGTGTGTGCTGAGTGTGATGTATGTGAGAGTACTGAGTGTGATGTGTGTGAGAGTACGGATCTCGCGAGAGGAACCCGGCAGAGCTGCAAGCTAGAGCTCCGCCGGGTCCTCCTCTTCCTCCCCAGCCGCAGGTCTATGAAAGTGGGCTGGTGAGGGAGATCTTTGATCTCCCCATCGGCCCTCCGTGAAATACAGCGGGGCCGGCGCTCGGATAGTGCCGGCCCTGCATAGACCGACAGGGGAGATCCTGGGACCTCCCCTGCTGGCCGCGGCCCACCGGGCATTTGCCCGGTGTGCCCGATGGCCAGTCCGGGCCTGCATGGGTAGTATCGCTGTACTCAGGAGATGTTGCTGAACCCATATTGGGGTGTTCTTTGGCAATAATCTTTAAAGTTCTCAGTACATGTATTATTAAATTGCTATGTGTGTCAAAAAAACACCAATTATTTTATTTTTAAAAAATTTGGCATAGATTACTGGTAAAATGGTTGCATGAAGAGTCAAAACACCCCACGTTTAATACCTTAGGTTGTCTTATTTTAAAAAATAGATACGTGTGAAGGGTTATTCAGGGATTCCTGACAGATATCAGTGTTACAATATAACTTGCGTTAATTTTGAAAACAAAAAATGGTTTGGAAATAGCAAAGTGCTACTTGTTCTTATAACTTGCAAAATAAAGCTAAGGACATGTTAAGTTTCTAAACTCAGGACAAAAGTGTTTTTTTTTTACATTTGTTCATCATATGTTAGAAAAATATTTTTTGTAAATTATATGATATGATGAAAATAATGGTATCTTTAGAAAGACTATTTAATGGCGAGACAAACGGTATATAATATTTGCGGGTACAGTAAATTAGTAAGAGGAAAAATATAGCTAAACACAAACACCGCAGAAATGTAAAAACAGCCCTGGTCCTTAACGGTAAGAAAATTGAAAAACGGTCTGGTCAGTAAGGGGTTGAATATAATTTTTTCATTAGGAGTATATGTAAAACAGGACGCAATAGCCTGCAACCTTTGCAAGCCCTCCTCTTCTAACCCCGCCCAGACTTGCTGTGTCTGTCCAATCACAGACTTCCTAATGCAGCTCAATGAGAATTCTTTGCAAGCCAGGTGTTCTGGGCAATTTCTGCCTCTTGAGTTTAGCTCCACTGAGCTAAACAAACCAGGAAGTAACAGGACCAGCTGTCTGATTGATAGCCAGGGAGGAGTAACTAGGTTAATTTATAAAAGAGCCAATTTCTATAGAAATTTGCACTATTTGAAAAATGAGTTAGATGGACACACTCCTAGCTAGTAAATGAATCCCTGCGCTGGATCATTTAATGCAATTCACAAAAGTGTGAATCATTGGGAATTAAAATCATTTTAGTAAATGAATCCCTGCGCTGGATCATTTAATGCAATTCACAAAAGTGTGAATCATTGGGAATTAAAATCATTTTAACTTAATAGCTGGACTGAACACAAAGCTGACCTGGAAAATTTCCCCAACGTTCGTGACAGTTCACATCTTTGTGAATAACCCTGATAATGTTTGACATTCATAATATGCCGTCAAAGATGTATTTCCCAATTCTTCAGATTACTTTGACTCACCCTTTATATGAGCATGCCCTGCTCTGTTGTTAAATCCACCACGTAACCCATGCCAGGGGTTACCAACAGTTTGGTCCCTTGCTGTTTTGGAACTACATATTCCATGATACTTTGACAGTCTTTAGTCTACGCTAGTCTAAGACCACTGAGAGGAGTGCAGCTCACTGCCCAAGGCATTGTTCCAAGATACTATACACCCCCAGTCCACACCCCAAAATAGGAAGTTGTGTGTTTATATATCACACATTTCACATAGCCAAAGAGGGACATTTATGCAACTAAAATATAATTTAGAACAAGAACAATGTATCCTATTTACACAGACTGATTTCTAAACACATTTATTGCAGTTTAAAGACACATTACTGGGAGTATTATTGCTGTGGAGCTCTGTTATACACTCAGACACATTACTGGGAGTATTATTGCTGTGGAGCTCTGTTATACACTCAGACACATTACTGGGAGTATTATTGCTGTGGAGCTCTGTTATACACTCAGACACATTACTGGGAGTATTATTGCTGTGGAGCTCTGTTATACACTCAGACACATTACTGGGAGTATTATTGCTGTGGAGCTCTGTTATACCCTCAGACACATTACTGGGAGTATTATTGCTGTGGGGCTCTGTTATACACTCAGACACATTACTGGGAGTATTATTGCTGTGGAGCTCTGTTATACACTCAGACACATTACTGGGAGTATTATTGCTGTGGAGCTCTGTTATACACTCAGACACATTACTGGGAGTATTATTGCTGTGGAGCTCTGTTATACACTCAGACACACTACTGGGAGTATTATTGCTGTGGAGCTCTGTTATACACTCAGACACATTACTGGGAGTATTATTGCTGTGGAGCTCTGTTATACACTCAGACACATTACTGGGAGTATTATTGCTGTGGAGCTCTGTTATACACTCAGACACATTACTGGGAGTATTATTGCTGTGGAGCTCTGTTATACACTGAGAGGTTTGTTAAATAGTTTAATACACCCTTTGCTAGTTGCGATATTTCACCTCACGGTGGAGAGACCAATCCATGCCTTGAAAACACCTAAAATAAAACAAAGGAAGTGACAAACCATTTTCCACGTGTGTACATTTATTTTGTTAATTTTGCTCACGTTGGATATGATCATTGCACAATGGAGGTTACCAAGTTTCAGGAAAATGAGGAATTTTACACAAACCTTCCACAGCACCGTATCAGCAAGACAATAAAATTCCTCCCGTAGAGCTATTAACTCTATTTTTTAAAATATTTTTATAGATAAAATGTATCATTTTCAAGACAACTGTATTTTTTTTTTTTTTAAAACCTCTGTTCTTTACAGACATCTAGAACTACACCACGGTACGGTTTGCAAACAGACAGTACTACGTTTTGTGAAGACCAGCTACAACAAAGAATGATTAAAGGACAAGAAGATAGTTAACAGAGATTGAGAGATATGTTGTTGGAGGAATTACCCTGTACCAGCTTTCCGATCAAAAACGTGACTTGTTCTTAGATACAATTAATATTCTCCAGGTATTTTGGCCTACATTTTGCCCATTCCCCCATAAGTGAGATTCGTTCTGGGTTTTCCTGAGCTTTAAGCATTTCTCACTTAGATTTTCGGACATCCTAAAATATGTGTTTGTTTGGTTAGACAGCTACTTTCTATTCTAGTCCCTGACCATTAATTCCATGATTTCCGTGTAATGGTCAGACAAACATTTTTTTTTATATTTCATGCAGAATCCTCAACCACAGAAATTATATATATTGTGGTTTTATTTACCAAACTGAGAATCGTGTTAACCTGGATTGGAAATTTTAGTCTAAAATAGTTGAGGTGGAAAAGCAAAAAGACCTGAATAATTTTTTCCAACTGATGTGTCTACTTCTGAGAAAATGATAAGAACGATCTCCGAAGAAGACACACAAGTCCTTCCGAGACCATAAAATGAATAATTTCCTTAATAAGGAGACTGGTTCAGTTTTATTTAGTCTACCACCATGAAACTTTAAGAGATCGAATGTGATCTGTTTGGTCTATTACTGTCTATGTTGCATGTTAAATCACCTGTTGATGTATTGAAACGTCGGACTGCGTATACAGGTAATCCTCCAGCCATCGTACCCCCTTCATCTCCTTGAGGATGGGACTACAAATACAGTTACAGCTATTGCATCATCAGTTTTTGAATAACAAATTGATACGGCAGAAAGACAAAATTAAAAATAAAGTATAAAAATATTTGGCAATAAATAAGTGACGTACACACAGCGCACAAACTGATTGTCACAATGTTGTTCATGACAAGCTGATTCTTGACAATTCTGTAGATCCATGATTCTGTTTGTTTTTACGTTTAGTCACTTGTTTTTGTCCTTTTTGAATGAGAAGTTCATTATTTTAACGTATTTTTTTTTTCTCAATTTGTCACATCCAACGAGATCTTCTCAGCATTCACACCATCCTTGGTGACGTAAACGCAGCAAATAAAGAGATATCGGGCCATTGTCTTATTATTTGAAACCACAACATCCCACTCTGAAGTTGCAAATTGATCTACGCAGCTTATATTTACAGAACTAGGAATAAAGAATATGGAATGAACAGAAGACGATTTTCTTTGTACAAGCATTGGACGTTTCTACAACGCATTGAAAAGTACTTATCTCTGAGATCCAGAGTTGTAACAATATTGTTTTATCTAACTGTTAAGTTTAATCTAGGCATGTGTGTGTATGTACAGGAATGTAATTCACAAGTGCCATATATTTCTTTTGCAGCTCAATGTAGAGAAGATCCTGCACATTTTCTGGATTAACTAGACCTGGTTTTGCCAACTTGACCCATCGCATCAGTGAACTAAAATACACATGGGCAGAGACCACAAACCTGTCATTAGCAAGACTATCTAGCAGACAACTTGCATATTTCATTGTTATTAATAATTAGACGGGCTAGTAAATTTTCAGTTCTTACAAGTCATTTTTTCTCCTGGCTTGTAAACAATAATAGTAATATGTTTCCAAGCCTACCGATGAACAGTATGGGAGTTTGGTTAACCAACATCGGCCATTGTTCAACTAGAAATCTGCTATGCTAGAGAGTGCAGATATATTGCTTCCATAAGATGATCCGGAACATAATTTAATTCAAGGAAACCTTCCTGATCATGTTTAATTCAGGTTCAAACTATGTCACTTAAAATGTTGAGAAACAAGCATTGAGTAATGCAAGTGTAGGTCGATACTCAAGGTAATCGGTCGTCGTCGTCGTCATGCCACCAAAACCTTTCCAGTTGACATTTGGCCACCAGCAAATGTGTGGTACATTTGGTGTTTAGTATATGTTCACTATAAACGCCTGTGCATTTTCTCAGATTTCCAGTAACTTTCCAATAATAGGTCATTTGATAAATATTCTAAGACATTAGCATATGTCACCCTGCGATGTTAAACGTATATGTCATAGAATTAAGCAAAAACTGATGTATAATTTTGCAGTCCGATAACAGAATGACCCAAACTCCACTATGACCTTTTTCTTTTTTAAATAGAGTCTACAAAGTGCATACGTGCTCTGTAACGCTTAAAGACTAGTATATCGATGATTACCAATGTGTACTGTTATATTGAATGTGTATGTATGTATATACCGTATATAATATCTGTTTTGTTTGTTATCTATATGTAGCGTGAGTAAGATTAAAAAAAACATTTGCCGAGTAGCTTGAGTAAGATATATTGGGAAAGCTGCAATTGTGAACTCCAGCCTGCGTAAAATGAGTGAATATTTCCTGTGAAATTGGCTATTTCTTAAAACAGACACTCTATATATTCTACATAATAATTACGATCATGTACGCAACACAAATGACGTAAGATATAATGCGACTACATACATGTAATAGCTACCATTGAAAAATATTTTTCTTCTCGTATTTTGTTTACATTTCTGTACAAATTGGTACATTTTCAAAATTACTAACATAAACACCTGCCGAGAACATAGACTAATTGCAGTCAGCAAAGAGACACTATTTAGTTACACAAATTGCAGGTCTCGGAACAAGGGACAGCTGATTTATCATCCACTTCATTCAGTCTAATTGAAATAATTCCTCTTTAAAAATCTTTGTGTTCAAACAACATAGAATTATTTTTTCGCATCTTTCAGTATATCCATTTAAATTCTATAATATTAACTATCTACTCTATCTGTGCTATACAAGATTGTGCATTAAGCCCAGAGTGTCCAGGAAAGTCTTACAAAAGGTCCTATTGTCTTCTTACAGTGCTCCCCTCGGAGATACACATTATACCCCACCATCCCACACAATAAGAGGATGATAGAGAAAGTTGCGAATGCTGTCTTTTGACCAAAAACTACTTGAAGGTAGGTCCACTTTTTTATCTCAAGTTCAGAGTTGTTCTACTAATGGTTCAAAAATCCAAGTTTAAGTCAATGAGGACTTTTCGGCTAAGTAGGTCAACTATAGCTCTTGTGAAATCGAGTTTTATCGTCATGAATGAAATAGCTTATCAATTCACTCATTGTGGATATCTTTAAAAAAGTCAAACCTTTGATCCGTCACTTTGAATGGCACTAATCAACATCTACGGAGATGACGTTTTTTTGCAAAATTTGTGCTTAGCTATAGAAATATGTTCAAATGCTACATTATACGACATTCCCAGCGTTCGGCCAAGTTTGATGCAATCTATTCACTGATATTCTTGCTCATAAATGGTTCATTGACCCTTATTTTAAATATTGTGCACATGATTAAAATAAACTTGGTAATCAGTGATCGGTTACCAAAGAGCACTTTATGATCTCACGTTATTAGATTTTTTCTCAAATTGTCCAACTATATTTTACGTCACATTTCAGTTTACTCGCATTGATGTTCAGAACTGCACAAACCTTTCAAATCTTTTCTTGTTCTGGGTGTATCATTGATGAGCAAGAGGCTCATCAGAATAAAAAGTTAGTGTTATACCTGGAAAAGATCAGGTCAAACTCAGCCCATAAGTCCAATTAACAAAACCCTGTTAATTTGAAGCAGGTTCTATGTTTAGCTATTGTTTCTAGGTAAGTGTGTCGGACCAGACTCTGTAAGAGCTGGTTTAGGTTGGAGTTTTTGAGGTTTAGCAGATGTTGTAAGCTCTGCAGATATAAAGGAGAATTGAGGCAGTTATAGATATGGTGAACCTATTCTCAAGTGATTACAAATAAGTACAAATTAGAAGAACCTGATATGGTAAAACTCACTGCGTAACACATTAGTTATCACAAAAAGACCGTCTCGCCTACACAAAATAACAGAAGATAAAAGATCAACATAGTCTGATATGGACATTAAAATGGCTGTGTTTGTGTACAAATAAAGTTACAGAAACTTCAGAAAGTGCGGAACAGATAGATGTATGTTCTGGCCTTAAGTCCCATTGACTTGAGATAAGCACACATGATATGAATTAAACCCTGATTATACCGTGAAATCTATATGACACATAGCGAGGTGGGACCTCATGGTCCCAAGATGGCAGGGATTAATACAAGAGAATAATCTCTTGTGTATTCATTGATTTTACCTCATTATTTGTAACCAGCCTTATTTGAGGGGATTCTAGCTACTTGAGGCACAATGAGTTACCTCCAGCCACAAATTGCAGAATAATTAGGGACTTAACTCCGCTCAGCGTGGGCGAGTCGTCCTCTCTGCTGATTTAGCCAGTTTTAACTGCCTTGTTAAACTACAAACAACTGTTAGCCATTGTTTTAACAGGATAGACCATATTCCTTTCTGACACCTTGGACTAAGGACATGGAACCCATCAATATGGAGTCATTACTGTCTAATTTTTTTTGCAAACTCCATATAATCTTAATAGAGTAGATATTAAAATGAATCTGTTACTTTTCATCATCCTAAAATACCGCATTAAAATAAGGCTATGTGTTTTCTTCTTCAAGACATTGTAATTTGTAATATTACTTCTGTGTAAACTAAGGAACTAATTAACATTATGGTCATCCGTCCCACTAGTGTAATGTTAATTAGCTTTCCCTAATCTACTGTATAAATTGATTAGATGAAGCGATTTAAATTAAATATAGTAAGTTTTATGGAAAAAGTAGGAGGTTATGAGCCCTGGGGCCTTTTTTAACATTCTGACCTACGTAGCCTTAGCCAGACTTTAGAAAGAAGACCCATAGCGAAAGTTACCTTAACCCTTAACAGGCACTTAAAAAAAATCTGAAAAATAACCACATAGCCTGACTTTGAGAGAGAAAAAAAAGTATAATAAATATATATATATGTATATATAATAAATATAATAAAATAAACATGACAGCTCCATGTTAACCTGAAAATGGTCAATGAGAGGTCAAGAATTATATAAAAATGAACAGGTCATGTAATTCCATAACATGCTTAAACTGTTTACTTGACAGCTGATGATTAGGCTATTCTGTTTTTAAATACATGTAGATTTCTACAGATAAATTGAATTACTCCTTGTCTATGTCCTGTCCGTTGCAAGTATAGATATTTTTAAATGATTGATTTTCATGAAATTTAAGCTACACCTCACATAGCCCTGTCTGAAACTATTAATGGCTTTTATAGTTTCCTTTAAAAAAAAAAAATGATAGTCGTGGAAGATATCCCCCTCCCGAACCCCATCCCCAATAAAACTATATAAAAATGTGCTTCTCTTCAATGGAATGTCATATGTTTCCAAAGGAAATCTGCTGGAATTCTTGTGCCTTTCAATATAATATGGTTTGATTGAGCCCCAGGTCCACTGTGCCACTAGGCAGGGTAGTAATGCCTTGTAGACATCATAGATATAAGATATATTTTTTGTCACAGGGGGCCAAGAGTGTGTGTGATGAGGCCCAATAGACAACAGTTGCTCACCTTGTTAATTGATGAGTATGGTTACAAGAAAAACCCTAAATTGACCTATCCAGTTGAAATCCAGAATACAATTCTGCCACCTAGTTTTTAAATGTGACCTACAGAAAATTGTATTTGTGGATCTGAAAACCCAATACTTCACCATTTCAATCTGAAAGGCAGGTTAAACATCAGGTTTTTGAAGGAGACCTATTTGAGAGTAGGTGCAACTCATGACGTCTTTGATCACAGTCCAGTCTTGGACAGGGAAGAAGAATCAGAGGAAAGTGGACCTCTGCCCTGTTCTTTGAGGTTTTTGTATAACACCATGAAGCCTTCATATGACTTCTGTAGCTTCTCCTCATAGAGAGTGTCAAGGCAGGCTATAAACCCACGTTTTCTAGGATGTGATATGCATAATGTCATGGCCACATCATGGCCTTTGGTCGTCTAGGATTAAATATACTAGTTTACTGTCCACACTGTACAAATATTTCATTTACATATCAGTGATATGGACAAATCCTAAATTTACAGATTCTGATTGATATGTAAGAACGCTGCAGAACGTGAAAGCCAAGTATTCGTTATCTACTCTCAACCTGGCTTTAGCTCGTCTTACAGCCTAGCTCACTTTAAAACATAAACTAATCTTCAGAGGAGCCCTCAATCTAAGATTAGTGCAAACTATTTTCATCTTCCACTTTCTTAATTACATGATCATTGAGACTTGCGTACATTATTTTACCCACATTTTAGGATACAGGATGTGAGAAGGACCCCAAAAACCAAAACAAAACAAACAAACAAACAAAAATATAAGACATTTCACAGTGTCTACAAATCTAAAATTCTTATTACAAGGGCTAATTTCACTGAAGCACCTGTCCTCGTGTTTCGGGCAGTTTGAGGGCTAAAAAGCTGCCCACCGCCAGAGCTGCAGAAGCCAACAAGATGGGTACAGCTTTTGCCACCCCAACAAAAGATGTGAAGATGCTTATTCCCAGCACAGCTGCTAGTTTGCAGAGGGCATTTAGAAACCCAAAAGCTGTCGTTCTGAAAAGAGAGAGAAGGAAAAAATGTCAAAAATATGTGGAAATGTACCATGGACAAAATCAGGTAGAAAACAATAAGTTGCAGTGCTGATAAATCACAGTACCCCAATATTAAGGTAAGTTCACTGGCACCATATTGAAACAATGTACTAGTTTTTATTTTTATTTTTTAGGAAACCAACTGTGAGCTGCATGTCTTACAAAACAGTAAATCTGTCAATATGCAAAACAAGTCGATCTATTATATAATGTTCTATCATATGTATTGTTACATGCACAATGCTCTATTGCAAGTGTTGCTTTGCTTTAGGGGTCTATTATTAAGAGAAAAGATATGCCTGGACTCAGAGTATTTGATCACAATATAGATTTTGGAACAAGTTGTAAATATTGTGCAGCGTGTTTTATTTTTTACCTTTTGTCTGAAGGATAAAGTTCTACTGTGAGGACATCTAGTGCATTCCAGGAAGCAATGCTGACCCCTCCGAAGAGGCAAAGCAAGGCAATCATGGCCGACTCACTGTTCCCAAAGAATAAGAAGAAGCAGCTGATACAGGACATGACACTGGAGCCAGCTGGGGACAGAAACGTTAGATTCAGGTGACTGAATATACATGACAAGCCCCCTATAAAATGACCTGCTATGACTTAGACCATGGATGGCCTAGATCATGCTCTTCAGCAAATAGACATTTAGACCATCACCTTTCGTTAACCTGGTCTGCTTCTGTTTACATGGCATTAAATGAAAGAAGTCTAAGATAAATGGCCAGGGCCCCTCACAGCTTGCCCTACGTAAGGACTCACTAAGTTCTAAAACAAACAAGTGTTTCCACAGAATCGAACGATCTGGATACGTACCATTCCGGCACTAACAAGCATTCCACATTTCTACAGAGACTTTTCTTACAGCAGATATGAACTCCCCAAGTCTAAGGAAGCCCTGAGTTTATTTCCAGAACATCTGACCGGATATACCATGATCACCTCAATCAGTGGCAAATTAAGTAGTAACGTACCCAGCATACGAAGGCGTCCGATTTTGTCCATGAGCAAAGCCGACACAATGTTACCAGGCAGCACAGCCAGGGTACCCAGGAAGCTGACAAAGTAGATCATGTAGGCGTTGTTGATGTCATCGCTGAAGTCAAGTTGGCAGCCTTCTTTGCTGTGCAGAAACGTGCTATTGATGATCTTACTGTTGATAAACTTGTAATCAAACAAGTCTGAAAAGTGAGAATGCAAATGATGTCAAAACACAGACTGGGAATTACTGAGATTTCCCTCTCTGAGTGCTGTGCGGACAAGTTATATACTCCTGGCTGATTAGTGTCTTGTGACTGGTGGCAAGGCTGGTCTAACGTGTCCACATCCCACCGGCTTTTCAATGTGATTAGATGTGTGGTGGGAGGATAAAACGGGTGGATTCTACATTTAATTTTATATATCAAACTTCATAAATACAGATTTGCTAAATATAGAGATAAGTTAACATAATATTAAAAATCCCGGGACATGATAGTTCCTTTTTAAATTGGCATAGATAATTATTTAATTAAAAACTACCTTATAACTCCATATGTCCAATTTTGTAATTTCCGAAAAGTAAATGTCCTAATAGTATATTTCAAATTCTTAATATTTTTATGACAATACACACAGGGAAGGGCTTGAGAACCACCCATATACTAAATTATAATATTAATTTAAGGACAAAAAAAAACAACTAGATTGTGGTTACCTGTGTTATAGAACAAGGTTGAGATAAAGGTGCAATTCCTAAAGAAAGTGTTGCTGGAGGTGATATCTTCAAAGTAACAATCTGTAAAGATTGAATCTTCAAACGTGACAGACTTCATCTTCAGACGGATGAATCTGGGGGGGGGAAGGACCAGATCAGAGTGAGTGTGACACATTCATAAATAATGTTTTCTGACATTTTATCCAATGGACACCAATCAGATGTGACCCCACAGCCTAGGCCTTCTGCCATACGGACAATGGCTGGAGATTAAGATCTAACTAAGTGGCTAGGATGGGGCTACTAGGCTACAAATTCATCAAATGGGCTTCCTGTAATTATATTCATATCACTGGTCAAGCATGGTACAAGGGGAGCTTAGGCCCACCATGAACTGAACACACTAAACTCCATGACCTCTACAGTTTGTTGTGTTATTACAGTTTCATGTAGTGGTAATGGTGCGGTGCAGCCCTCATTACCAGCTAAACCAACCGAGCACTCACAGTCTATCACTACTGCCATGGTTGAAAGCTTTACACAGATAATGGGGGCGTTGGTGGGAAGGAAGAGCCAGAGTTACGGATGCTGAGACAGACACAATTATTGTCCACCAGCTCTAAATATTTTCACAAAAATTGGCGGACAGCACCATACGCTGTACAAAAAGCTGTTTAAGTTATAATGGTTAGCGTGTCCCTTTAAAATATGTGACCATGACCTATCCGTATCTTAACGTAGTGCTGGTTACCAATCAAAATGCCTAGAATTAATACGTATTAAAGGAATTTTAAAGAACATTATTTGTGCAGGAAAATGTAGCATGTGCGTTCATTAGCAGGAGAGTTGGTTAAAGTTGGATCTTTAGACCTTAAATAAGTTCAGATAATATAATACCACTAAATCACTTAATTAAAGAGCCAGCTATGTCTATCCAATAATCGATGGACTGAGAGGACCCTTTAATTTGATGAATCGAAACAAACATACAAACAGTTCTGCCTGTTAGTTAATACATTCTACAATGTCCGTGCTTTGTCAGTATGGCTCCAGATTTTGCGATATCATAATTTAATGTTAAAAATAAAGTCGTACTTGTCATTGCGGTACTCTCCATTTCTGTGCACCTGGTTCTCCAGTGTGAAGTTGAAGTTGAAATTCACCATTTTCTCACTGTTAAAATATTTGGTGCGCGAAGCATATTCGATGTTCTGCAGATGTTTAATCATGTCTGGGAACCAGACAGTCAGTCCGTAGTAACTGGAGAAACAGACCAATAAAATGCATGAAAACACTAGAATCTGCACATATTGTGTAACATTAACATAGTTATATACTATTAGCTTACACGTTATAGATAAGATGTTCATTGATATAACATGTTTATGGACTTTTCTGCTACTAATTCTAGTGATTTAAGAAAATTCATCTAGTGACCACTGTTATCACAAAGTATAAATGTCTGGTTCTCATTGAAAGCAATAATGCATGTTGGCAGCAGGGGGAGCCGTTTCTCTCTTTCTGGTATAGACATCTCTTTGATAAGGCATTGCAGTGAGAGTGGACTAGACCAATCCAACCTGCACGTTATTGCACGCTATTTACAAAGAATCTCGTTGCACAACCTACCTCTTGTGAGGAACTTTAAGATGCAAGATGGCTGCTTACCGTAGCCTTCTTTTGGAAGTTCTGCTAATGTATACAATTCATTGTTTTTATCAAATGTAATGATGTAATAATGATGTCAAATACATATTTCTTTCTAACTGGTTATGGGTTCAATTGACGATCATAAAAATCTAGGCAGCAAAATCACAGATCAAACATGACACAACGTCTCAAGCCGTGTATCTTGGCCGTCTCCCAGATACTTTATAGGTTCTATCGGTTCTGATATTAATATAAAGAATAGGGTAACTAATCTCTGGGCACTTATTGAATCTGTAATAAATACATAGTAGCTGGTTTACAATATAAAACAAGACTCTGCTTTTATTTGGAGCAGGGAAGTTCGTGTGTGCCCATATATGAGATTTGATTCAAACAAAATGAATCTGAAAAAAAAACTCTTCTAAATTGTGAATTATGCAGAAATTAAAATGGATTAAAAATTTTAGGCCAAATGAAAATACTCATGACTTTGAAATTTGAAATTCACGTTGAAATGGTGATAACTCACGGGTTAGTGAATAACTTTGTAAGAAAGCGTTTCCTGCAGTGAGGAGTGCAGTTTAGGTCAGCACTCTCCACAAACACCACCAACTAACCAGTGCTCTGTGCACATACCCGCTCGCTCGATAACAGACATGCGCATCATGCGCACGCCACTATAGAGATCGAGTTAATTTACCAGGACATGAATATAAATAAATATATATGTGTAAAAAAACAGCTAAAATACCTTTTCTATTGGACTAATGGAATTTTTTAATGACACGCTTTCGAGAGAACCCCCCTTTCTGAAGTCTGAATCATTTCTGAGCAAAACGACACATAGAATTTAAAGGTGAGTTGTGATACAGGGGTTAAAGCGACACACGTGCAGATAAGACACAGGTTTGATAGAAAATAGACACCATTCTCGCAGAAAGGGAGGCTCTCCCGAAAGCTTGTCATTAAAAAATTCTGTTAGTCCAATAAAAAAGTTATTACAAGATACAAATTATATCTGTTTTTTACATCTACATCACTGGACTAATACGGCTACAATCTATACTTGAATATATATAGGAAGGCTTGGCCTGAAGTTGTGGGAGGGGCTTAATGAACATTTAAAAGGGACTCCCCCAACCCCTTTCTCAACTTTCCGTGATTGGTCCGACGATCAGCTGCATCACAGACTACCATTTCCCGCCAAGTAACGCTGGTATCCCGCGATCGTGGTAACAGTGGTGGTGTTTGCGCCTTGCCCTGCGCGCTCTCCTTGCATTCACGGCTTCCGGCAGGTAGACGGCAGCGCCCCCTGGTGATGTCACACTGGTCGGCTCGTGGTCGGGTAAATATTGACTCACACGGGCTGCTCGGCCCGCACCAGCACCATACGCCTCCTTTTTAGGTCGTAAGGGGGGACCAAATCTCACAACGAGGTTGCGCTATTAAAGGACCACTATAGGCACCCAGACTACTTCAGCTTAATGAAGTGGTCCGGGTGCCTGGTCCAGCTAGGATTAACCCTTTTTCCATAAACATGCTATGTTTACATTATGGTTAATCTAGCCTCTAGTGGCTGTCTCATTGACAGCCACTAGAGGCGCTTCTGCGCTTCTCACTGTGATTTTCACAGTGAGAAGACGCCAGCGTTCATAGGAAAGCATTGTGAATGCCGAGGAGGAGGAGAGTCCCCCACCCGGCACTGGAGAAAGAGGTAAGTTTAACCCCTTCCGCCCCCTAGAGCCTGGTGGGAGGGGGACCCTGAGGGTGGGGGCACCCTCGGGGCACTATAGTGCCAGGAAAACGAGTTTAATGGGTCCTTTAATGGGCACAGAGGCTCTATGGCAGTATAGAGCCTCTTTGTCCTTGGACCTCAGTCACATTACCAGGCGGGGGGAGGGGAGGGTTGGGTCGTCTGGTCACCTGCCTCTCACATCCTGAGGAACCCATGGAAGATGGCTAGCAGCTCACCTTGGTTCCCACGTTCACATGGCAACCAATAACACTCTGCACATAAACTGATTTTACAAGGTGTTTCTCTTTCCGTATTAATATACAATCAGTCACCTATTTTATGTATTAAGTATGGCCAGGAATGGGGAAGTTACTAATATGCTGCTATTTTATGCACTTACAAGAAAATGTTTTATTCTTTAAGGATATGAAGTAAGGATATGTTATGTACATTGATGTTTTCAAGCAGAACTGAGTGGTTTATTTGAGATAGTAAGGTCATGTGTTTCTGCAGTAAATCATCAATTATGCATCTATTGGTACAATTGTCCTGACCTTAAGTGGTCAGGTCATTCTGGCATGATCTTACAGTCTATCCAGACATTCTCTAGTAGTATGTCATGTCAAGTTTATTGTAATGTTTTGCAGATTGCAAGGTACCTGGTAGCGACTCGCTTGGCTCTTCACTAACTCTATGCTTAATCCTAGGTGGGTTGCCTAACATATACAGGTATTATACATTCATATATGGGTCTTATCCGCATACATAAGTTCACAATGGTTTGCCATTTTCCATTTGATTTAGGCCTCCCTCCTTATATAAAGATCTGTTTTGTCGCATGGCGGGCCTTTCGGGTACTCACTTTACCAACAGGTACAAGACTCTTGGACCCCGTCTATTAGCCTGAATTTTTCTATATGGTTACTGGCTGATAAGGTAGGAGGTGGCCACTTAGGTACTTGAAGCAAGTAGCTCTAACAACTCCAACCTCCACACGATGATTGCCTCACTGGTGTCCTCCATGGGGCTAATCAATGATAGGCTGGAGAGACTGGAAGCTCGTAGTCTTCCCATTATGGCTGCAGCTGCCCTCACGAATGTACTTCCAAACATGTCCCAGTTACAACCATGTAATAGTCTGCCTGCTGCTTCCAGATCACACGTTATCAATCCAGTCCACATGGTACCAGCGAATCTAAAAAAGGATATCCTGGAAGACAAAGATGTTAATCTTGTCTCCCTTCTGATTGCCTCCCAGGTTCGGTTCATCCACAGAGAAGGGAAGAGCTAGACCTCTATAGAAGTTGAGCAAGGGTTCTTACAAGGGCCTTTTACTGAGCCCCCTTTTTCCAACTGGAGAACTAATCCTATTGGTCTAGTCTCTGGGAAAAACTTAGTTACATAGTTACATAGCTGAAAAGAGACTTGCGTCCATCAAGTTCATCCTTCCTCACCTATGTTTTTGCTATTGTTCCAAAAGAAGGCAAAAAACCCAGTCTGAAGCGCTTCCAATTTTGACACAAACTAGGAAAAAAATCCATCTTGACTCAAAAATAGCAGTCAGATGTCTCCTTGCATCAAGCAACTATTACCCCACTAATTAGAAATGATATCCCTGTATGTTATGTTTTTGCAAGTATTTATCCAATTGCTGTGTAAACATCTGTATAGACTCTGACAAAACCACCTCTTCAGGCAAAGAATTCCATATCCTTATTGCTCTTGGGCAAACAAAGACTGATCGTAGATCTCGCAGCACCACACTCCTCAGGGGTGCCAAGCCTTAACTCATTGATCCCGTCAGAAGAATTCTTTCTACAGTACACCACAATTGACAATGCTGTAAACGCTATCTTGACTGCAGGCGTGGGGGCCTGGCTCAGCAAGACCGACATTGTCAATGCCTTTAAGCTATTGCCCATTCACCTGGCATTATGGCACTTGCACGGCATTAAATGGAAAGGCCTGTATTATTTTTTCATTAGACTTACCTTCAGGTCAAAGAGTAGTCCTAGAATTTTTGATACCTTCGCGGAGACGTTGTGTTGACTCGTCCTGAATATGTCCCGGTGTCGGTGCCATACCGTCATCCACTATCTAGACTATTTTTTATTCATTTAGAAAAATTATTCCTATAGCAGCCTGGGGAAAGCAGTCACGTTATTCAGCACACTGAGGGTACCAATCTCACCAAAGAAAACAGAGGGTCCTGACACCTTTATTAATTTCTTAGGGATACGCCTGGATTCGGTGGCCATGGAAGCTAGTCTCTAGCATCCGCCACGATATAATCCATTATATGCTTAATGGCTCCTGTAACAGGAAAGAATTGCAGTCACTGTTAGGCTCCCTGAACTTCGCTATGAGGGTCATCCTGCAGGGTAGAGCCTTCATCTCCAGACTCCTTAGCCTACTCCCCACATTCCCTGACGACCTAAGCCGTATCTCCCTTAATGTGGAACATGTTTCTCTCTAACTGGAATGGAAGAAGCATGTTTCTCCCGCAGATTTCTCCCCTGTCATTTGGACGGACGCAGCAGCTACCACGGGCTTCGCAGTCATATTTGGTGACGAATGGCACTGGGGTAATTGGACAGTGGAGGTACTAGAAATAGAAGGGTTCCACAGGTGTACCCTATTGTGGCGGCAGCGGTGGCTTGGGGCCATTTGTGGTCAGGCAGAACAGTTCTGTGCCATTCAGACAATCTAGCGATTTGCCATATTATTAACAAAGACCGCTCGTCTCCGTTGATTATTATGAGATTCATTAGGAAACTGACGTGGCTAGCAGCCTGCAATCAGTTTTACTTGGTGTGCTGCCATGTCCCGGGAGTTTTAAATACTGCAGCTGATCGCTTGTCTAGCTTTCAATTTCAGGCTTTCAGAGAATCCCTACCCACTGCTTCACGTCTGGCTACAGCAGCCCCCCTGTTCCGGGAACATGGACTAGTCGAATTACTACAACATAGCCAGACCTCAACAAAACTGGCCCTCTCCACTAACACTCGTACCACATATGACAGGGCATCTTACTTCAGTCACAACCCATGTAGCTTCGAACACAAATATACATAAATATTCTGTAAAAATAAAATCACAGAAAAATGCAAATGTCTAATTAATGACTGGGTTTTGTGAAAAATTCGGGGATAGCAAGTCCCCCGTAACAATGTGGCTGGTCTTTAGAAAATAAGCCCATTGAGTGAAATACTCGTAGGATTTGAATAATAATAATAAAACATTTTCACAGACTATAATAAATAACTGATGGAAAAATACAGATCGGCACTACGAATGCAAATTGGGAGTAAGTGCACCTAGATCTGTGCTGTCTTTTATTAAGTATTTATTGTAGTGTTTATACACTAAAGTGAGAATTCTGTAGAGTTGATAATGGAATAGCACATTTAGGACAAATAGCCAAATTATGAAAATTCTCCATCCCGCTGGTTTTTTTTTTTCAGTTTTGTTCTCAAGCCTCCACAGTTCAATTTTGTGAATAAGCCACGATGAGTATTTTTCTTAGAAATCTGTTTTTGCTGTAGAAATCGCAAAGGTTAACGCACCGACTTCCTTGCCTTTCCCAATTCAGTCTTTCTTGTTGCGGTTGTAAAAGAAGCAGACATTCGTTCAATTATTTACTCTTTAAACATCCATCGCATTATTGGTCCCTACTTCCCTGCCAGGCTACATAACTTCATTAGCAAGTTATCCCTGCCGCGCTTAATGCGTGTCTGAGGTATGCCAAACGGTAAGTGGGAATATGGCGTTTTAATTACCTTGCTGACAGTTTGAATTAACAGTTATTTGAGGCAATTTGGAAGCCTCAATTCTGATTAGAAATCGCAGACATTATTACCCTTGTGCACGCAGTGAGCTGGCTCCTTACCAGACGTGATTTGGACGGAGGGAGCTCTTTAGATGCTCTTAGAGCTTTTTAGTAAATATCACAGCCCTCCATAGAGCAGTGAGTCGGTGTTACCGGGAATACTTGGTGTTGGTGGATTTTTCAACTTAGAAACATATCCTAAAGGGGTAGTACACCAGAATGCCTCCATCAGTGAAGCAAATCAAGGTTTGTTTCACTTCCACTGGAATTTACATTCTGAGGATGCTTTATCACAGACCCTTCCTGTGACATCTCAGATACATTTACAGTACCCAATCACCGTGCTCGCTACAAATAATAACCCAAAATGTGATCTAACTGCACCATGCCTGCTACAAATAATAACAAATAACCCAAAACGTGATCTAACTGCATCATGTCTGCTACAAATAATAACCCAAAATGTGATCTAACTGCACCGTGTCTGCTACAAATAATAACCCAAAATGTGATCTAACTGCATCCATGCCTGCTACAAATAATAACAAATAACCCAAAATGTGATCTAACTGCACCATGCCTGCTACAAATAATAACAAATAACCCAAAATGTGATCTAACTGCACCATGCCTGCTACAAATAATAACCCAAAATGTGATCTAACTGCATCCATGCCTGCTACAAATAATAACCCAAAATGTGATCTAACTGCACCATGCCTGCTACAAATAATAACCCAAAATGTGATCTAACTGCACCATGCCTGCTACAAATAATAACCCAAAATGTGATCTAACTGCACCATGCCTGCTACAAATAATAACAAATAACCCAAAATGTGATCTAACTGCACCATGCCTGCTACAAATAATAACCCAAAATGTGATCTAACTGCACCATGTCTGCTACAAATAATAACCCAAAATGTGATCTAACTGCATCCATGTCTGCTACAAATAATAACAAATAACCCAAAATGTGATCTAACTGCATCCATGTCTGCTACAAATAATAACAAATAACCCAAAATGTGATCTAACTGCGCCATTTGTGCCGCCGAGCGAGCACTAGAGACATGGAGAGGGTCATCATACAAGGGTTGAAGGCTCCAATATTTTGAGCTTAATTTTCAGTGAATGTTTGTGGCTCGCTGTAGCCCCTGTTGTTTTGTCCATCTGTTGTATGTGTATCCAAATATTCAGCAGCTCAAATTCACCTTCTACCGCCCTCCCTGCTGTAAATCACATACATCAAGCTTAGAAGTATCCTAACATATCTGTATGTACTACGTACACCCCCCCATTATAATTACTAAATGCAGCCATGTGTTCTGCCCCACTTCCACTGTGCCAAGGGAGAAACTCACAGAGACAAGAAAGAGAAAGGTGCACCAAGGCTGCCAATACTATGATTGTCTTCATCCTCGACATTGGCCAAATTCGTCTCCAGGCTGGTGCTGGGCACACGGGTTAGAGTGTGGTATGGCATGTACAGCTCATGGTTGCTGGCATTGCCTACGTACTTGTACTTCCTCTAAAAGATTGATATAACAGGGAATATATGCTACTTGTTGACATTTAGATAAGAGTTGAGAAATCCAGCCGCTTCTAAACACCCATCACTCCACTCAGCATGTTCTCCTGTTTAGGTCCTATACATCCACTCATTCTATCAACCTTCATTTTCCTTGTAAACCCAGCATGGCATCACATCTGCCTGTTTTCTCCACCTAATTTTTATATGGTCGTATTGCCTTCTATTTGTAATGTCTAACGGGCCAAAAAATACTAAGCTCCACTTATCTAACTCAGAATATTCCAGATATGGACACACTCGCTTTCTGTTTGATAACTCAGCTTCTCGCCATTGTCATCAACACATTCCTTCTGTTTAGGACATCCTCTCTCTACCTGACATTCAATCCCCCAATTTAGAACAACTCAGTCTTCTCGCAGTCTACCTAGTATCCCTCATCCCTAGTATCCCTAGTATCCCTCATCCTTTTCTCATGGGCGAAACAGAAAAAAAGGTTTCTACAGTGTGTTTATCTTTCTAGAATTTTCTATACTTGTGTGTGTTTAAGAGAAGCTACGAATGTGCAATAGATTTCATTAACTGATCATTATAAAGTTATACTGAGCTTTGTATACATAAAAATAATTTATTTTCTCCCATCTTTATATTTTGTTCTGTGAAGTGCTAGCCCATTTGTATCTGGAGTTGTTATGTAGGACAAACGAGAGGAGTCGGATCTGACAGTGAGAGAAGAAATCTGGTGCATCGTACACACAGGCCTGTCATGCCTAATTAATGTTGAAATGCGTGGGGGACGGGAGGAGGGGCCGCGGCACCTTGCAGGCATTCTGCACTAAGCATACAATGGCAAAACTCACCTCACGTCTCAGTCTGGAGATTTTATGAAGGCAGACAGAGCTGCAGACATTACTACAGCAGTGAAATCACAATGTGGCCCTCTGCAGCTCACCATATCTGGTAGTGTAATACAGTTATAAGTAAAACTGCATTCACAGGAAGTGTGGGTGCTACCCCCAATAGTATGGGGGGTAAAATGCTCTTAATCAATATTATTAACCCCCATTAAAAATCAGGTCTATTTTTTAAATTTTCAGACTTTCAGCCATTTGCAATGACCAAATCTAACAAACGCAATTGAAATAGCTCAGCACAACAAACGCTTCAAGTGGTTTATTCAAATTCAACTGAAAATGCAACTTATAATGTCTTCTCCAGTCTCAAAATTATTCAACCCCTTCATGGCAAGCGTATTTAGTACTTAGTAGAGCACCCTTTAGCCGTTATGACCGGCTGCAAACGAGATGCGTAGCCAGACACCAGCCTCTGGTAGTGTTCCTGAGGAATCTTAGCCAATTGCCCATGAGCAAAGTCCTCCAGTTCAATAATATTCTTCAGTTTGCGTGCTGCATCCGCCTTTTTCAAATCCCACCAAAGATTTTCATGGTGTTGAAGTCAGGTGACTGTGATGGCCACTGTAGGATTTGCCAGGACTTCTTCTGCAACCAAGACTTGGTGGAATTGGAGGTATGCTTGGGATCATTGTCTTGTTGGAAGGTCCAGTGATGCCCAAGCTTCCTCACAGACAGCATGATGTTTTCTCCTTGGGTTTCCTAATACTTCAATGAAGCCATCTTCCCTTCCACATGCTGCAGGTTTCCAGTGCAAGAGGAGGCAAAGCAGCCCCAGAGCACCACTGAGCCACCACAGTGCTTAATTGTAGGCAGAGTTCTTTTCAGCATATGCTTCATTCTTCTTCATCTAGACATACCTCTGATCTATTGGGCATAAAAGTTTCAGTTTTCTTCCACATAACAGAATCCCAAATCTTCTGTGGTTTATTTATATGATTTTTGAGCATACTGGATCCAACTTTTCTTGTGCTTTTGGTTCAATAGTGATGTACATCTTGGAATTCTGGCATGGAAACCTTCTGGGTTTAGTACCCACCTTACTGTGTTCACTGAAACCTCAGTGCCTGTTGCCACCAAGTCTTGCTTCGGGTCTTTTGCAGTCACATGAGGGTTTTTCACAAACTGCCTTCTCAGAAATCTGGTTGTAGTGTAAAGACTGTTCCTTCAACTTTGAACTTGCGAACTATACTTCCAACTGTGTCTCTAGGAACATTCAGTGCCTTCGTAATCATTTTGTATCCTGTGCCTTGTTTGTGAAGGGCGATGATCTCTTCTCTTAACTTTGTGGACCATTATTTATGACATGCAGTCAAACATGACACTCAGCAAACCCCAAGCCTGTTCAGGTATTTCAAGTGTTCCAGCTCAAACACATCTTTTGCAAATAATAAAGTCTTTGATTAGTTGCATCAGGTGTACTTAAGACAACATTTGTTTTGTATATTCCTGCTGTTGTGAGGGATTCTATTCAGGGGTTGAATCATTTTGAGACTGGAGAAGTCATTATAAGTAGAATTTTCAATTGAATTTGGGAAAACGATTTGAGCCATTCGTTGTGTTGAGCTATTTCAATTGCTTTTGTTTGATTTGTTCATTGCAAACAGCTGAAAGTCTGTAAATTGTGACATTAATCTTGGCAAATAAAATATATTTATTAAAATATATAAAACATCAGCAAAATGGTCCAACGCATTTCCCTCTTGTCAGGCTTCCTCAGGGACCACACAGACTGAATGATGGAAGACAGACATATGGATTGATAGAAGACAGATTGATTGATAGACAGACTGATATGAGATAGATTGATTGATAGGAGACAGACAGACTGATAGGAGACAGACAGACAGACTGATATGAGACAGACTGATAGGTGACAGACAGGCAGACTGATAGAAGACAGACAGACTAATATGAGACAGATTGATAGGAGACAGATTAATAGGAGACAGACAGACAGACTGACATGAGACAGATTGATAGGAGACAGACTGATATGATACAGATTGATAGGAGACAGACTGATTGGTGACAGAAAAATGGACAGGCATATTGATCATTTAGACAGACTGGAATAATAGACAGACAGAAAGAAGAATGATAGGAGAGTGTCACAAACAGGAGAGAGACAGACTGATAGGAGTGAGCCACAAACAGACAAATTGGAGAGAGACAGTTGCCATTGTGACATCACTCCTGGTATCATGGAGAATGTCGGTCACAAATATACAGAGTGCCATGGTTAACCGTCACTGCACTAAATGACAATTAGCAGAATGTGTCTGGTTCCTGATGAGAGACTATCTGGGAGGAAATAAACATGACTCGTCGTTCTAATTAATAGTCTATTAAATTATATTCGTTAATGGAATACCCATTATGTCTGCATGTGACATATAAAAGGCTCGGCATTTTGTTTCCGCAAGGCGTACCTGAAAGACATAGTAAACCACACAGCCATCATCATCAGGGTGATCCGGCGATATTCGGGGGCGAAGCAGTCATGGAAATTGGCCCAGACCTGAAAGTACAGAAACAAGGATTACTGTAACACAAAATCCTGAAAAAACAAAATATACTAATTAACATGGCAAGATTTATCACGATATTGTCAGTTAGCTAATTAGATATTGTCAGATAGCAATATGCTCAACTGCTTTAAATGGAAAAACATTATTAAAAATGGGTTTCACTAGAGTAAGCCGATTTCCATCATAGACGTTTAGTAAATCAGGATCTGACTTTGACATGGAAACATGGAAAATGTTTATAGTATTATTATTATTATTATTATTATTTATACAGTGCCTACAAAGTCTGCAGCACTGTCCAATTATAAAATGGGGATATCTGACGACAAGTAACTGACATACGGAATGTACCTCATTACGTTGTCCTAGGGAAAAAGCTTTGGTACCACCCCACTGCTTATTAGCCTGTGTGACTAGACTATTTTCCCGGGATCGGGAAGCAGCTCTGACGCCTTAAAGCCATTGAAAAGATGTGGACAGTTACAAATGAAAGAAAACGTTATAAAACGTAATTAAACTAAAGCATAATGTAACTTTTCCTAACTGCAGGAGTATAAGTTTAACGGTTTGCTATGTTTTAGTTAAGTAACTGAGTTTCGTTCCCTGGAGGGAATGAAGGGTATAACGTTCGGGACGTCCCATCAGTGCCCTTGTGGAGGCCTCTGGATCTCGCATGGTTGTTCCGCAATACCGAGAGCTGTCAGGAACTTGGAAGCCTCATCAGGTTATGTGATCCTGTGTGTTTTTTCCGTCGCCTGCACGGTTAAGGCCCGTGGTAAGGGCCACCGGCATGGTATACTCGCTTCTTGTAATCTCCGGGTTATACGCCGTATAGTTTTGCGCCAATGCAGGTTGGAGCGGGCAAGATCCTGGTAAAAAGTCAATTGGTGTGAGTCAAAGGTTTGAAATCGCACGATAATGTCTCTAGGCAACTCTTGGCGACTTCACGATCTGGTGTGCACCATCCAGGACTATCGGCTTCGCCTGTTTGGCAGGAAGTACTGTGGCCAGCAATCTTCGGAGCATGTGAGGAAGCTCTTCTGATGTCGCCGCGTCTGAGACCCCTCTGATCTTGAGGGTCTTTCTGCAGCCTCGGTCATCCATGGCAGTTTGTGAACTCTGCAGCGCTTGTACCGTCTCCTCCAAGGCGGTGAGGCGCTGCTTGAGACCCATCACTTCCTCTTCTGTGACTCATACCCTCTCCGTGACTGCATGTACTTCTTCCTTTACCAGCGCTATGTCCACATCGAACAGCGTGCATATACGCTCGTACAGGGAGTGCAGAATTATTAGGCAAATGAGTATTTTGACCACATCATCCTCTTTATGCATGTTGTCTTACTCCAAGCTGTATAGGCTCGAAAGCCTACTACCAATTAAGCATATTAGATGTGATGTGCATCTCTGTAATGAGAAGGGGTGTGGTCTAATGACATCAACACCCTATATCAGGTGTGCATAATTATTAGGCAACTTCCTTTCCTTTGGCAAAATGGGTCAAAAGAAGGACTTGACAGGCTCAGAAAAGTCAAAAATAGTGAGATATCTTGCAGAGGGATGCAGCACTCTTAAAATTGCAAAGCTTCTGAAGCGTGATCATCGAACAATCAAGCGTTTCATTCAAAATAGTCAACAGGGTCGCAAGAAGCGTGTGGAAAAACCAAGGCGCAAAATAACTGCCCATGAACTGAGAAAAGTCAAGCGTGCAGCTGCCACGATGCCACTTGCCACCAGTTTGGCCATATTTCAGAGCTGCAACATCACTGGAGTGCCCAAAAGCACAAGGTGTGCAATACTCAGAGACATGGCCAAGGTAAGAAAGGCTGAAAGACGACCACCACTGAACAAGACACACAAGCTGAAAGCGTCAAGACTGGGCCAAGAAATATCTCAAGACTGATTTTTCTAAGGTTTTATGGACTGATGAAATGAGAGTGAGTCTTGATGGGCCAGATGGATGGGCCCGTGGCTGGATTGGTAAAGGGCAGAGAGCTCCAGTCCGACTCAGACGCCAGCAAGGTGGAGGTGGAGTACTGGTTTGGGCTGGTATCATCAAAGATGAGCTTGTGGGGCCTTTTCGGGTTGAGGATGGAGTCAAGCTCAACTCCCAGTCCTACTGCCAGTTCCTGGAAGACACCTTCTTCAAGCAGTGGTACAGGAAGAAGTCTGCATCCTTCAAGAAAAACATGATTTTCATGCAGGACAATGCTCCATCACACGCGTCCAAGTACTCCACAGCGTGGCTGGCAAGAAAGGGTATAAAAGAAGAAAATCTAATGACATGGCCTCCTTGTTCACCTGATCTGAACCCCATTGAGAACCTGTGGTCCATCATCAAATGTGAGATTTACAAGGAGGGAAAACAGTACACCTCTCTGAACAGTGTCTGGGAGGCTGTGGTTGCTGCTGCACGCAATGTTGATGGTGAACAGATCAAAACACTGACAGAATCCATGGATGGCAGGCTTTTGAGTGTCCTTGCAAAGAAAGGTGGCTATATTGGTCACTGATTTGTTTTTGTTTTGTTTTTGAATGTCAGAAATGTATATTTGTGAATGTTGAGATGTTGTATTGGTTTCACTGGTAATAATAAATAATTGAAATGGGTATATATTTGTTTTTTGTTAAGTTGCCTAATAATTATGCACAGTAATAGTCACCTGCACACACAGATATCCCCCTAACATAGCTATAACTAAAAACAAACTAAAACTACTTCCAAAAATATTCAGCTTTGATATTAATGAGTTTTTTGGGTTCATTGAGAACATGGTTGTTGTTCAATAATAAAATTAATCCTCAAAAATACAACTTGCCTAATAATTCTGCACTCCCTGTATAGGTCTGCTATGTCTTGTTTCGTGGAGGGTGTTGAAGCTGGCGCTGCTTCAGGTGCACTGGAGCCTGATGGCGTAGGCTTGGTAGGCCTTGCTCGGGGTGGACTGACCTCTTCGTCTGACAGGTCTGTTGAGGCCTCTTTGTCCGCCTGGTCTGGGTTTGGAGTGCCCGTTAATAATTTGCTGAAGTCTCTCGTCCCAGGGGATGCCGTGGCTGGAGTCTTTGTTCCTTTTGCGCCCCATCTCTGGCGAGATATGCGTCGTGCCAGGAGGTGAGTAGTGAGCCCAGTCGGTTAAGGTCTCCGCATGCCCTGCAGGAAACCACAGGTCGCTGGGCCTTTATGTCCTCCGTGTCTTGCGGGTCGATTTAGCATGCGATCCGTAAAAGAATGGCATGTAGATGTTCCATGAGTCGTCCCACGGGCTCGGCTGTCACTTTTGGAAGTCGATGAAGCAGAATTTGGCTAATTATTGTTAGATTAAGATTGTAGGGCCCGAAGCTGTGTGAAATGGCGTCTGCGCCATTTGATTGCTTAACCCCACCCATTCATTGACTTCTTAAAAGACTTGAGGCACAGATAGCAAATTATGAATTCTTTGTAAATTCAAAACAGTGGTAACACATGGAAAGAGAAGCACATGTTTGGCATTATATGATATGACCCATGTGACAGACCCTCTGTCCCTGATTTTTAAACCTTGAAAAACTCTGTTCGTTTAAAACTATTCATCTAAAATGAATGAACCTTTATTGGGCTAAGAGCCGTTTGAATCACGAATTTCCTGCCGAACGACCGACCACCCAAAACAGGAGTGTGGCACCCATTACCCTCCCTGACTGTATTAACACCTCCAAAACCACGCACACCCCAATGTTCTAATTGATCAACAGGGTGGTCGGCGTTCATCTGTACGAACACGTGTCGGCGGCCATTTTATTTAGTCGAAAGCACTCAGCAGTGTTTTGTCATTGAACACGTGGAACTATTTTCGGCTACTATTTCCACGAACACCGCTGAGACTTCTACCTTCCGTGTGTTCGGCTAAAATCATACAAACAGAGCGCTATTTCTGGAGCATAAACGGATCGTTTGTGCAATTTGTACTTTATTTGAAGGAGAAGATAGACCGGCCGCACATTTTTTCAGCGATTTTCGGGTTTTTCCTACCCTTTCACATGGGAGGTATTGATCCGATCAGCTGATACATCTTATCCTATAATACATTTAATATATCTTTACAATCTTATTTTTATCCTTAAGTTCCATTTCCACTGAGTCCTGTAAATACTATTGATTAACTCAATAGGCACCTTGAACTTAGACCGGCCACACAGCCTGAATCTGTGGAACTGTTTTGGGTATGAAATCATGCATGTGGTCGGTCAAAATAGACTTCCATCTATCTCCCGAACCTCTGAACCGATTGTTATTATTGTTGGATATGTTTGTTCCCTAATTATGCTGGTTCAGAAAATATAAGCTTTGTTGAAATTGCATGTATAGTTTTGAAGTTATAAAAACTGAGTAAAAAGTATATTTTTTCGCTTGGAGATAAATGAGCTGATACCTCAATTAACTCAATTATCTCCCAAGCGGAGGGGAGGAATGTGCAGTAATGAATGGGAGTGTTTAACTGTGTAACTGTAAATGATTGGTTGTTAAGTTTGTGTCTTCAGTGCCCAACAAGGTCCAGGTGGGTGGTAACCTTGTTGAAAAACTTGCATAAACGAAATGCTTGTGTGCCCATTAGATCAGTTCTACTTCACCCTCAATCTAGAGTCTTGTCTCTTATTGGGGGAAACTGCTATACAGCTATAACACTAGCTCTTTTAAAGCGGCACTGTCATGGCCGAATCCCGTTTTTTTTAACCCCCCTTCCGATTCCACTACATCTAACTGACCCCCTAGTCACCCTCAAATGCCCCTAAGCCCCCCATATTACCTATTTTTTAATCTTTATTTTCTGCCCCGATCTATATTCAGGGCGCCGCCATCTTTGTGTGGGTAGAGGAAGTCCCTGTGGGACACGTCATCTGTCCACACTAGATAGCCTGTGAGATTCCCGCACATGCCCAGTTAAACACTTAGGCATGCGAACAGGAATTTCATCTATTCATTCATTTGTCAGAAAGACGAATGAATAGTAAAATCAGACGAACAAACAAATACCGAATATCATTGTTCGTTTGTTCATTCAGTTTATTACAAGGAGGGAGCTACCGGCGCGCAGCTCCCTCCTTGTAATATGTAAAGATAGAAGCGGCAGGGAGCAATGCTCCCCGCCACTTCCAAAGCCCCCCATGTCCTCCCTCACTCTATAGGGGTCAATATGACCCCCATAATAGCATAAGGGAGATTAAAATCTCCCGAATGCCCCTACTCGCTATACCGCGAGTAGGGGCATGTCCACTAAACAGTGAGCAGCCTGTGGCTGCTCACTGTAAAAAAAAACAAAAAACTACTATCAGGCCCCCAACCCTGCGTGGCGGGTGGGGGCCCTAAATAACAATAAGGGGGGGAACCTATTGTCCTCCCCCCTGGCCCCCACCCCTGCGTGGTGGGTGGGGGCCATAAAGATAATGAGGAGGGAGGACCTACTGTCCTCCCCCCGGCCCCCACCCCTGCGTGGTGGGTGGGGGCCATAAATTACAATGGGGGGGACATACTGTCCTCCCCCCCGGCCCCCACCCTTGAGCGGTGGGTGGGGGCCATAAAGATAATGAGGGGGGTGAGGGGGAAGGACCTACTGTTCTCCCCCCGGCCCCCACCCACCAGTGGGTGGGGGCCAAAAATTACAATGGGGAGGAAGTTCTTAGGAATTTTCCCAAGCTGTGTAAAATGACAAAGAGCACTCTGATTGGTTAGATTCCAAGCACACCAATCAGAGTGTTATGAGTCAAATTAGAAAGCATGGGAAAATTCCAAAGAACTTTCCCACGCTGTATAAAATGACACAGAGCACTCTGATTGGGTGGCTTGAAATCCCTAGTCACCTTTGATGGGGGGATTTGTCTTAGGGCCCCCACCCACCATGCAGGGGTGAGGGCCGGGGGGAAAGACAGTAGGTCCCCTCCATTGTAATTTATGGCCCCCACCCACCGCTCAAGGGTGGGGGACGGGGGACAGGGAGGACAGTAGGTCCCCCCCCACCCCATTGTAATTTATGGCCCCCACCCACCGCTCAAGGGTGGGGCCGGGGGGGGGGTGACAGTAGGTCCCCCCCATTGAAATTTATGGCCCCCACCCACCGCGCAGGAGTGGGGGCCAGGGGGGGAGGTCAGTAGGTTCCCCCCGCCCCGATTGTCCACACACTGCTCAGGGGTGGGGCACAATAGGTTATTTTATTTTATTTTTACAGTTTTACAGTTTTTTACTGTTTAATAGACATGCCCCTACTCGCGGTATAGCGAGTAGGGGCAGGTCATTTACTAATACTAAGTAATTTTTACTTAGTATTAGTAAAGTTGGCTGAAAGACCAATTTAGGTCTTTCAGCCTTTTGGTAGATAGCTCCCTGATACCGTGGGAATTTGGGAGTTATCTACTAAGCGGCTGTAAGATGCAGCCGCGGCACAAATTGAATCGGAGTTTCATTCATTCTAATGAAATTCCGATACGATCAAAGTGCCGAATTGCGTTCTAAAAGAAACGAACATACTGTTCTCATTCAGTTAGAACGCAATTCGTCAGTTTCGTCTAAAATGACATGAAGCATCGCAAGATCACAGAGGAAAGGTAAGAATTATGGGAATATTGCTCTGACCAGCGGAAATGAAACACACTTTGCTCCTCCGCTGGTCAAAGCAGGTCAAGCGGAGGAAACCTCCATAAGGCAAAGAGTCCCTACTTTGTCTTATGATTTTAAAGAAAACTAAAGAAGACAGGAAGAAAAGAATAACAGATCCTGAGAGAGGGGGAGAAGTGAAAGAGATTGAGGAAAGGTAAGTTCGGCATGACAGTGCCGCTTTAAGAACTTCTTAACTTGGATGACTACTGGATGCTGAGAATACCCATCGCTCATCGGGAGAAGGACACCCTCTAGCGGTGGAAACCCCTCTACTCATCGGGGTAACCGCTACAACCCACATAACACATGCTACAAAGTGGGGTCACCAAAGAATATCTCTCACGTGACGTGACCTTTAGATAAGGACTTGTCCTGACTTTCTGCTACACATTGTGCTTGCCACCCATATCAAGGCATGTAGTGAAAACCTGTAGTTTTCCAAGACCCAATTAAATGTCTAAATGTGGAACTAACCCCACACCTGAGGCGACAATGCATAAAGTAAACACAGATATGGTTATATCTAATATAAACAAAGAACAAGAAAGGTAGACAACTTCAAACAATGTTATTGCCGGTGAACATATTGTTTTACAGAGTTTCTATAGATTATAAAATGTTGCTTTTCTCTGACTGTATAAAAACGCCAATACCATTCTTAATGTGTCTGGTTTTACAAATTATTATTAACCATTGCTTTATGAATTGAATATAAAAAAAGAGTATAAAATACAAATAGTCTGACTACAGGAATTATACTAAGGCCAGCTTCTAAATGAAGTCAGTTGGTCACAATACTTTCTTGAAGTATGGATAAAAATGAAAATCATAGTTATTACAGGAACACTTGTAACAAATATATTCAGCCATTCATATATAACGGACATGGCCATTGTACTCTGTCAGGCACCCAGTAGATAAAACCAGGGGTGGGTTAATAACGATATGTAGGGAAAAGAAGCAAAGAGGAATAAAGAGAGGAACGGAGATATAAAGCTCGTTTTTAGGCTGTATATGGGTATTTGGTCTTAAGAATTGGTATGCAGACAAGAAATTGGTAATCGGTATGTCAATATGGGCTTTGAAATTTAATATGGGGATAAAGGCCTTCTGAGACTTAAGAGGCATGTCACAATCACTGAAAAAATACTAGTAAAAAATGAATCTGTACTGAAGATCCAGGAATACGTTGCGGTCATGTTGTCAGTAGATTAGTCCCACCCAATGTCGGGGGTCCTACCTGTTGGGATAAGTTGAGGATTCGAATCATCCATCGGCGGTACCAGGTACCCGTATCGGACTGGATCTCAATGAGTTCATCCTCCTGTTTTATGGTCTTTATCTGCGTCACCTAAGAAACAGCAAGATGGTTGGAGTTGTTAGAGTTAACTGGCCTAGAAACGGACTTTAGATTCTTTGCAGCTCAGCTCATTGAACAATAAAGATATTAAATTCAAGACAAATGGAATTAGTTGGGTTTCAGGGTAGATTTTTGGTGGTGACAGGCTGTATATTTTAACATAATCCTGTAAGCTCCGGCACTAGGCCGAAGATCGAGCGCTGCACAGATTTAACAGTTGCTAGGACTGTAATTTTATTTGATTGGTCTGTTTATGGACCATAAAACACCCCGATAGGTGTGGGCACGGCGAGACGGTCCCTGTTTGAAAGACAGAATTGCGATTTGAATTGTATCTAGCAATCAGATAATTCCTTACAGAAAACACTCTCTCCGGGTGACCTTTGGCCCTCATGTTGGTATCGTGGACCTGTTTCAGCACCATCCAAGCTTCGTCATGTTTTCCATTCTGGAAAAAAACAAGTTTATAAATAACTTCTGATTTATCATGGAAAAAGTACAAATCAATGCAAAGCACACTTCCTCTGGTTTTGCCCATAATTATGCGTAAAAATGCATGCAAGGCCTTCAGAATAAATTCATTTATTATTGAGTAACATTTTCAGGAGATACATTTCATTTGGACGTTTTGCTACCAATCTCTGCATAATTAAGGGTTATTCACGAAAGGGAGAATTCAAAGTGAATTTCAAATTTCAGACCAAAATTTAAAAACTGTAACAGAATTGTCTTGGAGAATGTTTCTAATTTGGCTAGTTTGGCCTAAATTTGGAAAATCGCTTTGAATTCTCAACAATTCCCAATTTAGTAAAAATCCCTGTGTATGAAAACCAAACAATATAAAATATAGCAAAACACCCATGGATATTATTGTATATTACTGCCAGGCTTCTGACATGTTACAGAGTCAAATCTTTAAATTTCACTTTTCCAACTTGGAATTTGAATGTTTGCTTTATCTTTATCTAATTTTTGGGCATTTTAGCAGATTTATATTACCCTATACCTGTACGCTACGTATAAAGGTAGACAGGCCGGGGTATCTCTCAAGATGTATTAGGAGCCTTATCATGATGCCATTTTTAAATTTCTTTCATACAGATTTTGTATATTTCTTCACATTTTTAGGTTTACATTGTCTCCCCAGCTCGTGGTCCGTTTTACCCCAGCCCCCTTTCTCTGTACCCCAAGCATGTGGTCCTTTTTACCCCAGCCCCCTTTCTCTGTACCCCAAGCATGTGGTCCTTTTTACCCCAGCCCCCTTTCTCTGTCCCCCAGCTTGTGGTCCTTTTCTCCCCAGCCCCCTTTTCTTGTCCCCCAGCATGTGGTCCTTTTTACCCCAGCCCCCTTTCTCAGTCCCCCAGCTCATGGTCCTATTTACCCAACCCCATTTTCTCTGTACCCCACCTTGTGGTCCTTTTCTCCCCAGCCCCCTTTCCCTGTCCCCCAGCTTGTGGTCCTTTTCTCCCCAGCTCGCTTTCCCTTCCTTCTCAGCTCACGTTCTCTTTCACCAGATTTCACTTTTGTTCTCGCCAAATGGCAATAATTTCAGGTAAAGAGTCACTGTATCTTCTTACCTCCAAGTAGAAACGAGGGCTTTCAGGCATGGTGGTAAGAGCTCCAAGCGCAAACACTGAAGGAAACGCACACACAAGCACAAATACTCGCCAGCTATGGAACTGGTAAGCAGATCCCATCTGGAAACTCCATCCTGCAAAGCATTCAAATGAATGGTGTAATTAAAAAAACCTGCGACGACGACAGTCATGCTACCCAGCACTGAGAAACAGGAGCATGGGAGGCTTACAATAGTGCAGAATGCATCCGAATTCTAGAACACCCGGTACAATACCATAATACACAACTTTTTTATTACAGGTCTGTGGTAATTTTTACATTTTTCATATAACCATAAACTAAAGTAAAGTAACATAACATATAGATAGGACACCAGAAAAATGTAAAAACTCAGATCAAAATAAATGAGCTATAAAATAGCCGTGTTGGAGAATTTAATCTATTCGACCAAAAATTTGCATTCCATCCCATCTAATTTCCTATAATTTCCGGTTCAACCTTTTTTGGTGTTCATCAACTTATGGAAAATTAATCTTTTGCCCAAATGTTGGGTTTTATTTGGTTGGATAAACTGTTAAACTGCTTAAAAAAAATTGTCATGCAAGCAGTGATGTTAAATTTTTTTTCTGTTTTAAAACATACATTGACTGTATCATTATAAGTCCCATTTCTCTGGGATATCACAGGAAGTCAGTGAAATGACCTAATAGCATTATGCACACATGAACTCTTTTAACACAACTTTCTAATGCAATGAGTTAAACTTATGTAAATCCTTTCATACAGCGTTGTTACTGTGTGGCGAATTTGCACCCATTGCTGTTCCTTACCATAATGTGGAATGATTGCCCATGCCATGGCTGAGGCATAGATGCCCCCAATCATCCAAAACATGCAGAGCCAACTCAAGTGTTCTCCCCTCTTTTCTTGGGCCAGGAACTCAGAGAAATAAGAGAATACAATAGGAATGGAACCTCCAATGCTAGGAAGGAGAGAACAAGACATTTAGTATTGAGAATAGCACAGAGAAAAGTAATGTATGGTCATAAGGGGGTACAAAGTTTAGGATGAAATAGTTTATTTGAATAATATACTAAGCTTAACTATTGGGGTTTAAAATGTTATGGTTTCTTTTCAGTTATTCTCAATTCCTGAATTAAGTGACTAGACCCTGATGAGTGAAAAAGGCTCGAGAGACGGAAAGACATTAACAGACATTTCAGAAACTGAGAAAAGGGGGGTATTTTCTTTTTATTAGAAGTGCAGCTCAGTGTTGAATTCTCTGTTGTTGGATCCTGTAAACATATATTATGACATTGTCCAACAATCCCATATTAGCTCATAGCACCCACCTGCTTAATATTAACTTATACAGTACAGCTATCTGATAATACATTATACCATCCAACTATCATATAATAAGTTATAGCAGTTAACAATTACCTCATACTGTCTAAGCATCTAATATTACTTTATACCATTCAACTGTCCAACATTAACATATGCTATACAGCTAGCGGATATTAGGTTTATACTGTCTGAATGTCCAAAGAACACAGAGCTGCTTGAATGTAAAAAAAAAAAGGGAAATCAAAATCAATGTTTAGTAGGAGTAGGATACCACCAATAAAAACAAGCATGCATTTATAATACTTTTTATCCATTTGGGATATATCTAAAAACAGCTTGTAAAACCTGCAGATCTCTGGTCTGCAGCCTTCACAAGCCCCTCCCTTTCTAACCCCGCCCAGACTTTGTGGCTGTCCAATCACAGACTGCCCAATGCAACTCAATGTAAGGCAAGTTCTCTGGGCAATTACTGTCTCTAGAGTTTATCTCCACTGAGCTAAACAAACCAGGAAGTAAAAGAACTGGTTGTCTGATTGATAGCCTGGGGGGAAGGGATGTAACAAGTTTTGTTTATAATAGAGACAATTTCTATTGAAATCAGTACACACTATTCACACACAAAGCATTTCAGCAAGTTAAACTGTGTTATGTTAGTTACAGAGAAAAGAAAAGTAACAGATGTAAGCTAAATGTATCTTACTCTGTCACTATAGGTAAAACGGGCATAACCCGATAACAACGTTATTGACACCGTGTTGCACTGCTTGCTTAGTTCATTATTGAGACACTATTTTTGTGTCCATTATATTTGATACATTAGGAGCTTTAACCCCTTCAGGACGGAGTCAATAGTACACATTCTGATCAAAACAAAACGTAAACAAATTTGCGCTATATGTCTGTTCAACCGTAATTCACAGCTGTCACATTAAGTGCACCCACACTTATTATATATCATTTTGTTCAGGAAAAACAGGGTTTTCATCTCATATCAAATATTTATATATGAAACATAATTTATTATGAATAAAATTTAAAAAACTGTGAAAGATTTTAAGTTTTTTTAAAAATTTGTAGTTCCGCCTCACATTTTAGCTGTTAATGTCATAATACTGTTAGGTTTTACTTTAAAAAAAATGCCCATATTTGTAATCAGCGATGTCTCACGAGTACAACAGTACCCCCATTAACAGGTTTTATGGTGTTTTGGAAAGTTACAGGGTCAAATATAGAAAGTTCCATTTTCAAATAGAAATTTGCCAGATTAGTAATGTTACCTCTGAGACGGTGTGGTAGCCCAGGAATGAGAATTACCCCCATAATGGCATACCATTTGAAAAAGTAGACAACCCAAGGTATTGAACGTGGGGTATGTTTAGTCTTTTTTAGTAGCCACTTAGTCACAAACATATATGTAACGTCATTCTAAGTGTATTTTAATACTAATATATATACTAATATTAGTATTAAAATACATTACGTATGACGTTACATATATATGATATGTATATATTATATATATATATATATATATATATATAAATACTTTTAATTTATTTTTAATTTAATTTAATTTATTTTAATTTAAATTTTTTTTACACTTTCCACCAGCAGGGGGACTGTCTGGTTAATTACTCCCGGTTCCTCTCCTTTCTTTCACATATTAAAGGACCACTATAGTGCCAGGGAAATAAACTTGTTTTCCTGGCACTATAGTGCACTGAGGGTGCCCCCACCCTCAGGGTCCCACTCCCGTGGTGCTGAAGGGGGAGGAGGGGGTTAATCCCTTACCTTTTTTCCAGCGCCGGGCTCCCTCATTCTCAATGCTTTCCTATGGACGCTTGCGTGCTCTCACTGTGATTTTCACAGTGAGAAGCACGCAAGCGCCTCTAGCGGTTGTCAATGAGACAGCCACTAGAGGCTGGATTAACCCATAGGTAAACATAGCAGTTTCTCTGAAACTGCTATGTTTATAGAAGAAAGGGTTAAACCTAGCTGGACCTGGCACCCAGACCACTTCATTAAGCTGAAGTGGTCTGGATGCCTGTAGTGGTCCTTTAAGCACATTTTTAGTTTTGCACTTTTTTACGTTTTTATCTCGTTGTTTAATAAAGGTTTCTTAATCTTCTATAATTGGTGGTAGCTCTAGTGACTCTTATAAGGGGTTCTACCTACATTAGTTATTTTTGCTTCTAATTAGTGTTTCTTTAAGACATGCAATATGTTTTTAGGGTGTTTAAATGAGCCAGCACCATGATGTTTAACCCCTTAAGGACCAAACTTCTGGAATAAAAGGGAATCATGTCATGTCACACATGTCACGTGTCCTTAAGGGGTTAAAGTGCTAGGATCACAGAGGCCATATTTTATTTTCTCAAGGAGATCAGAATCTATTAGATTGTTTTAGGATGAATTCATGGACAAATTTCTCGAAAGTAGGATTAAAGACTCTCACCCGACTCCCGAAAGAAGCCTGCAGAATAGGAAGGTTCCGTATCCCTGCACGAAGGATGAGAAGAAAGCAAAAACACTGTTGACAGAAAGGGAGATTAGGAGACATTGTTTGCGTCCAATCCGATCGGCTAGTCCACCCCAGAGGAACGCACCCACCATCATTCCCAAATATACGATGAGACCTGCAAGAAGGAAAAGGGGAACAAAAGCAGTGTTAAAATACAGAGTAAACCCATACCTTACCTCCATGGGGCGCTCTGTCTGCTTAGCCCCACCCTTACCTCCATGGGGCGCTCTGTCTGCTTAGCTTGCCCTTACCTCCATGGGGCGCTCTGTCTGTTTAGCCCCACCCTTACCTCCATGGGGTACTCTGTCTGCTTAGCCCCACCCTTACCTCCATGGGGCGCTCTGTCTGCTTAGCTCTGCCCTTACCTCCATGGGGCGCTCTGTCTGCTTAGCTTGCCCTTACCTCCATGGGGCGCTCTGTCTGTTTAGCCCCACCCTTACCTCCATGGGGCGCTCTGTCTGCTTAGCTCTGCCCTTACCTCCATGGGGCACTCTGTCTGCTTAGCTCTGCCCTTACCTCCATGGGGGCTCTGTCTGCTTAGCTCTGCCCTTACCTCCATGGGGCTTGTCTGCTTAGCATGGGGCTCTGTCTGCTTAGCTCTGCCCTTACCTCCATGGGGGCTCTGTCTGCTTAGCTCTGCCCTTACCTCCATGGGGCTTCTGTCTGCTTAGCCCTCCCTTACCTCCATGGGCTCTGTCTGCTTAGCTCTGCCCTTACCTCCATGGGGCTCTGTCTGCTTAGCTCTGCCCTTACCTCCATGGGGCACTCTGTCTGCTTAGCCCCACCCTTACCTCCATGGGGCGCTCTGTCTGTTTAGCCCCACCCTTACCTCCATGGGGCGCTCTGTCTGCTTAGCTCTGCCCTTACCTCCATGGGGCACTCTGTCTGCTTAGCTCTGCCCTTACCTCCATGGGGCGCTCTGTCTGCTTAGCTCTGCCCTTACCTCCATGGGGCGCTCTGTCTGCTTAGCCCCGCCCTTACCTCCATGGGGCGCTCTGTCTGCTTAGCTCTGCCCTTACCTCCATGGGGCGCTCTGTCTGCTTAGCTCTGCCCTTACCTCCATGGGGCTCTCTGTCTGCTTAACTCTGCCCTTACCTCCATGGGGCACTCTGTCTGCTTAGCTCTGCCCTCTCCTCCATGGGGCACTCTGTCTGCTTAGCTCTGCCCTTACCTCCCTGGGGCGCTCTGTCTGCTTAGCTCTGCCCTCTCCTCCATGGGGCACTCTGTCTGCTTAGCTCTGCCCTTACCTCCATGGGGCGCTCTGTTTGCTTAGCTCTGCCCTTACCTCCCTGGGGCGCTCTGTGTGCTTAGCTCTGCCCTTACCTCCATGGGGCGCTCTGTCTGCTTAGCTCTGCCCTTACCTCCATGGGGCGCTCTGTCTGCTTAGCTCTGCCCTTACCTCAATGGGGCGCTCTGTCTGCTTAGCTCTGCCCTTACCTCCATGGGGCACTCTGTCTGCTTAGCTCTGCCCTTATCTCCATGGGGCACTCTACTTAGCAGTGCCCTTACCTCCATGGGGCGCTCTGTTTGCTTAGCTCTGCCCTTACCTCCATGGGGCGCTCTGTCTGCTTAGCCCCACCCTTACCTCCATGGGGCTCTCTGTCTGCTTAGCTCTGCCCTCTCCTCCATGGGGCACTCTGTCTGCTTAGCTCTGCCCTTACCTCCCTGGGGCGCTTTGTCTGCTTAGCTCTGCCCTCTCCTCCATGGGGCGCTCTGTGTGCTTAGCTCTGCCCTTACCTCCATGGGGCGCTCTGTCTGCTTAGCCCCGCCCTTACCTCCATGGGGCGCTCTGTCTGCTTAGCTCTGCCCTTACCTCCATGGGGCACTCTGTCTGCTTAGCTCTGCCCTTACCTCCATGGGGCGCTCTGTCTGCTTAGCTCTGCCCTTACCTCCATGGGGTACTCTGTCTGCTTAGCTCTGCCCTTACCTCCATGGGGCGCTCTGCCTGCTTAGCTCTGCCCTTACCTCCATGGGGCGCTCTGTCTGCTTAGCTCTGCCCTTACCTCCATGGGGCTCTCTGTCTGCTTAGCTCTGCCCTTACCTCCATGGGGCGCTCTGTCTTAGCTCTGCCCTTACCTCCACCTCCATGGGGCGCTCTGTCTGCTTAGCTCTGCCCTTACCTCCATGGGGCACTCTGTCTGCTTAGCCCCACCCTTACCTCCATGGGGCGCTCTGTCTGCTTAGCTCTGCCCTTACCTCCATGGGGCGCTCTGTCTGCTTAGCTCTGCCCTTACCTCCATGGGGCGCTCTGTCTGCTTAGCTCTGCCCTTACCTCCATGGGGTGCTCTGTCTGCTTAGCTCTGCCCTTACCTCCATGGGGTTCTCTGTCTGCTTAGCTCTGCCCTTACCTCCATGGGGTACTCTGTCTGCTTAGCTCTGCCTTTACCTCCATGGGGTATTCTGTCTTCTTAGCTCTGCCCTTACCTCCATGGGGTACTCTGTCTGCTTAGCTCTGCCCTTACCTCATTGGGGCACTCTGTCTTCTTAGCTCTGCCCTAACCTCCATGGGGCACTCTGTCTGCTTAGCTCTGCCCTTACCTCATTTGGGCACTCTGTCTGCTCAGCTCTGCCCTAACCTCCATGGGGTACTCTGTCTGCTTAGCTCTGCCCTTACCTCCATGGGGCGCTCTGTCTGCTTAGCTCTGCCCTTACCTCCATGGGGCGCTATGTCTTCTTAGCTCTGCCCTCTCCTCCATGTGGCACTCTGTTGTCCTTATGCTCAAGAGCAGACTTTGCTGTATCTCTCCTCCTGCCCCAGGACCTACCTGCACTGTGTTTGGATGAGTACAGGAGTAGGTGGCTTGAGTTAAGGACAGACTAGCTGAATGGGTGGCACTATTTCTTACTATGTAAAATTGGGCATCGTCTGCCCTCGCTGGTTAATGCAAGGCAGCAATGATTGTAATCCAGAGATACCATAACCACTACAGAGTGCTTGGAGTAAACTTTGGGGCTCCGTTCAAGTGGCGCAATCACCATGGAAACCAATGGATTGCTCCTGCTGATTGCTGTGACTTTATATTTTTTTATTACATATATCAGGTCTCCATACAGATGGGGATGAAATAATGAAAAGTGCTGCATTGTAGTATGTAGAATTTTTATGATAATGGATTTTGCCTGCAGTGTGTGAAGTCTGTATACAGTAGGCACCATGATATTCCTTCATGCTGATGGGCAGGGCATGAAAAGCTCCCTTACTGTAAGGAGGTAAATCATTAATCAGGGCAATTCCTACTGGCCATTCTTTGATCATGTAACTGGTTCATTTCCAGCAGCATATGATTGCTACATACAGCAGGACATCACTTTTCATATCCTGCCCATCAGCACATAGAAGCGATATCTCTCAATGAAAACGTGGATCCTTGCCATTACTGTATAAAGGGTGTCGGTCTAGAATGTAAAATGTGGATGATATAGTTTAATGTGACTATTGGATACATTGGAGGTGCTGGTAACGAGCAGTTTGGCCAGAAAAATATCAGGGAAATATAACTCGATTCAATAATAAAATATTGCTTGTCTAACAGATAGGCTCGTTGCTTTTTACAGAGAGAGAGTTTGCACACCTGGCTGCAGGTAACTGATTCATACAGGTGTATGGGATCATATTATCCAACTGCTGATTAGCTCACTTGTGTCCAAACAACTAATCTGGGAGACAATGTTCTTCCAGGAGACCCAGAACTAACACCCAATAAGGTAAATTCAGATTACTTTAAATTAGGGCTCTGCTGCCCAGCTCTATATCACAATGTGTATCATTCAGGGTTAGATGCAATTACTGGATCTATTCATAATATAAAATCTGGATCAAGTGCAAGGCTTCAGGCATTGATTGTGTTAGTGTTACTGGTTGGTGCAGAGTTTTGGGGGTCTATACATGTTCCATTAAATAGTGCAAGACATGTTTTAACGCATAAATAACTCTGTATGATTTATTTACCTGTTTGAAACCTGTCACGGATGTTTACACAGTGAATACAGGGATTACACAGTGATAAAGAGTTGTGTCTGCATTTTACCTGGTACATACTTTATATGTGAGATCCGGCTAAGGGGGTAAAACCAGCTGGTGTGGATTGTTTTCTGATTTTGTGATTTGTCTTCACTTTACAGATCCCACGTTACTGAATAACTCTGATCCAGGAATTTATGCTTTGCCACATTCATTGTGTTTTCCTGAACACACTTTACATGTATACTGACTGGGCTGTAAACCTGCCCCACTGATATTCACCTTAAAGGAACAATGTGCCATTGGCACAAACCTCACTATTTAGTAAATATACCCCCTATGATTATACTTTTTTTAATGGGGGTATATTTAACAATGGCTTGCAAAAGCTGCTGATCTATTGTCTGCAGCCTTTACAAGTATTTGGAGAAGCCCTGCTTGGGGTGATGTCACTGCGCACCTCTAGCGTAGACTTCTGTCAGTTTAGTATAAAATCTGCATTCTGTGGTTAAATCATGTAAGTGGCATCTTAAAGGGACACTATGCAGGAGGGACCCCCACTTTACATTATAGCAATACAGCTTCCAATTACAGTCTCTTCAGCCTGTGCCAAGGATGTTGTAGGCTGCAAATACACACCTGTCCCAAAGAGCTTGCAGTCATTTTGGGTTGAACAGGCATGTTCACAAGAAAAGCCTTGGGTCTTAAAAAAGACCCCAAATGGCTGCTCCATTTTATTAGTGTTAGAATGGCACTATAGATATTATTTATAGAACGATGTACGTGTATAACAAACATTTCTTCATTCCTAAGGGTGTGTAGCACAAACAGGTAAGGAGCACATTGTGAAGTCGGTTCTGGGGGATGTCACAGGGGTCTCTTGCTTCTCAATCTCAACAAAGTAAAAGTGATCGAACACACCACCAGACTAGCAGGGTTAATCCTTACAGTGGGCATTTCATAGTGAAATTTAAATATAAAGTCAAAATAGACCAACCGGAAACATTCTCTAAGCCACCTGTTTCCAGTTTATCTACTTGGCTTTAAATTTGAAACTCCCTTTGAATTCTCAGAGTCAGTATTAAAGAGAGAGAGGGTTGAAACGTTGGCAGACTCACAGTGGTGGCTGAAGCATAGTCTGGTGTTGGGGTTTGTAACTGTACTTTGTGGTGATCCTAGCTGGGAGATGTAGCTTCTATATAACACAGACTGGCAATGCTACACTATGGAGGTTGGTATAATAATGACTCTTCTGCTTCAGGAAAGGTTTGAATTAAAGGGACACTGTAGGCACCAAAATCACTTCAACTCATTGAAGTGGCCTGGGTGCAAACTCCCATCACCCTTAACCCTGATTATGTAATTATTGCAGGTTTTTATAGGTCTCCCCGGCCGGCTGACGTCGCTGGAGGAGGAGCGTGGGCAGAGCTGAGCCAGCACCGAGGGACATCAGAACTGGACCCAGGTAAATGACAGAAGAGGTTATTAACCCCTTTTGCACCACAGGGGGCGAGGGGGTTGACAGATGGGGAAGCTGTAGTGCCAGGAAAACGAGTTTGTTTCCCTTTAAGCGGTTAAATTAAGATCTTTCAGCTCCTTAGGAGAGTCCAACAAGCTAGGAAATGGCAGATTTATCCCTAATTTATCTGCTCGTAGTCCATGCTTGACCCGTAAGAATTGGCCTCTAACGCCCATAATGACTGTGGTATAACATTCAGCTTTGATCCATGCGCGGTGACGGTGGGACGTTTCCTTAGATCTATTAAACTAAAACTATATCAGACAACGAATTTCTCCTTTTTAAAAGGGAACTTGGAAATGACACAATTGACAATCATCTTATTAATTATACGAACTCTCTTCTGACGTGATGCTCCATTTTCTTTTCAATTTATATTAAGAATCTAGGAAGTAAAATCATAATCCAGTACAGTCCTGGCACAGCCAAAGCACAGATTGCAGGGATTTTTCCTGTAAATTTTTTATTTTTTTGTACATTAAATTTATTTACAAAATAAGGCAAATGTGTAATCTTACTGGGTAAATATGGCATATTCACTATTTGAAAAATGTTTTTTTTACATTAAAGTGATATTAACTACTCAATGAAGTGGTTATGGTGCCTGGAATAGTCTATCTCGAAATTTGAACAGTTAGTAATGAAGTATCCCCTATTCTGCTGCCTGTTCTAATGAATAAGCATTATTTCAAGCAGTGATGTGCTGAGAGATCCAGAAGGAGTGGCAGCGGACACAGTGGCTATAGACACTCTTTCTGTGTTAACCTGTTTAAAAATGGTAACGCTTGAAGGTAAGATGGCGCCATGTAGCTCCAGACACCATAACCACTTCATTGAGAACAAGTTTTTATTTAAATGGATTTTATAGTGCCAGGAAAACAAAGCCGTTTTTCTGACACTATAGAATCCTACAGTGTCCCACTCCCTCACATCCCCCACTCTCCCCTAAAACTCCTTCAGTCACTTACCTGAATCCAGTGCCGATGTCCCTCGGTGCTGGGTCAGGCTCCGCCCATACTCCTCCACCGCTTTTAGTTGGCGGAGGAGAGCTAAAGCGCAAGTGTGCAATGGCTGCACTCACTTTAGGATTTAAGCATAGCTGAGCATTATTCAATGCTTTCCTACGGGGATTCTGGTGGCGCTAGAAGTCCTCCTGCAGCGCGTGAGGATGTCCAGCGTCATTTAGACGACCGAAAGTCCCTCTAGTGGCTGTCTTGTAGACGGCCACTAGAGGAGGAGTTAACCCTAGCAGGTAATTATTGCAGGTTATCAGAAACTGCAATAATTACTACTGTACCCAGACCACTTCAATGAGCTGAAGTGGAGCCAAGATGGAGGCACCCAGCTCCAGGATAATATCTACAAAGGTGTGAATTTTATTTTTCACATCTCACAAACCCGTTTCTTGCCAGCTTTACTTCTGATACAGGTACTCACACAATAGTTTGCTCTATCTCCCTCGAAGTGATCAAATGAAGGCTCTGATGGACGCCATCTTACTTTTCTAACAGATCGCTTTGCAATATGTAGCGTAATGTCGTGACCTTTGTATCCGGTTTAATGACTAATCTGGTATAAAAGGAAATCTTCGGCAGGGACATTAACATTTATTCTCTAAATTGTAAGCAACTACGCAGGGGATTGCGGAGTTCAGATTTTTATATGGAATCCTTAGAGGTCAGCTGTGACACCCCCTTCATTAATTGCAATTTAAATGAAGGTCTGAGAGGGGACTTTTCTTGCAGCTGCACTGAGTGTCCAATGCAGCGGCAAATGGGGGGGGAGTGGGGCGGCAGCAAACAAAACCACGTCCTATTTATACACTGCTTTGTCACAATGATGAAGATTTCTGCTTCTATCTATACCATTTTAATATAAATTTTCTTTTCTTTAGAGCACAGAAATTGATCCATACATTGTGGCAATGCTGCAACCTGCTGTATAGCAAAACAAAAAGTACATTACCGGCAGCGTTAATAATTTTAAGCTGATGTCATGGTGACGGTTGATTAAAATATAAATGAATTTTTTTTTTTTGTCCCTTTTCCTTAAATCCATGTGCGTGCTGTGCTGTTATAGGAAGTAGCGGGAAGCTTTCTCTGCCACGCTCGCACTGTAATTATTGTAAGAGACGCACAATGGTTGGCTGGGGGTAGGGGAGGACGCGGTGGATCCATGTAAATGGGGTGTTTTAATACTGAGTCCCTGCAATGTCCTCCTACGTTTTTTGGTGCAGTGAAAGCCAGCAGTCCTTGCTCATGGCTCTGTATTGGCTATAGTGCTGTCAATGTCAAATTCAAGGTCGTCTGACTTTTTTTTTTCTTTTTTTTTTTTTCTGCAGTGAGCACAATATGGAGGAGGGGGTGTTGGGATATTTTGTTTGTATTTACTAGACCAGGGTTAGACAGGCAATCTTTGCCACTGCAGCCTAAGGAATGACTCCTAAAACGCTCAGCCATCTTTGTGTGCTTCCGCACTACGACTTCAATGGTGGAGCTGTTTGTGTCTCCTACTGATGCACATTTTGTTTTTCTTCAACAATAGGTGGATTTATGTAAAAACTAAAAAAATAAATTTTTAATTTTCCTAAGGCGCTTGTTAATTTCATAATTTTATTTGTTGGTTTTTTTAACGAATCATTGTGAAGCTCACTCTCTAAATTTGTTATGATCAGATTGGTTAAACAAATCGTTTGGAAGGCGAGGAAGCTAAATTGTGTCTTTCTTTCAAAACCATTGTATACAAGTCACGTTTCTCACATATTAATTTTTTTTTATTTTTTTATTTTTTTTTTATTTTTTTCCACGAATAATTTTGCAAATAAAATCCTCCTTCTAACTAAGGCATTCCTTCACGCAGGCTGGAGAAATAATGAAAAATACTGTAAGCATGTGAATTTTCTTTTGAGCATCGACATTTGCTTCCAAACTATACAGCCGCTGGAGGCTTTTGACATGAATATGCAATCAGGATGTTAAACTGGGAAATAAATAATCCTGAAGGCAATTTGTAGAATCAATGTTTGCAGGATGTATACATTTGTTTGGCAATTTTAACCTGCTCTCTGCTGAGATTGAAGACTGTAATTTCTGTTGATATTACATTGAAAGTGTGGATCGGAGGGGTTAAATGTTGGATTTTTATTTTTATTTATTTTTTGCCCCTTGAGGCATCCTCTGCTTTCTGAGTCAGCAGCAATGGCGTATGAAACGTAGAAATTATTCTGATTGACTTGCGGCAATGCGAACCCTTAGCCTTGCTACGATGGAGGCAATGTGGGCACAGACAAATTAAACCTTGTGCTAATTAGGAGCACTGATGGAGTAATTGCAGCGTGGGTGTGCACGTGGGGTGGAGGTTTGATGTAGTGATGGTATCAAATTGCTTCACAGTAGTAATCAATACGTTTTATTTTAAGGGAAAAGACTGTAGTAATATACAATAATATTACTGTGATATTAATTGCTTTTCCTTTTCATTGAAACAAAGAGGCGCAGCAATAATTCGTATTTCTTCTGTCTGCGCAAGAAGACGGTATTTCTCGCCATGTGCCTAAACGTGTGAAGTCACTATTCCTGCGCAGTGTCTGCCAAATGAGGATTCTGTATGAATAACGGCGCAGTCTCTAACACTAAACGTTATCTGTTTGGCCATGTTTTTACCTCTGCAGTCTGTATAAAGATGTCTAAATAGGCATTATACAGGGGGGCCAGTGTGATAAATGTGTGACTTCTTTAATATCTAATTTGTGACCTTTTATTTTCATATTAGAGATTTTTGTTGTATTTAATGCCACATACCGGATGGCAAACTGATTTAGAGAAACTGATATAAAACCAGTTTAAAATAAATCCCAGTTAATCAGCTCTGAGTGGATGTGTTTCTGGGAGAATCTTTGTGACGGACCGCCTGGCACCCACGACCGGGAACCTCTGCCAATCGCTGCTTCCTAATAATCCTTGAGTACCATAAGCACCGCACTGGAACACCATAACCACCACAAACCGCTGCAGCTTGGTTGGGGTCTCGCTGTCCTCCACCCACCCTGGACCCAAGACCAGGATCCAGCTTCCAGTGGGTAGATCTCTCCTAGTCCAGAGAGCAAAGCAGGTTGCTCTTACAAGAGGAAGTGTTGTAATCCAAGGGAGTATAGTGATTATAGCAATCCCCAGAGTGTGAATATAGCTCTCCAATCCCACAAACATCAGCCTAGACTTCATGAAGGGGTAAAACAAATCTCTTTAATGGCAGCCACAACTGGCATTATATGCAGGTCCCCATACAAGGGGCTCTCCCCACTGGATCTGAGAATAGACTACAGCAAAAACATACAGATGACATTGGCTCTCAGGTCCACACAAAACAGGGTAATCCCTCCTCTGTGCCTGGGAGATAATTGAGTCAGGAACTATACTAAACTCAATTATCTCCAGGCACAGAAAACACACATTTTACAACTTCCTGAAAGTACCCCCAAAACACATGGAAACCCCCCAACAGTCACATCCCCTGATAGCCCTGATCTGCAGGGACCAACATATCCAAAAATCACCCAGATCGCTTCAGGGGTTCAGGATTTCCATGGAGGTCCTAATTTGACCAACTGCACACGAGGATCCTGCCCAAAAGTGTTCCATGAAATCAGGCTGTACGGCCGGTCTTTCAGGAGTACAAAATACAACAAAATGCTGAATAGAACTGTTCGTACGTGTGCTTGCCTTGTGTCCCTCATTCGGGAGTTTGCTCCCACCGAACGCCACTCTTCTCATAGCTCTCTCATTGCTATTATTTCCAGACTATAAAAAAAAAAAAAATATATATATATATATAATTTTTTTACGTGATGACATCATCAGTGATGGAAATGTACTGCACATCTGATCCTGCTTGTAGATTTGATTACCTGGGGGTGGCAATTTTGGGTTATGTAGGCACTATTTTTTTTGTATATATTATCTTGCATGTACTGTAGGACATTAGCATTGAGAAAGGGCTGCTGCTCGAAACGTTTGCTGCTTTAACTTTGTCCTCAAATAAATTGTGGTAGCACCTGGGTGTGCACTCCTATACTGGATGCACAGGACTCTTGTTTGTTGTTTGGTTGCCGCTCTTTTCATACGAACTCCACCAAACATACTTGGAGATGGAAGACCCAATGGTGTTTGTGCCGTTGAATGTCCGATTTGGGTTCCATACAATGAACGACCAAAAACCGCTCTTTGTGTTCGCGGGAACAAGATGGCTGCCACCTCGTGTTCGTCCATACGAACGGCGGCCACCCAGTCGACCGTTTAGAATGTTGCAGTTAACGAGGTCAGTAAAGTTAACAAGCAGCACACATCTCACACGGGTGGTCCGTAAGTTCGGGACTTTGGTTCGGTATACGAACAGAATACTCCTGATCCGTACGGTAAGTCCCATATACCAAACCAGACAAGGGAAAAGGCATGAACAAAGCCTTTCCACAGTCCTGAACCAAAGTCTAACACATGGGCCATAGTCCTGAGGTAAGTGGCTGGCCAGCAGGCCCCCTCCAAGCAACCGTGATGAGGTTCAGTTCGTCAAAATCTTATTCTACATAACATGTTTGAGGTTTATTCACTAAACTGTGAATATTGGAAAATTCTCATACAGCAATTAAGGCCAAAATAGCCGACCAGAGATATAACTGGAGTTTCCTGAAAATGTACAATTCAGAGTCATATTTTTTTTAAAGTTCCATGTTTAATAAACCATACTAAAAGTATATGTTGTGTAATCGGGCAGGTCCTGGATAAGAAATCCAATTAGACAAACATTCTTTGCTTTGTTGGCGAAGGATTCACACACGGTTCAAACCAGGAGCTAGAACTGTCCATCCTGCCTGGAAGAGGGCCGAATGCTGATATACAGACTTGTAACATGAGTCTGTGCCGGCTCTAATCCTATGTTGGTAGGATATATTGAATTGCAAATTTAGGAATTTAAAGTCACATAATCACCACACTTGATTTCTCCCCCCATATGTCGCCTATTTAGACATATTAATACAGACTGTACAGGTACAATATTAAAATATGGCTAAATAGATCACGCTTGGCGTTACAGACTGCGTCGTAATCCCTCTGACAGAAATGGCTCTCTCAATGAGTACTTCCTGTCAGATCTGTGGGCCCTGGGCCGATGCGGCAGTGCACCGGCCCTAAAGGTATGACAATGGCCCACGGTAGGTACAGCACTGGTGATTAGTGCGTGTCAGTCTAGGATCACAGCAAAGTAAAGAGATGTCAGTGTGAGACCTGACCACGTTTCAACCCTCTGTCGCCTTAGAGCTCAGTCTGATGTTGCAGTCTATACGTTCACCGTGTTGTGATCAAGAACCAACAGAACTTCATGATGCCTCCCAGAACCGACTTCAGTGTGCGGTCTCAACCGCATGCTCAGGATTTAACAGAAATGTTTCTTATACAAGTACATCTTTCTATGAGTATTTATTTCTAACATTGCCCTATTAATACTAATAACAATTAGTATTATTTATAATAAGGGAAAGCCAATCTCAGAATGTTATCTAAATAAAGTAACTGCGTGTATTAATGAACACAGACGGCCCTAATGTAAAGACATGCGCAGGCGTGCCCTATAACCAGACCGGTGTGTGATATACCATGTCGGTTACATTTATAAATAACCTCAGCCATTATACTCTTTCCAAACGTACCCATTTATTTGGATAATGAGCGCTGAGTGACACGTCACCGGGTGCCTTGATAACCGGGAAAGAAGGAAGCATTTTGTAGTGTTCCTCCTTAAAGATCCAGAAAATCACAGTAATCAAGGCGTCTCTCTGTGCTAGGTGAGCGCCATGATGCTGCGCAGACACAGGCCCAGCCATTGTCTAAAGATCACGCTTCGGAAATCGTTAACTGACTTCATGGGGATTCTAATTAACACCCTCATTGATAAATTCCCAAGCAGCCATCTTCACAACAATCAGCGTCTTCTGAGCTATTTACTTATCACCTCCCAGCTCAACATTGACATTCTAGCGAGAGTACGTCGAACCAGTCTGATTCTTCTGTTGGCTGACTTCATATCGCTCACCTTGCCTTACTGACAAACTATTTATCAGAGCTAAGCAAACCTTCTATTGTTTCTTACATGAATCCTAATCCCCATTTTACAGACCATATAAAGGATTTACTGCAATAGAAACAATGTATTTTATATAAATACAATAATAGAGGACATTAAATTATGGGGAGTTTGTAACGGAACACTCCATTGGGGGAAAAAATATTTTTCAACAGTTTAGTAGATATACCCCTCAAAGAGAACCTGCATGTATTTGGGGGTGTATTAAAAACAGCTTGCAAAAGCTGCAGACCTCTTATCTTATTGGTGTAACCCCCCAACACAGAGCAATAAGGGGGCTTCTGATGAAGAGAGCTCTGTGCTGGGGGTTACACCATTAAGGGGGGCTTCTTGTAGAGAGAGCTCTTTGCTGGGGGTTACACCCATAAGGGGGCTTCTTGTGGAGAGAGCTCTGTGCTGGGGGTTACACCAATAAGGGGGCTTCTCATGGAGAGTTCTGTGCGCTGGGGGTTACACCCATAAGGGGGCTTCTCATGGAGAGTTGTGTGCTGGGGGTTACACCAATATGGGGGCTTCTCATGGAGAGAGCTCTGTGCTGTGGGTTACACCAATAAGGGGGTTTCCCACGGAGAGCTCTGTTCTGGGGGTTACATCAATAAGGGGGTTTCTCATGGAGAGCTGTGTGCTGGGGGTTACACCAATAAGGGGGCTTCTCACAGAGAGCTGTGTGCTGGGGGTTACACCAACAAAGGGGCTTCTAATGGAGAGGGCTCTGTGCTGGCGGCTTCTCATGGAGAGAGCTCTGTGCTGGGGGTTACACCAATAAGGGGGCTTCTCATGGAGAGCTCTGTGCTGTGGGTTACACCAATAAGGGGGCTTCTCATGGAGAGAGCTCTGTGCTGGGGGTTACACCAATAAGGGGGTTTCTCACGGAGAGCTGTGTGCTGGGGGTTACACCAATAAGGGGGCTTCTCATGGGGCTGTGTTGCTGGGGGTTACACCAATAAGGGGGTTTCGCACGGAAAGCTGTGTGCTGGGGGTTACACCAATAAGGGGGCTTCTCACGGAGAGCTCTGTGCTGGGGGTTACACCAATAAGGGGGCTTGGAGAGCTCTGTGCTGGGGTTTACACCAATAAGGGGGCTTCTCATGGAGATTGATCTGTGCTGGGGGTTACACCAATAAGGGGGCTTCTCATGCACAGAGCTCTGTGCTGGGGTTTACTCCAATAAGGGGGTTACTCAAGGAGAGCTGTGTGCTAGGGGTTACACCAATAAGGGGGCTTCTCACTGAAAGCTGTGTGCTGGGGGTTACACCCATAAGGGGGCTTCTCATGGAGAGCTGTGTGCTGGGGGTTACACCAATAAGGGGGGCTTCTCAAGGAGAGAGCTCTGTGCTGGGGGTTACACCAATAAGGGGGGCTTCTCACGGAGAGAGCTCTGTGCTGGGGGTTACACCAATTAGGGGGCTTCTCATGGAGAGAGCTCTGTGCTGGGGGTTACATCAATAAGGGGGGCTTCTCACTGAGAGCTCTGTGCTGGGGTTTACATTAATAAGGGGGCTTCTCATGGAGAGCTTCTATCCTTTTCAATGAGTTGTAGTACAGTGCACCTGTCGCAGGGGGTTTCTGCCCCCAATTCTAAAACTGCAGATTCACTATTGAAACCAGCACTTTTATAAAGTGTCAAGAAAATGACTGACAACAGACTCGTAGAGCATTTCAGCAAGCTTTGTGTGTGTGGAACGTGCCGTTAATACTAACTTATCCTGTGTTATCATGGTAATGAAACTGTCTCCATGAAGCATCTACACGCATTTGGGTTAAATAACCATTATTGTTTTCTAAAAATACAATACTGAATTCAAATAAATCAATAGGTACAAATAGAAGTAACGAGCTGTGTAAATAGTCATGGTTTGTGCCTTCATAACATGAGTGAACACACGCTCACACTAACCAACCTGTATTACAATTATTTACATAGCGCCAACATATTCCGCAACGCTGTACAACAAGAAAAAGACAAACATTTCATTCTAAGACATGTCTGAAGGTGGAGAGCCCGGCCCAGCTAACACCCACAGCGCTGCCTCGGAATACAGGTTCATTTATATTCATGTGGTTCATTCGCTGCTCTCTAGCACGTGGCTTCATATATGTGTGGCACTGGTAGTGTGCCCTGTACAGCACTGTGAGACATTAACTACAAGCACCCAAACTGGGCCACAGCAACATGTATGATCCTGAAACCACATTGTTTCAGACTGAACTGTATGAGACTGTGAGTGATGATCCCATGGTCATGATTGCTAATTTGCACATGAAGTCACATTTTGCCTTTTCTGTTTTTACACAATGTTCCTTCTTGGAGAAAATGTTATGTTCTGCCTGTGGTTGAAATCTATGAACAGTTCTGATGGGACAATCCTACTGAGAAAACTGATTTCTAACGATTATAATAGATAGGAACCAGCGCTTATTACAAATAATTAAAATAAATACAATTGGTTACAAATATCTTCAAACTAGCTGCTAAACATTCATATGGTGCTTCCAACACCTCAAACAACAAAATACTTGAAAAAAAAATGGAAGAATGTAGCGCTTATGGAGATCAATTGTCACTTTTTAGTAGTCTTTGAGGAATATATACGAGATCGGCGACCAAGTTCCTGGAAAGGAAATAGTCGCATAGATGGTATTTTATAAAGTAATCTTTAGTATAAGAATATATGAATAAACTCACAAACGGGGAGCTGTAGACTCAGCTCTGGTTTGTATCGCTTTTGGATCCGTTTAGGCGATCCTCCCCTTATCGAAGTTATATCACTGCTGGGTCCGTTTGGATAATCTTCCCTCTTCTTTGGTTAATTTCCAGTATTGTGACTCTTATCCTAAGAAGAGGGTAAAAACACGGACGATTGCGCAGTACTATTTAGGATTCCCTTATAAGATAATAAAAATTCCCAAATGGGTACTTACAAGCATGGAGTCAAGTAATTTGACTCAATTTTCACGTATTGTGCAGTGTGGGACTGCACTCCCATCAAGAAAAGGCAGGTGGGTTAGGTGAATCCAGGAGTCCAAGTAGTGATAAAAGCTAACTTTATTAAAAAATAAAAGGGCATAATTATGCCTAAAATCTATTAAGAAAACAAAGAGCATCAATATGCTAAAATTCAGGAAACCAGAACGCGTTTCGCCACTATACTGTGGCTTTTTCAACTGGATAAATTAATACAATGTTGCCTGTTCGCTGGATACTATTTAAATACTCTCATGTTTGGCGGTGAAAGATCTGTGATGACGCCGCAACATGCTGTTGCCACCCACAGGCCTCTATCTCGTTTACATACACAGTCGGCAAGTGAAGTTCCCGTACACCGGTACAGCTTAGCAAGAACCTCGCGCATATGAACGGCAGATTTTGTCTCTGTATAACACTGCCGTTAACCACTTATCAAAAATCATTACAAATACAGCATTTCAACTTGTCACTTATCTAAAATGCTTTCAGATGCTGCCCATATATAAATTCTCTTATTCCTTTGTCTTATATTATCTCTGTATAACGGTATCATTTATCACTTATCAAAAAGTCATTTCAGATACAACCTTACAGCTTATTAATTGTCTCAAATGATTTCTAAAGTTTCTCATATAAAAAATTGTCCTTTCACTTATCTCTTATGACCTTGTATCTTCCTTCTTCTTCTCTTGTTCTTTTCTGTATCTGATGTAATAAAGTCCATACAAACAAATTCCCTTTCATGGTCGGGAAGGTGTTTAGTTCATATATGGTTCAATAGTCCATCAAATTCCATAAATCAAAAGTGTCATAAATACATAAAAGAGCATAAAACTATATAAGAAGCAAGTAAAATATGTATAAATCTAACTTGGAATATGTTGTTGGAATCTCCTACAAAACTCGAAAACTTGAAAACAGGGGTAAAAAAATTTTTGGGGGTAAAAAGGTCTCAAAAAAAAAAAAAAGGGAAGGGGGGGGGAGAAGGAGGGAAGAAGAGAGGGGGATTATAGAAAATGGCATAACTCAAAATCTCAGTTTAAGCCATAGGGGATCAATGTGTTAAGTTTATAGATCCACTCCATTTCTGTTCTTCCCAATTCTCTGATAAAATCTCCCCCTCTCCAGTTCTTATTCAACTTTTTAATTCCCATAAAAGTCAAACCTTCTGGCTTCTGATTATGAAATTTTTTAAAATGATATGAGACACTGTGTTGTTCAAATCCTATTTGGATTTTATATATATGTTCTCTAATTCTCGTGTGCAAAGGCCTTGTTGTTCTTCCTACATATTTGAGTCCACATGGACATATCAGGAGATAAATTACATTTTTAGTGTATTTGTTTAAGGGTTGGGTCCTGAAGTAATATAGGCCAATATCTATTTATAATTCTAAAACTTTAAAACAGGGCTAAAAAATTTTTTTGTGTAAAAAGGTCTCAAAAAAAAAAAAGGGAAGGGGGGGGGAGAAGAAGGGAAGAAGAGAGGGGGATTATAGAAAATGGCATAACTCAAAATCTGAGTTTAAGCCATAGGGGATCAATGTGAATGATTTTTTACCGAAGCAGGTTGAATATATATTAGAAGGAATAGGATTGATCGTAAAAAATAATTTTTTTTTGGTATAATGACAACTATTTTCTACAAATCAATGGGACGGCCATGGGGACTAAGTTTGCCCCCAGTTACGCCAACTTGTTCATGGCCTCTTGGGAAGATCATTTTGTGTATGAAGGTCATGACTGGGGGGAGAACTTGGTCCTCTATGGTCATTACATCGATGATATTATACTAATATGGAAAGGTGAAGAAATAGAGTTAACTAAATTCTTAACGTTTTTAAATAGTAATGACTGGGGTATTAAATTAAGGACCACATACAGTAAGGATATAATTAAATTTTTAGATTTAGCCATTTTTATAAAAGAAGGGAAAATCCAAACTAAAAACCATTTCAAACAGGTGGATTGCAACAGTTTTATTGAGAAGATCAGTTGCCACCATTCTCCGTGCCTGGAGAATGCCCCTAAAGGGCAATTCCTCAGAATTCGGAGAAATTGCAGTGATGTGACCAATTGTGAAGATCAATCACTGCACATTAAGACGGATTTTTTCAATAAGGGAAATGATGCATCCAAATTGGAAAATTCAAGATTGGAGATAAGAGGTAGGGAAAGAAAGGAATTATTAACTTACAAAACAAAAACTAATAAGGAAATACAGGATGTCCCATTCATTTGCAATTACAACACAAGCAATCATCAAATACGTAAAATTATAAATAGATATTGGCCTATATTACTTCAGGACCCAACCCTTAAACAAATTCTTCCAGTAAAACCCAGAATGATATATAGAGGAGCAAGGAACCTTAAAAATACATTGGTGAGAAGCTTTATAAAAGAAAAGAATCATTCTTCTACGTTGTTCAAGGATGAAAAGGGTTTTTATGGATGCGGACAGTGCACAGCATGTAAAAAGTCAGGCTGTAATAGAAGGATAATAAAGGAAATATTAACTAATAAAGACTTCACTATTCCAATTAAACAATTCATGACTTGCTACACTAAAAATGTAATTTATCTCCTGATATGTCCGTGTGGACTCAAATATGTAGGAAGAACAACAAGGCCTTTGCACACGAGAATTAGAGAACATATATATAAAATCCAAATAGGATTTGAACAACACAGTGTCTCATATCATTTTAAAAAATTTCATAATCAGAAGCCAGAAGGTTTGACTTTTATGGGAATTAAAAAGTTGAATAAGAACTGGAGAGGGGGAGATTTTATCAGAGAATTGGGAAGAACAGAAATGGAGTGGATCTATAAACTTAACACATTGATCCCCTATGGCTTAAACTGAGATTTTGAGTTATGCCATTTTCTATAATCCCCCTCTCTTCTTCCCTCCTTCTCCCCCCCCCTTCCCCTTTTTTGAGACCTTTTTACCCCCAAAAATTTTTTTACCCCTGTTTTCAAGTTTTCGAGTTTTGTAGGAGATTCCAACAACATATTCCAAGTTAGATTTATACATATTTTACTTGCTTCTTATATAGTTTTATGCTCTTTTATGTATTTATGACACTTTTGATTTATGGAATTTGATGGACTATTGAACCATATATGAACTAAACACTTCCCGACCATGAAAGGGAATTTGTTTGTATGGACTTTATTACATCAGATACAGAAAAGAACAAGAGAAGAAGAAGGAAGATACAAGGTCATAAGAGATAAGTGAAAGGACAATTTTTATATGAGAAACTTTAGAAATCATTTGAGACAATTGATAAGCTGTAAGGTTGTATCTGAAATGACTTTTTGATAAGTGATAAATGATACCGTTATACAGAGATAATATAAGACAAAGGAATAAGAGAATTTATATATGGGCAGCATCTGAAAGCATTTTAGATAAGTGACAAGTTGAAATGCTGTATTTGTAATGATTTTTGATAAGTGGTTAACGGCAGTGTTATACAGAGACAAAATCTGCCGTTCATATGCGCGAGGTTCTTGCTAAGCTGTACCGGTGTACGGGAACTTCACTTGCCAACTGTGTATGTAAACGAGATAGAGGCTTGAACCGCACACGCTTTGACCACTGGTCACGTAAACCCAAGTTCTTGTGCCCCTGTCTAGTATTGTACACATCGGAGTTTACAGAGCTTTGCAAAGGTGGATGGATAAAATATTAGTTTCATCTCGACCTTGTGGCATAGATATATATATATCCCAGTCCTGCACTCACTTGTCTGTTTAATTTATCTTGCCACGGTGCACTTCCAGCCTTAGAATTATAAATAAACTCAAATGAGAGCACTCACTAGACTTTCTTTCAAACACTATTTCCAAAACCTCAGCGTTTCAGTCTCAATCTGGACTTTCATCAGGACCATTCTGATGAAAGACCAGATTGGGACTGAAAGTGTTTGAAAGTAAGTCCTGTGAGTGTAGACTCTCACCATGGAATGGACGGTTTTAACCCCTTAAGGACACATGACGTGTGACATGTCCTAATTCCCTTTTATTCCAGAGGTTTGGTCCTTAAGGGGTTAATGTAGGGACAGCTCTGGGACACACAAGTCTGGGTGCTGCCTGAGATTAGTGTGAGTCACAGTTCTGGGTTGCCATCATTAAAATGGCATCAGGTACCACATGGGAGGTATAGTCCTACTAATCTTAGGCAGACTGGGACTTTTTTTTTTCTTCACAGGACCCCCCTGAGTTTAGGACCCCAAGACTGCACAGACGTGATCTGTTCATTATAGGGAATTACATCACCTTTCCTGCAGTTTGGGATTCTAAGACATGATTTGCCTGTTTTATAATAACACGTGTGATCTTTTTATTTTTGCTTCTCCCCCATCACTGGAGTTGTGTCATTGCCTCTGGCATTGTCCAGCTAAGACTGACCCCTTGTCTTCAGACAAATCTTGTAGACATCCTTGGATGTCCCATTCAGTGTCCTCTCCTGGCTGTTCTTTAACTGGTGACATTGTAGGAGCATTGATTTGATGCTATTCTAACGTAAAACCTCCAGTTCGAACCTTCGTCACTGTGTATAAAGCTCGTTCTATGATTGGCAATTCAAGAATGACACAGGAACTGCAGGAGAACCGAAAAACATGTGAGAGAAGAGGAAACTGTATGAGACCTCCTATAGATCCTGCCCTAGTTTTCATGTAGCAGTCATTTAAATCCGCATTCCTGCACTGTTCCCTGTCCATTCGATTTGAAAGGTTTCTGGCATTTGCTAGTCACTTAGATGTGTGTGGGCGTCAGAATGAATTTGCTCTTGCCAGCGGGGACTTCTCCAGCGTCGTGGCTGGAACCACAACGTGAAATTAAATGCCACGACTCTTACTACGAAAAATTACAATTTTCTCTGTAGTCTCTTAATTATCCAACCGTGATATATTGGGACAGGACCAGTGTCTATCTCTGCGACTCCTTCAGATCTGTGAACGTACATTTTAAACACTGTGTTTCATAGAAAGGGAGTGACTTATTCCAGTTATTATGTCAAGGAATATGTTCATTTTACGGGGCTCCAGAATTGACAAGAGAGTTTCAAAAATCTGGAAAAAAAAACCTGTAGGTTGCACTTGACATGTAAGCTGTCCACAATTCTTGGTTTGTAGATAAGCCCCCACAGAATGCTTTTTTATACAGCGGTTCCTTACCAATATGAATATGATGACCATTCTAGAATTTGATATTGTGGTATCTCTGCCAGACTGCCCTTAATAAACCTGAACAACTTATTTTACTTTTAGAAAAGAAGAGAAGGGGGAGAGGTAATAGAATGAATACTATCACCACTCCTCCAAAAAAAAGGTTACAGGAGGTATAGGGGCTTAACCCCGAGATTAATACAGAATAGAGACAGCACAGAATAGGGTAGGGCATCCACTCACAACAAATGGGTGGAAAACCTAACCCACTCAGAAATACCTCCTAGTGTAAAAGGGTCACATTAATGGGGTAAATAACCTTTATTAGAACGTACTAAACATGTATAATGATTGTGGAACTTGAACTCCCAAGTGTATTCAAAACAGATAAGTGGGTGCATATACCTTTAAGGAACCGAAAAAACTAGTCCTATCTAATTAATGCAGCTAGATGCAAGATGGAAATGTAGAAAAGATCATCTAAATATGAAATGGACACAAAGCTACACTGACTAATTAAGTCACCTCAAAAGATGCTTTAAAAAAATGCTTCAAAAAAGGTGAACTTGTATAGAAATATTTATATCAATCCAATGGATTGGGAATTAGTATGAAAAATAATGAGTGGCAGATTCCTAGTAGGAGGTAAAGGCATAAAGTTCAAGGTGTGTAGGGTAAACAGATTCCCTTTAAAAAAGAGAAAAAAAAAATGCCCCCCTCCCAAATTCCAAACACAGGGAGGAACTCCCTATAAACGCCCTAAAAATAAACTGTCAGACTAAGAGTAAATCTCTGCTGCTTCATGGCAGCCTATCCAGCCCCTTAAATAGCTAATGACAGAGCCCAACTTCTCAATTGCCTAATAGGGAAACCCAGTTCCATCACAAAAAATTATAATAAAGGGAAAATAAAGTAAATTCAATAAAATTAGCGTTGGCTACATAATCATAATCTCGAAGCGCGTTTCGGCGTTTAAACTACGCCTTTGTCAAGAGCCAGTGGGTTATTTTACTTTTACTTCGTTTATGAAACCACGCAATCGGCCTACTCAAACCGGCCTTAGATGATAAATCTGAGGGAACGTTTTTAGCGAAGTGGGCATCACTCGAAGGGGAATATCAGCATAAATAATGATACGGCCAAGATTGGGCTGGTGGCAGTCTGCACAATGTGTGCAGTAAGAAGCCATGGGCTATATAGTGTATATACCGGGAACACCTCAATATGGGAGGAGGCCTGGGAATATAAATAAATCACAATCAATACTCCTCTGAAAGGGAACGCCGTAAATGTCAGGTCAGAAAATACAAAAAAGGAATAAATACAATAGTGTGCGCTGTTCATATTGTCTCGGAGCTTGAATTGAAATTTTGGGCAGTTCCCTTTCAGATTCGTATTGATTTATTTAAATCACGATGTGGGGCAGATAAATATCCTCTCGTGTCCATCCTCACTAAACGCCCAAGTACAACAGTGACCCTTTTGTTCCGATTGTATGTTTAGGGGAAGAGCATCGGTCACGGTGATATTTACAAAAAGCAATGGATGCTCCGGAAGCGAGACTCCAGGACAGCGGCGCACTGAAGACGCTCTAAGTGACCTGACAGATTTTAAGTGTTGACAAAAAAAGAAATCGAGAAATGTTTCTGTCTGTATTGGAGATCGGTGGCTTCTCGTACAGTTAATGCAAGATCAATCAATGTTGTTTTTTGTTGATCCTTTTGCTGTGCTTGACATTTTTCCGTGACATTATGAAGGTCATTACACGAGACCTGACTGATCAGGACAACCATCACCCTTTAAATACAGGAAATGCTTTCATTGTAAAAGTCTTTTTCACCAAACAATTAACTGAATTGAAAACCAAACTGCAAAATTTAGGCAAAAATAAGTGACCTGGAAAAGGTTGTCCAAACTTGATCTAGTAACAGATTCGCTACTGTTGCATAAACGTTTTGCCATTGTACTCTCACGCATTGTCTAACTTGATCCACATATTGTGTTGTTTAATCCGCTTGCTGTATTCCCTGTAACCACAACCACAAAAACCTGTACTAAAGGATTCCTGGTCTCAGCCATACTGTACATGTTATTTCTCTGGTACAGTCTATGGTGAAGGTAAAAGGTCACTCTAGACACCATAACTACCTATGCTCATTGCATGAGCCATAATTCAGACACCATTTCTGTCTCCCTACACACTGTTGCTAATAATTGCAGTGATTTTATAAAAATCACTCTGCAAATAGCCATCCACCACTGGCTCTCTGCGTAGTCACAGACCTTCCAATGGTAGAGAGGAATGTGTGGGTGTAAGTGGAGTATGGGGAATTACTAATAACAATTTATGTGACTAGAACAGGAGCAATGTATCTTATTAGTAGAAAGGGGGATCGAGGGAATTGGGCCTAAAATAGGGACTGTCACTTCTAAATAGGGACACTTGGGAGTTATGCTCTTGTTTGGCTGGGAATTCACTGCATGGTGCACTGTTACAAAGCGTGCCATTTGGATAGCTTTTCACACACTTTTGGGTGTACTTTGCACAGCTTTTTTTACGTCCACGTTTTAAGTGGATTTGAACAATCTCTCACATTATCGTGTTAGAGGATTGAGTTTAAGATTTTTTTTGCTGCTTTTGAGACCTCCCTGCTGATACCTGCTCTCCTCCAGCCAGGGGAAATCTTTCAAAACATTGCAGGATATTGGAGATTATGGGTTGAGGTTTATAAGTTCCTACAGTGACTGTTATATAATTTTATTTTTTTCCACATTAAAAACAGAATATCTTTGAACCCTGCTTTGGGGTGCAATACTATTCCTATTAACTGAACACATATTCAATTGAAGGAACATAAATGCAAACAAATGTATCCCAACTTATCTGTAGCATGAATGTAGAGGAGCACTTGTTTTGGTTTTGACCTCTGATTCACGCATTGTTTTGCTGAAATTCTAACTTTTATAGTGCTGTGAAAAGGAAAACTTACCGAGCATGCCTTTGTTGGAATCTGACAAGCACATGTCCTTCTCTGCACTGGGTAATACGAAGCCCACCACAAATATCTCCACCCCATCGGCCATCATGGCAAGTCCAAGAACAAAGTAGAGTGTCCACTGAAACCGACCATGTCCACACTCTTGAAGAATCAGCTCGTATTGTTGAGCCAGTTCCTCTTTGTCTTTTCGTCGTTGCCCTTCTAAATCTTCAAAGTCTTTAAACTCCGTTACAAGCTGCTGGTTATTTGTTAGGTGGTCACCTTTCATGGAGTCTGCTCGAGGAATTCCTTGATATTCTCCTTCGTAGATTTCATCATCCTCATCATGGCCTTCCGTAGCATCACTGGATGCCCCTTCCTCATCATTAAGAGGATCACCTCTGTAGTATCCATCCTGAGGCGGATAATCATCATCGTCATCATCCTCTTCAAACCGTGTGTAGGATCGTTTTGTGTACTCATCCTGCACCTTATCTACACTCCTACCAACCTTCTTGGCTGCATGCTTTTTAACTTCTTTAGCAATGTCTTTAGCGCCACGTATAAAGGCAGTCCGGTCTTTGAATGTTTCATCCATGGCTGGCCTTGTAAGGGTTCTATGTTAAAAATGTATGTATTTTGAGTTAGAAGGTGGGAAACAAATGAGTTTAGCTTTTCTATGCAGTGATTCTTTTCTGGATGTGGAATGTTTCAGGACTGCTGTGTGTGGACAGCTCTCCTCAGATACTTCTGCCAATGTGCAAGCTCGGAGACCATAGATGACATCCCACCAACGATTTAAATGAAAATATTGAGTCTTTAGATAACGCCAAGGAGAATAATGTTCTTTTTCCAAGAATCAAAAGTTCCTCCCCTTATTCAGAATCCCACATAGCTCTCGATTCCTAAAAAAAAAAAAGATAATAGAAATGTAAGAAAGAGAACATGTAATTTGTAGACATTTGATGTTTTGCGTTGGTAATGTCTGGAATAATCTACAACTGAGAGACCCAGATGTTATCACCTAGTGAGATTTCAGATTTAAATACCAAGAAACACAGCCTGGTCCTCAAACATGATTCTGCTAACTTTGTTAGCGTTTGATAGTGTTTTATAAACGTATCACTCTTCCTGCTCTCTGCTTGGCTTTATAGCTACGTTTTATTTGTTCCACTTTATGCGGGTTTGTGTGTTTAAGTACTGTATAGTATGATCGAATATGTATATATATTTATCCATTGCATATTTAACTGTTTTAAATTGGGCAAATTAATGTGATTTTGTTTATTTAGATTTTTTTTTTAATTAGTATGACTTTCATTTAAATAGATGTTAAAGGACTTGGGGTCAGAGGCTCTCACAATGGAAATTGATGGTATATGGTCCTCACTGCCTTTGTTTGCTGTTCTCATACCGTCTCTCCTGTCTGCCCAGCTAAGGTTCGTTTTAGGTTTGTCTTGAAATCGTTTTTTCAGTTTCCTTTTTCTGATCGGGTAAAATGGACAGGAAGTTGGGCACCAAACCGCTTCCCTCCCCACCTCCCAGAATATTTAAAATAACACAAACAACCTGTACTAGTAATATTATAGTACCCCTGTATCACTAGATAGATTTAATCCCCATTCCTCCCCTTTTGGCATGAAAATATATAAAAACAACATTTTACTATTTTACAGCTGCTCCACCTCCTGCAACATCATCAAGGAGGTCCTGCTCCTTCAGTGTCTAATCCAATGTTTGCCATAAAGGAGTATCAGGGACATGGTGCATGGTGAGTGCCACGCGCATGGCCAATCCTTCTCATAGGAAAGCATTGATTCAATTCCCATACCTCCCAAGTGTCCCTATTTAAGAGGGACAGTCTCTATTTTGGGCCTAAATCTCTATTTCTCTCAGAGCTCCACAGCAATAACACTCCCAGTAATGTGTCTAAGTGTATAACAGAGCTCCGCAGCAATAATACTCCCAGTAATGTGTCTGAGTGTATAACAGAGCTCCACAGCAATAATATTCCCAGTAATGTGTCTGAGTGTATAACAGAGCTCCACAGCAATAATATTCCCAGTAATGTGTCTGAGTGTATAACAGAGCTCCACAGCAATAATATTCCCAGTAATGTGTCTGAGTGTATAACAGAGCTCCACAGCAATAATACTCCCAGTAATGTGTCTGAGTGTATAACAGAGCTCCACAGCAATAATACCCCAGTAATGTGTCTGAGTGTATAACAGAGCTCCACAGCAATAATACTCCCAGTAATGTGTCTGAGTGTATAACAGAGCTCCACAGCAATAATACTCCCAGTAATGTCTAAGTGTATAACAGAGCTCCACAGCAATAATACTCCCAGTAATGTGTCTGAGTGTATAACAGAGCTCCACAGCAATAATATTCCCAGTAATGTGTCTGAGTGTATAACAGAGCTCCACAGCAATAATACTCCCAGTAATGTGTCTGAGTGTATAACAGAGCTCCACAGCAATAATACTCCCAGTAATGTGTCTGAGTGTATAACAGAGCTCCACAGCAATAATACTCCCAGTAATGTGTCTGAGTGTATAACAGAGCTCCACAGTAATAATACTCCCAGTAATGTGTCTAAGTGTATAACAGAGCTCCGCAGCAATAATATTCCCAGTAATGTGTCTGAGTGTATAACAGAGCTCCACAGCAATAATACTCCCAGTAATGTGTCTGAGTGTATAACAGAGCTCCACAGCAATAATACTCCCAGTAATGTGAGTGTATAACAGAGCTCCATAGCAATAATACTCCCAGTAATGTGTCTGAGTGTATAACAGAGCTCCACAGCAATAATACTCCCAGTAATGTGTCTGAGTGTATAACAGAGCTCCACAGCAATAATACTCCCAGTAATGTGTCTGAGTGTATAACAGAGCTCCACAGCAATAATACTCCCAGTAATGTGTCTGAGTGTATAACAGAGCTCCACAGCAATAATACTCCCAGTAATGTGTCTGAGTGTATAACAGAGCTCCACAGCAATAATACTCCCAGTAATGTGTCTGAGTGTATAACAGAGCTCCACAACAATAACACTCCCAGTAATGTGTCTGAGTGTATAACAGAGCTCCACAGCAATAATACTCCCAGTAATGTGTCTGAGTGTATAACAGAGCTCCACAGCAATAATACTCCCAGTAATGTGTCTGAGTGTATAACAGAGCTCCACAGCAATAATACTCCCAGTAATGTGTCTGAGTATATAACAGAGCTCCACAGCAATAATACTCCCAGTAATGTGTCTGAGTGTATAACAGAGCTCCACAGCAATAATACTCCCAGTAATGTGTCTGAGTGTATAACAGAGCTCCACAGCAATAATACTCCCAGTAATGTCTCTGAGTGTATAACAGAGCTCCACAGTAATAATACTCCCAGTAATGTGTCTTAAACTACAATAAATCTGTTTAGAAAGAACACTGTTCTTGTTATAAATGCCGTTTTTAGTCTCCCTGCCCATGGCAACTTCCTTGCTAACAAAATGGTCATTTAATTAAAAAAATCATGCAGTTTTTCAAAATATCTTAAAATTGTGTCATGAGAGCTGCTTATGTATAAAAAGTCTAGAATTCAAAAAAATAATCACATTGCTCTACGTTTAATCGTTCCCAGGTGTGTTTTTGTTTTGAGAGAAAATTACTTAATTGTCAGAATTTTTCATTTAAATTTTTTATTTATAATTGTATGTCCACGAACCAGTGCTCGAATTCTGAATTTTGATAGATTTATACTGTAAATATGATATGCAGCAAAGTATGCAATTTATTTTCCAGAGCAGCCATTTTGTTCAGTGTAGCGTTAAAGTTGGCCTTTGTTATAGATAAAATGGTGGCAGGCCTAGTAAACATGCAGCATGTACGTTGTATAAGAGTGACTCAGCGATGAGCTGTGGCCGTGCTTCCAGAGGATCGGTGTAAAAGCTTGGGGCGTCCATGCTTAATAGCAGATCATTTCTCCCAGTCCTTACGGCAATGGAAGTCCTTTTTGTCCTACGTAAACCATCTGAAAGGGACCGTTTGACCTGCCTAATGCGTAATGCACTCGTAGTTAACTTTTTTTTTTTTATTCTTTGAAAATGTTTTCCAGTTTGCAGATTCTGTGCTTTTTCATTGCAATATGAATCCCAAATAATGAAAATAGGACAATTATTTGGATGTAACAATCTGCACCCCCCCCATCTCACCCCTCCATGCTGCGAGCAACGAATTGGCCTTGAGAGATTAATGGAGTGAGTGAGAAGTCAGCAGTCATTCTCAGCGTGTCTGCAGGAAAGCCAGAGGGCAATACATGTAATCACAATAAGTGAAGAGGAATTAATGTCACCAGGAATAAAATCATCATGGGAAGGAGGGGAAATAGCTGGAACCAAGATTGAATTAAACAGACACTCCACTATATAAATAGAATAAAAATCTCGGTTTAGTAGATATACTCTCAACAAAACTTTTTATGCATTTAATTATAAATTATATATTTTTTCATTGTTATGTATATAAAACCGCATGCAATAACTGCAGAACTCTGCAGCCTTTACAAGCCCTCCCCTTCTAACCCCGCCCAGACTTTCTGTGGCTGTCCAATCGCAGACCACCAATGAGAAGTTTTTTTACTGAATTTCCAGCTGATCGATCATGTCAGCAATAGTTTGCTAAAAGGATTCATTTCGAGTACCCCCTGCTCGATCTATTTAATCACCCATTTCAGGTCTCTTGTCCTTGAACGTATAACCCAGCATGCATCTCGTGCTATCTTCTTGATTGACTGCCTATGTGCGAGGTATCAAGAAATATATTGCATCAAAAAACGAAACTACGAGAGCTTAAAGAACGGGCAAAATCTTAGAGAAACTCCGTAGCTTACCCTTCGGCAATCCCTGCTCAGGTTAAAAAATGTTTTGATATTCAAATAATATAGGTTCTCTCTGTAATGGCGCAAGTGAGATCTGAGCGGCGAGTAATCTAAGGAAATGATATGGAGTGTGTCTAAGATTTTGTCCGTTCTCATATTCTGTGTATTTGTTGTAGTAAAGGATTATAATAAATTATATGGCGCTGACCTATTCCACATCGCTTTACAGCGTTGTATCGGTGATTGAACGGCAAAGAATTGATAAAGGAATGTGAACAGAAGCAGGATGTAAGGCAGGCCTGCTCGGCCATAAAATGCTGTTAAGACGAAGACCTTAATTTGTCCCTCCAATACAGAGTACGTATTGTCATGGTAACATAATTATTATGGTGTCCATTTAGAGGGGGACAGCTCTGGTGGTCCTGGAGATGGACTCACCCACTCTCTGAGCCCCCCACCGTGCTTAATCTTGGTTGTGGCATACGAGCCCACAGATATACCGAGCACCTTAATGACGACTTGTGATATCCTCTGTAATGTGATTTTAGAACTGGCGCCGTGCCTCGGAAATGGTAATGAGGGGTGCAATGAGTGTGATCAATATTTTATAAATCTGTGCATCCTGCAGGTGAAATGGAGTCCTTCTATGGATCTGGCTTTATTTTTATTAATCTTTGAAATGCATGATTACATCAAGGTTCTATAGATCTGTCAACTGATTTTTAGGTGATTTACTAAGAAATGTCCTCTTAGATCAAGTTTATCTCACTTTGGCTCTGCCTTTGACGCTTGCTGAGCATCATGGACAATGTAGTTTATAAACATCTGCAGTGCTAGGAAGCCACGATTGTTTTAGCGCCATAGCTGGCACTAATGGCTTTAACCCAATTTCTGTTTTAGGGAGTTTCCTTCAAACACAGAATGTCATCCACCAAGGACCTCCGTCAATGTGCTAATGGTTTATAACTACGACCTATAATTTTAAAAGCAGCAACACCATCTGTAGTGCAGTTCTCTGACAATGCTTTTTTTTCCTTCCCTTTGTGGCCCTTGCAGTATGGCGTGGGTGGGCTGACTAGCAGGGTGCTAAATCTGGAGGATGAGTGAGTCAGCTGCTGGGTTGTTTTAGGGTTGAGTGATTACGGTCAGGTAATCAGTGCCGATAGCTCGGATGTGTTCAGATTCACGCCACACAGCTTGAGCCAGCACGCCACTTCCTTTCAGCTCCGAATACTGCTGTACAGTATGAGTAACACAGCCCAAATTGTCTCGAATCAGCAACTTGTACCAGAAAATCATCATCTTAAAGCACAGAAGCTGAATCTATTTACATTTTTTTCCCCATTGTTTAATTTCTTTATCAACTGGAGATCTGTTCCATATTATGTGCGCAATGAAGACGGGTGTAGGCGAACCCATCCCATCGGGGTCTGTCCACCAAACTGTGATTTGTAGCAAGTTTACAGTTGGCTTGCACAATTTAGCAGAATGGGAAAAAAAATCTCCAATCTTAGTAAATTGCAAGTAACTATGACAACCTCCGTTTGTTAGTTTGTGTCACTACAGACAAACTTTGTTTGAGATAACGTGTAGTTCACGTGATACTATTTCCTGATTGTTTAAAGTACAAATATTTTTATTATAATTTCACCAACTTTTGAATGAGTTTCTCATTTTACATATACTTAGAAAAAATAAAAAACTATTTCCTTTCAGAACTTGATGAACAGATGAATCCATCTGTTAATTAGTTTTCGACTGACAGTTGTTTGTATCATCGAGAACACCACCCAAATGTAATCAATATAGTTTTGATGTATTGAGAGCACTTCTGGAGCAACCAGCAGGAACATTCCATTGGTTTCCATGGTTAACTGTTCATCTTTTAGAACTTTGCCCAAAATTGCTCTTTTTTTTCAGAACCCCAAGAATGTGCTCCCCCATAATAGATCTGTACCGTTGGTCATGTTTAGAATGTCAGTTTATCCTGGGTTTAGGAGTTTCGATGGATGAGCTATGTATTTACTTACAGATTAGTGGACGTGAGGCTCTGAGAAGGAGGTGGAAGGTTTTATAGTCTGGTAAAGGACTATAGCTCCCAGAACTGTGTGTCGTCCCGTCCCTTGGAGGGAATAAAGCTAGTCTCCTATCCTTTTCCAGGACGGAGAGGCTCCAGTGCATGAGGACCCCAGTGCATGGCAACTGGGGCAGAAACGCTGAGAATTTCCCGTGTTCCAGCTAGGAAGCGGTCTTTGGCAGAGGTACCCAGCTGGGGTACAGGAAGCTCTGCTACAATGGCGTAAGGAGACTAGGGGCTAGTAATTGGTTACAGTCCAAATCTGAACCATTTTGTTTGTTTTAATATCGAGGACACAGCTGGTACTAACGTGGGCCTCTTTAAAAGATTGTTTAATATAGTATGTTGTTCTTGCTTTTTCACAATGCTCCTAGTTAATCTCCCAAACTGCAGTCTAACACGCGTGGCTCCGTTCGAGCAGGTTGTTTCTTGTTTGTTTTTTTTGTAGCATTTTCCTGACATCAAAGGTTGACAAATATTTGCAGAATTCAGAAGATAAACAGGGTATTGTTCTGAGGCAGTCTGACGTCTGCTCACAGATCGCTTTATCAAATACATAAAAACATTAGACATTGCAGTAATCATCGTGTTGGCCAGTGGTTCGTTAAACCAAAACCGTGCTGCTGGTTTGGGTCTTCATCTCTCCCAAGCTGACTCTACAATCACTGCATGGCCCAAATGAAATCTGTCTGATGGGGCCTGGTTAGATAGAGGCCAGCCTGTAGTTTAGAACTCTCAGCATGCTTTGCAAGCCCTAGCACGGAGCACAATGAGGTTTACGTTGGCAGGAGAACCCTATACTGTATATCACAGGGGTTGTTAGATGGCCGGCCATCATTTAACATCTGTCAGTCAGTGGATCGTGGCCCTACTGGAGTCTGTATTGTTAAATTTATCTTTAGAAACTGGGGGGGAGGGGGGGGTTGTCCTTATTTTAGTGGGTATGGTGCAAAAGGTCTGTGGGCGCAGTCACCCAAGTTTTTGTCAATCCACTTTTGAAAAAGCTGCAGCATTCCCATCATCCACAGCCGGGCCTGTACCTGGCACTCGGCGACCGTGGAAGTGAACGTCTCTATTAACTTGTCCTACTTTGATTTGGGGTATAGAGAGCTGGGGGCTTTGCTAGTCCACATACTCTTTGCACCACTTTAATGAGCTACTTGTAGCACTTAGAGCTGTGCTCAGAATGGTTTAATTTTTTATTTTTTTATGTTAAACTGCTGAATTAGTAATTCTAAAATCTAGTCTGAATATCCTAAATGAAAATGATAATAAAACTATAGTAAAAAACTAAAGTATATATATTGTAATATTCACAAGCATTGTGATAAAAGGGGTGATCCAGAGACTTAATACTTATTCTATGCTTTATAAAGAACGGATTTCTATGTCTCAGGATCCCGAGTCTGTTCCGCTGCTAATGTTTTAGGTTGGGGCATGGAGTTATACATACTTAGGATTTGATATTTAGCCATCTTATCAGATAGCATCACTTTACAGCTTGGAATCGATAGATAGTTTATCTATCCCCACAGCAAGAGCGGTTGCACAGAGTATCTCGTAATAAAATGTAATCTAACCCCGCACTCTGTTTATTAGCGGTTTACACGATTTCTTTACGTATTGCCCTGTACTCTATCTATTAGAGATCCACAGGTCTCTACTGACAAGCTATTAACCAGTGAATGTAAATACGTTGGTTTATCACTATACTTGTGAATATTAGAATATATATACTTTAGTTTATCTTTATATTTTATTATGGGCTGCTCTAGTGCTCACATGTTGGTGCAGCAAAATATTGCTCCCGTCTTACAATAAAACTGCTCATGTTAACTCAAACCGCTTACACATAGAGATGTGTGTGTGCTACAAACGCTCATTCTTGTAGAGCTACAAGTGGGTTTTTTCTCTCATCCATAGTGTCCCTTTAAGCCTTTCCATATGTATTTAAAGCGTCAGTAGATAAGAAATTGGAAAGCTGAGAGGAGCGGGGACATTTAGCCTGAGGCGCATGCTGCTGCTCTGTCTGCTTTCATCTTATCTCTCTCTGCCAGCTTAAGGTCCTTATGTGCGCTTTGTGTTACGCCAGATAATGCGCCTGACATGGCTGCTTCTCTGTACAACTAGTTTGGCCGCTTCAGCAATAAATTGTATTCTGCAAACTTCAACCCGCCTTGCGTACCCTATCCATCAGGAGGGTAGGTGGCTAAACTGTGGACAACTGAACCCATGGTCTAATGAGCCTCATAGATACAGTGACCATTTAGAGTGCATGCCAGCAGGGCAAGGGGGGTCAGAGGATTGTGCGATATACAGTACACGTATCTAATGATACACGAGTAGCTATGGGCATCATACTTTTACTGTGCATACGTTCGATCTAGCACACGCCAGGTAGTCCTGGTTTGACCGTTCTAAAGAAACTGGTTCTAGTTAACCTTGCCAAACCATGTCAATGTCTCTCTTGCAGGCCTTAATCTGCCTCAATGTATATTGGTGCCTTAGACGATCCCTCTTCAGAGCTGCAGTGTGGTCAGTGGTATTCAGCGATGTCATTATGGAGGTCTACCTTGGTGGTAAGCACCGTCTGTCAAAGTCCACATAAAAAAACTCTTCAAATATATTTTCCAGAGACTGTGAAGTTCTCTGTTGAATACTGGGTCTCTGAGGACAAATCCACCGGTGCTGGCTGCATAAACGCCCCAATAATAACGCAGTGTTCCATCCATTGCCCCAAAATGGAAATCTTACAAGAATTTAAAGAAATTCTTCTAGTGATTTCAAGTTGTACCTACTGCCTTTTATACAGTAGGAAAATAACTTATTTGTTAGTAGTTAAATTGTAAGTAGGAAACAGTAACCAGAATGAATTAATAAAAAGAGAGAAGGTACGTATACCGAACCTTAGAATGGCCAGGTTAACGTGTGCCCTAGATAGGCAAAAAATAGAGTCAAAATAGGAAGCAAAGGTCAAGGACACTGGAGATAATCCATAACGAAATAACAAGCCAAAGTCAGGGAACCAGAAAATCAGAAAAGTCCAATACAAAGCCGGGTCAATAACGAGAAAACCAAAACGACTTCACAGTAAGCATCTCCAGAAAGAGGGAAGTTTAAATAGGGAGAACAAACATCTTATTGGACAGTATCATCACCCTGCACCAAATCACACAAAGTGATGTGACCTGTGAGGGGCAGATGATGTATCCAAATAATATGACCTGTCACTATAATGCTATAAAAAGTTTGCACCTACAGTGTCCTGTAATTTCCAAGGACTCAGGTGGCACAAGGCTGCCAAAAAGATCAGGAAGTCCTGCCAGGAGAGAGATCGTACAGGGGCTGCTCTGCACGTGGTACAACCAAACACCGCATGGAGTTTACTGTGGCCGGGTTGGAGTGGGACCGGAGACTTCGTGGCTGCTGCACAGCACCCCATGGAAGCCGCATGTGCTGTGCGGCATACCGAGATTTGACATATATTATAACTAAGACTTGGGACGTGGGTAATAGTGTGAGGTATTGGGATGTGATTGTAGTGGAAAATTGTCCTGAAATGTCGTTTCAATGGGTTGAGGCAACTGCTCATACACCCAGTGCCACAATGGACCTCCTGAGACAATTGTTCGAGTAGATAATTTCAAGAAATTGCCAGATTAATTGGCCGTCTGCTCCCGATTACATCCTGTGGGGATATCAGAATGAGCGGGCGAACGTGAACAAACGGCGTACAGTTAAACAGCTCAATATCTGTGCAGAAATTCCGGTGCTAGAATCTCTAACGTTAACTAATGTTATGCAATCGAAAGATGCCAACTTTGAGAGGTGGCAAACGGAGCTCATTTAAAAGATGTCATCTTCCGTATCTAGTCAAACAAATCTCCATATGTTAAAGGAGCACGATAGGGTCAGGAACAAAAAAACCTGTATGAGAGGTGTTTTGTTGTCTTTTTTGTGTATTTATTTTTCTCCCCCTTTTTATCAGCAAGGAAACAGCCCTACTTTGACATACACACAACGGATGAGGAATGACAATGCTTTGATTGCTCTTCCACCTCTATAATACGGCACAGTCAAGGGGCTCCGTCTAAATACAGTCAGAAAATCTTTTCCAGAAAATCTTATACCATGATTACAATATCGAGAGACAAGTTCTGGCTGTCATCTGAAGGGCACATCATATACTTTTTGTCTTTTCTTCCCAGCAGCCTTTCCACCCCCGAGACTCTCCCAAATAAACTGCTGATATACTACTGCTCTGTAAACGCCAGCAAACTCCTCCTCGCATACTAACCAGGCCAGGTGACGCTTTAATTAAGTGTTAGGAAGAACTGATTCTTCACGGATATCTCAAGAAATCTGTGCGAATTCAACCGACTGCAAAGAATGTCAGTAAATTACGTGGCTTTATATTAATCGGAAAATGATTTATGGCAAATATTTTGGACAGGAATCCTCTTCTTATACGCAGAAGCAAATATGTAAAAGAAAAAAGCCTATTTAGACGTAATAAACTGCGTGGGATTGGGAATAATACTAGGGGGTTTATTCACTAAACAATAAATTGTAGTAGGTTTTACAGTTTAAAATAGCCAAGCAGCGACTATAGCTGCCCCCCAAATCAAAACTCTTTACTTTAAGATTGCTAATCCATTTCAGCTTTTAGTGAATAAAGACCTACATTTCTATAATTCAGCCTTTCTTATATATACAGCAAGTTGAGAGAGTTGTGATGTAATACAGCTATCGGACTACTCGACAGTTGTGGATTTTTAGGGCTGCCCTAATTCTGGGCACCTATCCCACCATCCCAGGTTAGTTGCCTAGTGTCCTGTTTCTGGGGGCAATGTTGGTGAATAGGAACAGGGTATTAAGACCATGCAGAGTCAGCCGGCTGTGGATGATTTCAGTCAGTCCGTTTTCTGACAAGCTGCCCCTTTATGGGTGGGTTTGTCTATTCTCAGGCAGAACTGCCCCTCGTTGCTGTCCCTGCCTGGCCCACAATCCCTGTTCTGGAATCCACTCTGGCCTGGGACACATGACATGTGTGACATGTCATGATTCCCTTTTATTCCAGAAGTTTGGTCCTTAAGGGGTTAAAGACATGTACTCTATACGTCCTCCCCCCGTACACTCTATACAGTACTCTATCCCTCCCCGTACACTCTATACAGTACTCTATACCTCCCCGTAAACTCTATACAGTACTCTATCCCCCCCCCACAACTCTATACAGTACTCTATCCCTCCCGTAAACTCTATACGGTACTCTACCCCCTCCCCGTAAACTCTATACAGTACTCTATCCCCCCGTACACTCTATACAGTACTCTATCCCTCCCCGTAAACTCTATTACAGTACTCATCCCCCCGTACACTCTATACAAGTACTCTTATCCCCCGTACACTCTATACAGTACTCTCTCCCTCCCCGTACACTCTATACAGTGCTCTATCCCTCCCCGTACATTCTATACAGTACTCTATCCCTCCCCGTAAACTCTATACAGTACTCTATCCCTCCCCTCTAAACTCTATACAGTACTCTATTCCCCCCCGTAAACTCTATACAGTACTCTACCCCCCCTGTAAACTCTATACAGTACTCTATCCCCCATAAACTCTATACAGTACTCTATCCCTCCCCGTAAACTCTATCCAGTACTCTATCCCCCCCCGTAAACTCTATACAGTACTCACCCCCCTCTGTAAACTCTATACAATACTCTATCCCCCCCGTAAACTCTATACAGTACTCTACCCCTCCCCGTACACTCTATTCAGTACTCTATGCCTCCCCGTACACTCTATACAGTACTCTATGCCTCCCTGTACACTCTATACAGTACTCTATCCCTCCCCGTAAACGCTATACAGTACGCTATCCCTCCCCGTATACTCTATACAGTACTCTATTCCCCCCCCGTATACTCTGTAGATTACTCTATAGTCCCCCCTGGACACTCTATAGGGTACTCTGTACACTCTCTGGAGTACTCTATCCCCCCTGGACACTCTATAGAGTACTTTTTTTATTACACCTTGTGGTGACTATGAGGGCCGACTGGTGTCTTGGCTGTGAGGGGCCGACTGGTGTCTTGGCTGTGAGGGGCCGACTGGTGTCTTGGCTGTGAGGGGCCGTCTGGTGTCTTGGCTGTGAGGGGCCGTCTGGTGTCTTGGCTGTGAGGGGCCGTCTGGTGTCTTGGCTGTGAGGGGCCGTCTGGTGTCTTGGCTGTGAGGGGCCGTCTGGTATCTTGGCTGTGAGGGGCCGTCTGGGGTCTTGGCTGTGAGGGGCCGACTGGGGTCTTGGCTGTGAGGGGCCGACTAGGGTCTTGGCTGTGAGGGGCCGACTGGTGTCTTGGCTGTGAGGGGCCGTCTGGTGTCTTGGCTGTGAGGGGCCGACTGGTGTCTTGGCTGTGAGGGGCCGACTGGTGTCTTGGCTGTGAGGGGCCGACAGGTGTATACATTTGGTTATACTGTGACGTGTCCTTTCTTCCTGTCACGCAGTGTTTAGTTGCACTTGTCGAACATGCTGATGGCACCCAGTGGGGCAGTCTCTCCATGTCACTCTCACAGTGAGTGCAATCACAATTCTCTGCCTCGCTGGCTCAGTCCCTGCTGACTCTCTGTCTATGTAAAGCATTTTCCGTGGCCCCGCATGAGAGAAGATTAAGTTCCAGCGGAGATTGCACAGCCCCCTCCCGTCTCCAGGAGAAAATAAATGTCTCCGAGGGGAGGGAGGTGGAAAAATCATCAGTCTGTTAACGTAATATGGATGCACGAGCCAGTCGCCATGGCAACCAGCTTGAGTGATAAAAGCCAGTAATGACAAGCGTTTCATCGTAGCCTTTAACAAATCTTTTCTTCCAGACGTCGTTCGTGTGAGATTCGCGTTATCACCCTGGATTAGCTGCAGCCTCTTATTTTCTTTACTTATTAAATTACCTTTTGTCCAGGAAAGTGACCCATTTTACCACCCTTGTGCTGCTGGATCATATTACATTGTGCAGAGCTACAGACTATGTTGGTGCTGTATAAATATTACAGCCAGTTCTCCTTTCCTAAGTAAGATCTGGACACCAATAGATGTCTGGATAATTATGTTAAATTGGGTTCTTTCTATTTATTTTAGTGATGATGTGAGCGTTTCGCATTTATAACACAATTACAGTACTGTTATTATAATGGTGTATGTTATTACAGCGCAGGATAGATGCTGCCCCTCCCCCCCACATCAAATGGCATGCAGGGATACAGATGTTCCTTAACCCTTTGTTCTTCCTAGCATTACACCTTGTTACACGTGGGCCCAATCGATCAGCTGAAGGATAAAGCCGCTTCCATAATGCGACTCTATCCTCTGCTATAACCATGGCTAGCGACGCGGGCTCTAGAGTTGCTTTATGAACATGTTGGCGCTGCCACAGCTTCAAGAGCAGGAATCTCGAACTCTGCGGCCCCCAACTCCCCAGATAGTGATGGCCTATAAATCCAAACATTCTTAAACTGCAATAGGCTGTTGGCCGCTCCCGTTATCACTCCGCATTATGTGTGCCCCTGCCGTTGGTGACTGTTTTGGTGGAGGCGTTGTATGAAGCGGATGATTGCGTGTGTGGAGATGGCATACATTTTGTGCATCAATCGTCGCCTTATTGTTCAGACAGTAAAAGTTCTGGTTGGAGTGTTATGGATTCAAGGTAAGACAATATTTACTAAACGGAGAATTGTGGAGAATGAAAGAGGGAGTAAAAGGCTCAATGTTCGAAGTGAAAAAGAAACACTCCGGTTCTGCTGATCTGGCCTATAATTTACCCTTGTTACGTCTCCACATGTCCTGACTTAGTGATTAAACTCCCCAGGGCCTGTCCTTGTTCTGAGTATATTTATGGCGAACCGTGTATTCTGTTCTTGGAAGGTCTTCTCGGGGCTGTAAGTACCGACATCACATTTCCCCCCTCCTGTAGTACCCTATACCCAGCGTAGGCACTGCATGCATTGTTAAACAAATCAATAATGCAGAATAAACCCCTCGGTGTGCCAGAGACACAGTGAATCATTTTTAATGCTGGTTACTTATCTCTAATGTACTTTGCTCTGCGAAACCGCTATAATTAGATTGTCACTGGTACGTCTTCCAGTATTTAAACTACCCCCAGGGCGTGTGTTTTGCAGAGTCTGAGAACTAGCAAACCTTCGCAAACATGAAGGCACTTTCTAGGCTCCGAGCCCGATCGTGGAAAATCAAATTGTGCCATATATCCAATCTAGATCTAATCGGGATAGCTGGCTGTATGCAGGATATGTATTCTGCATACAGCCTTTAAAGGGACACACCAAAAACATCCGGTCCTGTTGCTTACTGGTTGGTTAGCTCAGTGGAGATAAACTCTAGAGGCAGCAATTGCCCAGAGCACCTGCCTTATTCAGACTTCTCATTGAGCTGCATTGGGAAGCCTGTGATTGGACAGACACAGCAAGTCTGGGCGGGGTTAGAAGGGGAGGGCTTGTAAAGGCTGCAGACAAGAGAACTGCAGCTATTGCAAACATTTTAGATATATCCACAATGAAAAAACATAATTAAATACATGTATGTTTATCTGGGGAAATTTTTTTATTTGGGCAGTGGAGAGGCTTTTAAAATTCACTGTTTTCTGTGTGTGGGAAAATGTAACTATGCATGAAAATATTAAATCTATTTAAGTTCTCTCAATGATATGGTAAAATTCTTAGAATTGGGGATGATCACCTCAGTGGTGCTGCCGTAAATCCCAAAATATAGAGATTAAGGACCAGCACACACAAAAAAATACAGCTTTTCAAGGCTACTTAACAAAATATGGTGTAACTGAATCCACATATTTGTTTAAGATATGTGATTTGAAGTAGCATTGTAAAACAAACTGTATTTTTGTACTCTCTATTCCTTAATCTCTATTTTGTTTTCACATTAACACATCGGTCAAGCTTTTTAATGCGGTCACTTCATAGTGGGGGGTGGCTGATGGCAATATAGGTAAGGTTTCATTATTGCATTAGGAATACTGGTTTGTGTCCCTTTAAATTTCAAATTCACTTTGAATTCCCAACAATTCTTGCTTTTTTTTACAGTCCTGTTTGGGATACTGGTATAATGTTAAAGAACCATTAAAATTGTGTTTCTGTAATAGAAGTACCTGTTATTTTTATATTTCAAAATATTTGTGTGACGGACTGCCTGGCACCCCGACCGGGTACCTTCATCAATCGCTACTTCCTAGAACTTGCAAGTACCATAAGCACCGCACTGGAACATCATAACCATCGTAAACCCCAAAAACCTCCTAGTCCAGAGAGCTAAGCAGGCAAGTGTTGTAATCCAAGGGAGTATAGTGATTATAGCAATCCCCAGAGTGAATATAGCTCTCTAATCCCACAAACATCAGCCTAGACTTCATGAAGGGTAAAACGAATCTCAGTGTAATGGTAGCCACAACTGGCCTTATATGCAAGTCCCCATGCAAGGGGCACTCCCACATGGACCTTGTGGGGGACAACAATACAAAGTCACAGACCAATGACAATAGAATTTAAATGCACGACACTCCCATATACAAACATGCAATCCCTCCCCTCTGCCTGAGAGATAATTGGATCAGTAACTGTATTAATTCTAATGCAATTAGCTACAAGCACAGAAAAAACATATTTTTTCAAAACACCCTAAAAATACTTAAAACCTCACAAATGTTACATCTGATAGCCCTGATCTGGGTGATCAACATATCCAAAAATCACCCAGATCAGTTCAGGGGTTCAGGAATTCTACGGAAGTCACATTTTACCGACCACAGGCATGGTCCCATGCCCAAAACAGTTCCAGAGAATCAGGGTTTGCAGTCGGTATAGTTCGGTAGTTTGAAAACAAACAAACTACCAAACAGAATCAATAGTCTTACCCTGGAGCTTGTTCCCCTTGTTCGTGGGAACATTTCCACCGAACAGCGCCTTTCTAAGTAGGGTAGAACCAAATGCAGGTGATCATGGAAGTCCAGCGGTGTTCGGGAGTTTCAGTGTCCAAAAATAGTTCCATAAACTCAACGACCACCGCTGCCTGCGTTCGTGTGAACAAGATGGCCGCCACCTCGTGGTCGTTAATAGGGAATGCGGCCACCCAGACGAACACTTAGAACACTGCAGTGAAAATTGCTACAAAGTTTCAATTAGGCCTAACAAGCTCCAGGGGGGTGTACGGTTTGTGCGGCTGTTCAGTTCCCGAACCATATAGTTCAAATACACGAACCAAGTCTGTTCACATAGTTTTTTTTTGTTGTTGTTTTTTTTTTTTTAAAGGGCCCATAGTCTTTTGGTAAGATGCAGGCCCCTCCAAGAACACGTGACAAGGCTCAGTTCGTCATAATTCTTTAAAACTGCCTGTATGTTTGAAGAAGTGTGACGTTTTCACACCGCGAGCTGACTCCATGATGCTTAGGTTTCCTGTCGCTTTAAACGTGAAGTCTCTCACTTCAGCCAGACCCCAATTCTATACCTTTTAAAGGTCTTTGTAAATCCACCCATAGTGTCTACACTCAAGTCTAATAATAAAATGCATTACGCTTTGCTATTCAGTGGAGGGCTGCCAAGGAATGGCCAATTTTAGGAAATTGGGAAAAATAGCAAAAACGTTTGGCCATTATTGTCCTAATGCCTCCCATTATATATGGTGTAACATTGATCTAAACAAGAGTCCCAGTTACAGTCTGAAAAATTAGAAATGGTGGAATTTGTATATTCGTTGTTCTCTCCCCACCCCCTCTTCCAGGTTCATCACGTACAAGTGGCAATGAGGAGCCTTTTCCCAGTCAAATTCATGAGCATACTATGTTGAAATTTTTTTAAGGGTATCTGTGAAGTGCCACGGTTTTCACATAATGTCCTAGTTTAAACTCGTGGCAGCCGCTGTGTCATCATGTCTCACCTAGGTCATTCCTAAAAAAGTTAAGGACTCACTTAACACGTATTAAGTGATTGCAGCTCTGTACAATGTGCTGTTTGCTGGAAAGACAATGATTACAGACAAAAAGGAAATGAATTGTTCGAGAAAACAATCATCTCTTCTTAGATATCCTCGGTATCTTTCTGTAGGTCTCTGGCCACTCATAGACTGAACCATGACAATTTAGATAATGTTGCTGGGCCATATGGACTTCTCTTGGCACCTTAAAAAGTAGTCTAAAGTTATTTTATTTTTAAAGTCAATGTATGAATCTTTCTTTAAACTTCTTAAATAATAAAAGAAATGACTGCTCATGTACACCATTTAGGAAAATCAATGTCCTCCTTTCTCCCACAGGGATTGGCTGCAGAGCAGCGAGCGCAGCCCCAGCCAGTTCTCACATTCCCTCTGCGGCTGCCTATCTTCCTATCCCTCACCCCATGACGGGCTTACACGCTTTCACATCAGGCAATCCTGTCATATTCCAGCAAGTGAGATCAACTTAAAAAGAAAATTGAAGGACCATGTAATGTCTGTAATGAGACCACGTTCAGGGTCACGGAAACGCAGGACCTGGCTTTCCTCTCTGTCCCTGTTTTTTGTAACCTACCTATTTAGATCATTATTTGGGTGAGGGTGATGATCATGAAACCAGGCCGTAGGATTGGGTATCAATGCAGGAGGGATGATTTGAGCCTATTTTATAAAAAGAGCTATTCTTTACTCCAGAACACATCAGTAAAACTGTCTGAACGACGATTCATTTATAAATAACAATAAATACGCTTTGTGATTGAGCATTTATTGTTGCTTAAATATTCTATAAAAATCATTGTAAAAAACACCTTGTGTGCACGTTAATTAAATGTGATGCGTGCTTGTGATTCTAACTGGAACAATGTGAGGGCGTATAGAAACCCATACTTTATTTAAGGCAGAGGTTCATGAGACTTTCCAGTCTTCCTTTCTATTTTTCCTCCTACTTTATTGCCCCATAACAGGGGCAGCAGAAAATTAGTTGTAACAAGGGTCTTGGTCTACAATATATAAATGTTTTTATAAATAAATGTCCAGCAGTTACTTGCGGGTCACTACTGGATATCCCTGGCTGAATAGCATTATGGGGAATGTAGTTCACAAACCTCTGCAGTACCAGGGCTAGCTGCCTGTGAGTGCTTACTATAGGGGGAGGATGTAATTCACCTACGGATTTCTTTGAGCTCCTCTGGAAATGTTCCAATTTACAGCCCTTTTACCCTATGACCGTAATGGGCTATCTAAGTAGTAGATATCCGCTGGTAAACAGCCGGTTGACATGATAGGAGTTGCAGTACTGACAGACGCAGAATTGAAGCCTGCGTCATGGATGTTGTGATGCCGATGACATCTTGGACTATATATGATGATCTCTACATCTGCCGTTTGTAGGACTACAGAAGCAGAACCCCATGAAATGACACAATTTGTCTGGAGAGGATGAAGGCTCTGGGGGGTGTCCTTCAGCCCCCGCTGTCTGATTAATGGCCCGGAGATGGTGACCCAGGCAGGACTGTGATGTTGATGTGCAGAATTTCTAGTCTGCTTTGATATCCCCCCCCCCCCCTCCTCCATTCCAGTCAGTCTATCAGGCGGACTAGATTAACACTGCAGCAATTTGTCAGACACCGCGCTTTCCGTGCCACTGGAATGAGAAAGGGGTCCTTAGCCTTCCTTTATCATAACAGAAGAAAATCCAAAGAGATGTCACTTCATGAAAAATACTTTTTACTGTATTATTTAAAGCGTTGCCCGATGATTGGTTTATAAGGAAATCTGCTAATGGTGCGAACTCTGAGAAATTGGGGTATTTTGGGCAAATTAACCTTTGTGCAAATCATATTACAAGTAGAAATGCAAAATCATTTACTGCAAATGATAAAATAATAGATTATGATGGTGCTGCCTGTGGTGTCCATATGTTTCCTGAAGCCTTAGGGGAGCATACTTAATTTTATAAGATGAGAGGTGTCTGAATCTAAGTAAAATATTGTCCATGTAACTGAGGGGTTTTGGTACCTGTCACCATGGTTACACTTTGACAAACCGCCTCAGGGATTTGGTCTGTGGGACTTCCAGGCAGTATATGAACATGCAGGGCATTTAGAGAAATTCCTGTGACCTAGAGCAACACTACGCCATGGCATATGTCTCCGCCCACAGCGCTGTTTATTAGCTCAGACACCCATAAGTCGGAAAATACAGCTTGTCCGAGCTCTTATCCCGGGGATCTCTTTATATATCAGCTGGTTAGGGCATTAGTGATAATGTTGCGGCCTTAGAAATGGGAAATTTAAATCTGTTTGATCACCTCGGCAGTAAGTGTCCCTTAATGATTTAATTTTGCCTACTCCAAATCCTGATAGATTGTAAGCTCATTCACTCACGGGGCCTTCTAAACCTCTGAATATCCTCTTTCCAATGTAAAGCACTGTGAAATATGGTGGGTCGATATAATAATCTCAAATACCAAAGGAGGGAAGTAAATCCACCTTATCTGCCTCTTATCTCACAGAGCTCTGTATTATCTCAGACCCTAACATTTACCGGGTCCTAAATAATAATACCAAAGTATTTAACCAGGAAAGGTAGATTCAGATTACTCTGGTTTCAAAGTACGTCCTGGAGATGTTACTATTACCCAATTTAATGGTACTCATTTTATCTACCTGGGAAGGATGAAGGGCTGAGTCAAATGCATTAAAGCCCTAATTCTACCCAACGTTATTGGCTTACAACTAAAACCGAGTGCCGGGGGCACTCTGGAACCGTTCCGAAAACTGATATTGGTAGAAAAGATGCTACATGATGTCACGCCTCCTAGATCGGAATTCTGAGCACCTACTAGCCTTTCTGTGAAGTATTCCATTCACGGAACCTTCCAAACCAATCCCTCTGTTATATCCAACATCCCACATCTTTTTTTGCGATTGATTTATTATTCTAGTAATTTAACCTTCTTCTTACACTTTGATTCCTTTGGGATCTTGGCGTTATGAGATCTATCTATGTTTGGGGCATAAAATAGGATTTCTACCCTGAGGCGACTGATGTGACGTCCCTGGGAGCCACAAACTGGCTGGAAGGAGAGATTTTTGCTGCTTCAGCAAGTTGGGTAAATTTGCAGCCCTGTCACTTTGATTAATCTACGTATATCCGGCACTGAATATCTCCATACGGTCCTTACCCCTCTCCTCTATATTCTCTATTAATAGACAAATAACAGTGTGGTTGGTATTAACGAGGTATGTTCTACCATATTACATATTAGATTCCGTTTTTCATTCACTGGTTATTGAATAACCCCCGTTATAATATTCAGGTCAATTTTATACGGTGCTCTCTAGACCTTGTTGGCATAATTTTCAGCCAGCATAAATATTAAATGTAGAATGTTTGATGTGAGCCCTAACCTGGGTTAAAGGTGCCTCGGTACTCTCTCACAATGCCGAACCCAGCTTAATTTATCCCCTAGCCTGGCAGAGTTACAGCCACCCACCAGACTTGGCACTTACAGTCTTAGGACAATGTCACTTTTAAATCTCACAGGAAGGATGTTTGATCCATACATTTTGTTAGCAGTTTGCCTGCTCCATGTACAAGTGATATATTTGGCCTGTTTTGAAGTCTGGCATTCGGTCTCCTAGTGTGCTAAAATCTGGCACCATATTGCTGGATTTAGTCTCCTCCCATCATTGCAAGGAGGTTTAGAGAGTGAGCAGCCAATAGGCATTGCTCAGAGTTTGTTAAACATATGAACGCATTGCAAAGAAAGGGGGTGGGGCGAATGAAACAAGCGCATTTAAAATAGTGGGGAAAGTGATGGAAACCATGTTAAAGGATAGGATTGTTTAACATCTAAAAACACATGGATTTCAAGATCAGAGACAACATGGGTTTACTTCAGGGAGATCATGCCAAACTAATCTTATTGATTTTTTTGATTGGGTAACTAAAATTATAGATCAGGGTGGTGCAGTAGACATTGCTTACCTAGATTTCAGTAAGGCTTTTGACACTGTTGCACATAGAAGGCTTATCAATAAACTGCAATCTTTAAGTTTGGATTCCAATACTGTTGAATGGGTAAGGCAGTGGCTGAGTGACAGGCAACAGAGGGTTGTAGTTAATGGAATATATTCGAAGCTTGGACTTGTCACCAGTGGGGTACCTCAGGGATCTGTACTTGGACCCATTCTCTTTAATATTTTTATTAGTGATATTGCAGAAGGTCTTGATGGTAAGGTATGTCTTTTTGCTGATGATACTAAGATATGTAACAGGGTTGATGTTCCAGGAGGGATAAGCTAAATGGCAAATGATTTAGGTAAACTAGAAAAATGGTCAGAATTGTGGCAACTGACATTTAATGTGGATAAGTGCAAGATAATGCATCTTGGACGTAAAAACCCAAGGGCAGAGTACAGAATATTTGATAGAGTCCTAACCTCAACATATGAGGAAAGGGATTTAGGGGTGATTATTTCTGATGACTTAAAGGTAGGCAGACAATGTAATAGAGCAGCAGGAAATGCTAGCAGAATGCTTGGTTGTATAGGGAGAGGTATTAGCAGTAGAAAGAGGGAAGTGCTCATGCCATTGTACAGAACACTGGTGAGACCTCACTTGGAGTATTGTACACAGTACTGGAGACCGTATCTTCAGAAGGATATTGATACCTTAGAGAGGGTTCAGAGAAGGGCTACTAAACTGGTTCATGGATTGCGGGATAAAACTTACCAGGAAAGGTTAAAGGATCTTAACATGTATAGCTTGGAGGAAAGACGAGACAGGGGGGATATGATAGAAACATTTAAATATATAAAGGGAATCAACACAGTAAAGGAGGAGACTATATTTAAAAGAAGAAAAACTACCACAACAAGAGGACATAGTCTTAAATTAGAGGGACAAAGGTTTAAAAATAATATCAGGAAGTATTACTTTACTGAGAGGGTAGTGGATGCATGGAATAGCCTTCCAGCTGAAGTGGTAGAGGTTAACACAGTAAAGGAGTTTAAGCATGCGTGGGATAGGCATAAGGCTATCCTAACTATAAGAAAGTATTTAGAAAATTGGGCAGACTAGATGGGCCGAATGGTTCTTATCTGCTGTCACATTCTATGTTTCTAAAATGCCAGTTCTTTCACCACTGCCTTGAAAATACGACTATATTGGGAGCGATGTTAACCGGAGATCAGCTGTTTAGCATCGCTCCCTTCCTATGTCAGAGTGGATACAGTTATTAAATAAATGGAAATTTAAAGTAAAATAGCTGGTTTGGAGAACTTCTTCAAATCTCGCGTACCAGAATATGATATAAATTCAAATAATAAAAATGGCGCCAAAAGTCCAGGGTTTGGCAAATCCCAGATGCCAGGTTGTCATGGCGACCAAGAAATTTGTCCTGACGCTTGGGATTTGTGAGCCTGTTCAACCCCGAGATGACCGGCTGCCTGAGAGCAGAGGCAGGCAGTCTGCTCACTGAGGGCTGAGGCAGGCGGCTGAGTGAGGGAGAAAGGTGGCCGGCTCATTGAGAGCTAAGGTAGGGAGGTGGGTGGCTGACTGAAGAATGGAGGGGGCGTCTGGCTGGAAAATGGAGAGCTGAGGGAGACTGGGTGGATTTACATTAAAATAAAAAAATGTAATTATTTGTGAGTGAGTGTGTCTGTGAATGTGTCTGTATGTCTGTGTGTCTCGGTCAGTGATTGTGTGTGTTTTTACTTACCATTTTTCCCACAACGTGCTGGTGATTCCGCGGCTGGCCCCTCCTCCATGGCTGAGATCATCAATCTTGACGATCTCAGCCAATCCAATGCTATAGGAAAGCATTGTTAAACTATTGCGCATGCACGGCAAAATGCCACCGAGCCAATTTAACTTCTCGTAGAGATGCATTGAACCAATACATCCCTATAGGGAACATTAACATAGGTACTGCACAGTGTGACGCACTGACCCAGGAAGCACCTCTACAGGCCGTCTGAGTGACTGTCACTAAAGGTGTCACCAGGCAGCAACGTAAACACTGCCTTTTGTCTGAAAAGTCTGTGTTTACATGAAAAAGCGTTCAGGGTCAGGATATAGACTTCAGAACAACTACATTTATCTGTAGTGGTTCTGGTGACTATAGTGTCCCTTTAAGAATTGTATTTTGTGGTCTTGATTTCGCTGGCTCCTAGATTCTAAGCAAATTTGTCAAGCCCTGGTCTCGACAGAGGCATGCAAGATGGTGGACGATAATATGTGCTAAAATTAATGGATTTTTAATCAACATCATCAGAGAGGAGAGACTAATTTGGTCAGATTCCCCTGGATCACATATTAATATTTTAAATTTATGACAACCGCGCAAATGTGCTTTTATTTTTATAATTAGATTTTTTTATTTTTAGCCCAAATCTGTTCTGTTTTATAAGTGATTGCCAAGATATAACGTTTTGTGCATTTTCGTAGCTGGTAAAGGTGTGTGTAAGGAAACCAAGTACATTTAAACCTCAATCGGTAGTTTCCTCCTGAACCACCAGAGCCCAGTGAATATAGCCCTCCGTTCGGTAGTTATGAGTAGACGAATCCCAGTGTAATTCCAATAGCGTCCCTGGATAAACACACGAACTCCCAAACAGCATACGTAGTCAGAAGAAGGGTACAAAGATGAACTAAGGATTTATTGACAGGCATTCTCTTTTTATGGGATTCTGCCCATATAATTAACTGTACAACCAATCATAACAATATACATACTGTACATCTCCTCCCCTCAGATAACCATTTAACATAATTAAAAAGGAACATCATTTCTCCAAAGTCTGGATGTACCCCAAGGACAGATAGCTGTACTCTGGGGGACCAACATATGAAAAAATCAGTCCATTCGGTTCAGCCGTTCGGGAGATATGGGACTTAGAAGTTTTGACCGACTGCACGGGCAAAGTAGCCGAAAACAGTTCCATGAATTCTGGCCCTGCAGTCGGTCTTAGGTCGCATGAAAAACCTCCCGAACGGCCGGCCATGCTGCTACCATCCTTGGTTCGCTTGATTCCCCATCTGTCAGTGAGTCTTTCTACCGAAAGCCCGGTCGTTCGGTAGTTTTAATGGGGTTTTACCGAAGGTATGGAGGATTCAGCGGTGTTCGCCTATTTGAGTGTCGGTTTTCAGTTCCAGACACTCGACGGCAAACACCGCTGTTCAGGAGCTAAAATGGCTGCGAACACGTGGAAGTCCTGAAATGGCGGCGGTGCATACCGTTCGTGCAGAACTTTGGTCGAACATGCCCAGCAAGCAGGGAGGTAAAGTATGCATAATGGGCAACAGGGTGGTCTCGATTCGGTAGTTTCACCTACCGAATGCCATAGGGAAAGTGAACATAAAAGAAGGGAATACAAATTGTCAGTTTAAAGCAAAAGAGGGGAATTTCTTCACAGTGTGTATGAGTGTTATAGTGTATTAATACAGCCCTGTGTTAGACTATCGCAATAAAGGTGTATGAGTGTTATTGTGTATTAATAGAGCCCTGTGTTACACTATCGCAGTAAAGGTGTATGAGTGTTATAGTGTATTAATACAGCCCTGTGTTAGACTATCGCAGTAAAGGTGTATGAGTGTTATAGTGTATTAATACAGCCCTGTGTTAGACTATCGCAGTAAAGGTGTATGAGTGTTATAGTGTATTAATACAGCCCTGTGTTACACTATCGCAGTAAAGGTGTATGAGTGTTATTGTGTATTAATACAGCCCTGTGTTACACTATCGCAGTAAAGGTGTATGAGTGTTATTGTGTATTAATACAGTCCTGTGTTAGACTATCGCAGTAAAGGTGTATGAGTGTTATAGTGTATTAATACAGCCCTGTGTTACACTATTGCGGTAAAGGTGTATGAGTGTTATAGTGTATTAATACAGCCCTGTGTTACACTATTGCGGTAAAGGTGTATGAGTGTTATTGTGTATTAATACAGCCCTGTGTTAGACTATCGCAGTAAAGGTGTATGAGTGTTATAGTGTATTAATACAGCCCTGTGTTAGACTATCGCAGTAAAGGTGTATGAGTGTTATTGTGTATTAATAGAGCCCTGTGTTAGACTATCGCGGTAAAGCCGAGATGTGAATTGTTATAAATTCACCGTAGAATTAAAGTTTAGGTCAATAAAGCCAACATAGAAATTTATTTCAAAGTCGGCTGTGTGTCCAGAGCTGCTCTTTGACCTAAAATGTGTTAATTTCTGACTTGTCACAGTTTAGTGAATAAAACACCACTGAGAGAGCCTTGCTCAACAGAGCTAGCAATCTAATATCACAGCAGCAATTGATACGATTTGAATGGTTTTCTAGAATTGAACCCTTTACAGCCCTGTTCACACCTGATACACTAACAGTAAAGCAGGCAGGCCTCGTTCTAAACATGTTTTGATTGTAACGTTGGGCCCCAAGGGACGCTCCTCTGCCCGAACCTGTGATTTAACTTGTAGAGAAAAGCAAGCAGTGTCTCAGTCCATCTAGTAAACACAAACTGTGTCAATAAAGAATCGCTCATCACTCTACGTCAGTCTTTACTTCTCGGATGCTCAATATTCCAAGTGCAAAGACAGATTGGCGTTCAGTGCGGGCCACGCTGCATCCATCCCATCACTACTCCCGCCTCCTCAGCCATCTATTCTTAGCCGTGGCAGGGAGGGCTGTGTGTGTAACCATGTGTAAGGAATTCTGGATATTTATAGATTATTACGCTGGGAGCCCCAGCCTGCCAGGCCTGTGGGAATGGCTGCTTTTGAAATGGAATAAATGCAGCCCTCAAACTGGGTAATTTGCAATTAATGCCCACTCGGGGGGCAACAACCTTCTGATAATCTGCCAACCTCTGAAGTTACAATGTCCGCTCTATTAAAAGGGCAGTAAAGGAATATTCATAAAATCGAATTGTGTCTCGTTCGTTCCTCGGATGTTTAAATGCTGTCTATGCGCTGTACGTAATTACATTTTCTAAATGATCTATTCTCATTTACCTGTGTCCAATGCCCTATCAAAATGAGTGCAAGGCAGCGCTTGCCCTTCCTGGACTACAATTCCAATTATGCTCAGTAAGATTTTGACTAATGAAGAGTACGTTTTCAAAACTTAAAAATATTAAAATATTAGAGCTCATTTTAGTAAATGTTTTTTTTTGTTTTGTTTTTTCATCAATATTCATTATATGCATTGAAAAATATATGCTAGTCAACATCCTAAGCAATTGATTGAAAATAAGGGCCTGTAAGGTAAAACCGTACCTATATTATCGCAACATAAAAGCAAAATAATATTACATAAAACGGTATCGAACAAAAATATCTCCTGTTACTTTAACCACTTAATGACCAGTTACAAGTCACTGTATGTCACAGAACGAGTTCACAAAGCGATCGTCGGCTGATAGGCTTCTAAATGAATTTGCTGAGCACTTGCCTCTCAGTGGAAACGCATTACACTTTGTGTTTCTTTAATCACATTATATTTTCTGATTGCTGAACCACAACTATAAACGTTTCATGATGATTAAAACTAATAAGTGCTTTGTGTATTGTGTAAAGGTACGTGTGGTTAGGGCTGTTTATTAGGATGTAACGTTGTTTGATCTAAAGGATTCCAAATGCCATCTAATCCTTTATTTTATTACGAATATATTCCCTCACCGCCTTTATTACATTCAGCTACCTCTACCAAGAATATCGCCCACTGACCTAAGACAAACCGTACAGCTTGCATCTACGTATCATGTGATGTCCTCTTTATAACGATTAAACGTTTACTGAATACACGATCACTTATTTATATATTAACTTTTTTTGTAAAAATAACAACCAATATTTGTTAAATCAAACTTTGTAAACAAAACGTCATTCATTGCATTTAGTTTCGTACTTGTTGATTCAGAATTGCGTTAACAACACCTTGAGTGTTGTTAACGCAATATGTTTTAGAATCGTCAGTCTTACAAATGTTCATTAACGCTTCGCTCGATGTGCGAGTAGGCGGAGGCGTTAACAGCCACCTCTACGTACACACCAGATCCCAGGATCGATACAGTTTCAGTTACTGTAAGATGAATACCGGATTCTGTCTATTTTGGGGATACAGTTACCATGGTGACTAGTGGAAAAGGTTAATTGCCATTAAGTCTCACTTCTGTTTGATATGTGTACCATCGGTGCTGATGTTTGGCTGGGATAACAGGCCGCTCCGACCAGCACTGTGAGCCTGCAGCAATTCCTTCTCATGGCACAGTTAGTTTGGATTGTGACAGACAGGGCTGGCAATGGCTGCACCGGGAATCTCAAAACAAGCCAACCCTCTGATTATCCCAGATACTAGCTAAGTAGCAGCCCTTTGTGATTGGTGGGTTCAGATTATTATACCCTAAACTACAGCCAAACCTAAAGGCTACCTGCTGCCACAAACAATAATTAGTTTGAGTTGAGTTCAGTTTGTGTAAGTCAGTCAGTGTATGTGTGAATGTATGGTGTATTTGTGTTTTGTGTTGAGGATTAGTGTGTGTGTGTGTGTGTGTGTGTGAATGTAGGGTGTATTTGTGTTTTAGGGTCAGTGTGTGTGAATGCAGGGTGTATTTGTGTTTTAGGGTCAGTGTGTGAATGCAGGGTGTATTTGTGTTCTAGGGTCAGTGTGTGTGAATGCAGGGTGTATTTGTGTTTTAGGGTCAGTGTGTGTGAATGCAGGGTGTATTTGTGTTTAGGGTCAGTGTGTGTGAATGCAGTGTGTGTGAATGCAGGGTGTATTTGTGTTCTAGGGTCAGTGTGTGTGAATGCAGGGTGTATTTGTGTTTTAGGGTCAGTGTGTGTGAATGCAGGGTGTATTTGTGTTTTAGGGTCAGTGTGTGTGAATGCAGGGTGTATTTGTGTTTTAGGGTCAGTGTGTGTGAATGCAGGGTGTATTTGTGTGTTAGGGTCAGTGTGTGTGAATGCATGGTGTATTTGTGTTTTTACCCATTCTCTTCTGTGCCCATTCCCTCACTCTCTGCCCATTTTCCCACATTTGAGTGTTGTAGTAAAGGAGATGCATGGGTTCTGGCACTGAGATATAATGCAGGTCGCTGTGACATCACTCCAGGACCCTGTGTCATTACAGCGCACGCCGAATGGACTGCAACGTCTGGGGCCTCGATCCTAATGGGTTAAACATCACATACGGCAACTGGATAATCACCAGCTGGGAATTACAACTTGTTCAAATTAACGGGTGAATTCATATTTGTAGGTAAAAATAAATGATTTGGGATAATTTTTTCAGCCAATTACCAGTTTATTTATTTTTCCTTCTTTCTTAAAATGGGTAATTTCCTGGTCAATTATCCACGATTCCTGCATAATTCGGGTGTGCAGACATTTGGCAATAAATGTAACCGGTTAATAGTTTTCACAATTCCTGGCTCCTATGGATTAATTGGTTCTGTAGTTTAAATCCCCCCCCCCCCCATATCTCCTGAGTTGGGCCTTTTACTGCCTGAAATCTCGCTCGTGTTGATATAAACATTATTACATCTGGCTGTATCTTACTGTCTCAGAAGAGGACATGGCTCCATTACCCAGAATTCTGTCTGCCCATGGGAATTGTCCCCAGACAGCGGGAGGATCCCAGGTTAGCCAAATCAGATAATTTAATGGATAAAATATGAAGGTCAATTCAGCAAGTCGGTTTTAAGACCAGTCTTAGCTCTTCTCGTTGCATTCCCCCTCCTCATTACAGGCCCCCCTCCTCATTGCATGCCCTCTCCACCTCCCCTCCTCATTACATGCCCCCCTCCATCTCCCCTCATCATTACATGCCCCCTCCACCTCCCCTCATCATTACATGCCCCCTCCACCTCCCCTCATCATTACATGCCCCCTCCACATCTCCTCATCATTACATGCCCCTCCACCTCCTCATCATTATATGCCCCTCCTCCATGCCCCTCCACCTCCCTCCTCATTATGCCCCTCCTCCCTCCTCATTCGTGCCCCCCTCCCTCCCCTCCTCATTACATGCCCCCTCCACCTCCCCTCATCATTGCATGCCCCCTCCATCTCCCCTCCTCACATGCCCCCTCCACCTCCCTCATCATTACATGCCCCTCCATCTCCCCTCATTACATGCCCCCCTCCACCCCCTCATCATTATGCCCCTCCATCTTCCCTCCTCATTATATGCCCCCCCTCTACCTCCCCTCATCATTACATGCCCCCCCTCTACTCCTCCTCCTCATTACATGCCCCTCCATCCCCTCCTCATTGTGCCACCTCCACCTCCCCTCCTCATTACGTGCCCCTCCACCTCCTCTCCTCATTACATGCCCCCTCCATCTCTCCTCCTCATTACATGCCTCCTCCACCTCCCCTCATTACATGCCCCCCTCCATTTCCCTCATTCCATGCTCTCTCCTCCTCAATACATTCCCCTTCCATCTCCCATCCTCATTAAATGCCCCTCACCTCCCCTCCTGTTCACCCCTTCCACCTCCCTCCTCATTTAAATGCCCCTTCATCCTCCCTCCTCATTAAGGCCCTCCACCTCCTCCTTGTGCTTGCCCCCTCCACCTCCTTCCTCATTTACATGCCCCCTCCATCTTCCTTCTCATTACGTGCCATCCACCTCCCCTCCTCATTACATGCCCCCCTCCACCTCCCCTCATTTCATCCCCCCCTCCATCTCCCCTTCTTATTACATGCTCCCCTCCTCATTACATGCTCCCCTCCTCATTGCATGCCCCCTCCCATCTCCCATTCTTATTACATGCTCCCCTCCATCTACCCTACTCATTACATCCCCCATTTGTGAAACAGACATCATCCTGTCAAGAGCACTCCTTACATACCATCTCGTTATACAATTAACTCTAATACATTATTTTTTAAATGCCAACTAATTACACAGGGAGAGCTTACTGAATAAGTGACATTTGCTGTAATGTGTCTGATTTGTGAAATGCCAATAATCTGAATTCTGCCGATTTATCTAGAGGCTATTTAGCCCATTCTGCTGATCCCTGTGTGCTGAGGGCACTGAGAGTGGGAGTGTAATATTTGATGGATGAGAGCAGCCCCTCCAAGGTCAAACTGCACAGGTTCCTGGAAAGCCCTGTATCAAGCTTATCTGGGACCCCTACACCCTTTCTAGAACAAATGAAAGTGTGTAGCTGGGATCCAGCCTGCTAGACATTGTAATGACAGAATATAATGACAATAGCCCTGAAATGATCCAGCCAAGGATTCCTAGGACAAAATGGCCACAGCACTGTGAGCAGCCTGGCTTGTAACATGCAGGGAGAGAGCAGGGCAGGAGCCAGTAATGGTTACATTGTATTTACCTGTTATCCTGGCTGGCTGGGAGCTCCCTCCTGGCTGGCCTGGGGCTGCCTGGGTGAGGATGCTCAGATAGGGATGCAGGATGCTGAGGCTCTGGGTACCACTGTGAGCTGACAGCCTCTTCCTGCCCCTTACAACAGAGCATCGGGCAAAACCACTCTGCACTGCATGGAGGGGGGAGGGGGGCAGAGAGCTGCAATCTGTGCAGTATAGCAGGGGCTTCCCAGGGGTGGGCTGGGGGGCTGCTGAATTGGGCTCCTGATGCACCGTGTGAATGGGTGAGGGGGGCAGGGGAAAGGGCAGGGGGACATTCCTTATCCAGGTGTTAGACCACAGCCCCCCCTCCTGCCACTGATGCCAAACCTAATGTTCCTCATTGAGATGCAGTGAGGGAGCTGAACCTGACAAATTGTGTGTTATTATTAGGAATCAGTATGGGGGGGAGGGGGGCTTCAACAAGTCAGCCACAGCCTGACATATATACAAAATATTATATACAGTGTGTGAGATATACAGAATATTATATACAGTGTGTGATATACAGAATATTATATACAGTGTGTGTGTGTGATATACAGAATATTATAAACAGTGTGCGTGATATACAGAATATTATATACAGTGTGTGTGATATACAGATTATATACAGTGTGTGAGATATACAGAATATTATTATACAGTGTGTGTGTGATATACAGAATATTATATACAGTGTGTGATATACAGAATATTATTTACAATGTGTGTGTGATATACAGAATATTATATACAGTGTGCGTGATATACAGAATATTATATACAATGTGTGTGTGATATACAGAATATTATATACAGTGTGCGTGATATACAGAATATTATATACAATGTGTGTGTGTGTGATATACAGAATATTATATACAGTGTGTGATATACAGAATATTATTTACAATGTGTGTGTGATATACAGAATATTATATACAGTGTGTGTGTGATATACAGAATATTAAATACAATGTGTGTGATATACAGAATATTATTATACAGTGTGTGTGATAAACAGTATATTATATACAGTGTGTGTGTGTGATATACAGAATATTATATACAGTGTGTGTGTGATATACAGAATATTACATACAGTGTGTGTGTGATATACAGAATATTATATACAGTGTGTGTGTGTGTGATATACAGAATATTATTATACAGTGTGTGTGATAAACAGTATATTATATACAGTGTGTGTGTGTGATATACAGAATATTATATACAATATGTGTGTGATATACAGTATATTATATAGAATATTATATACAATGTGTGTGTGATATACAGAATATTATATACAATGTGTGTGTGATATACAGAATATTATTATATAGAATATTATATACAATGTGTGTGTGATATACAGAATATTATACAGAATATTATATACAATGTGTGTGTGTGATATACAGAATATTATACAGAATATTATATACAATGTGTGTGTGTGATATACAGAATATTATACAGTGTGTGTGATATACAGAATATTATTATATAGAATGTTATATACAATGTGTGTGTGATATACAGAATATTATAAACAGTGTGTGTGAAATACAGAATTTTGTTATATAGAATATTATATACAATGTGTGTGTGATATACAGAATATTATATAGAATGTGTGTGTGTGTGATATACAAAATCCTATTATATAGAATATTATATACAATGTGTGTGTGATATACAAAATCCTATTATATAGAATATTATATGCAATGTGTGTGTGATATACAGAATATTATTATGTAGAATATTATATGCAATGTGTGTGTGATATACAGAATATTATATGCAATGTGTGTGTGATATACAGAATATTATAATATAGAATATTATATACAATGTGTGTGTGATATACAGAATATTATAAACAATGTGTGTGATATACAGAATATTATATAGAATATTATAAACAATGTGTGTGTGATATACAGAATATTATATACAATGTGTGCGTGATATACAGAATATTATTATATAGAATATTATAAACAATGTGTGTGTGATATACAGAATATTATATACAATGTGTGTGATATACAGAATATTATATACAATGTGTGTGTGATATACAGAATATTATATAGAATGTTATAAACAATGTGTGTGTGATATACAGAATATTATTATATAGAATATTTTATACAATGTGTGTGTGATATACAGAATATTATAAACGATGTGTGTGTGATATACAGAATATTGTTATATAGAATATTATATGCAATGTGTGTGTGATATACAGAATATTATTATACAGAAAATTATATGCAATGTGTGTGTGATATACAGAATATTATATACAATGTGTGTGTGATATACAGAATATTATATAAAGTGTGTGTGATATACTGAATATTGTTATACAGAATATTATATACAATGTTTGTGTAATATACAGAATATTATATACAATGTGTGTGTGATATAAAGAATACTATTATATAGAATATTATATACAATGTGTGTGAGATATACAAAATATTATATAGAATATTATATACAGTGTGTGTGATATACAGAATATTATTGTACAGAATATTATATATAATGTGTGTGATATACAGAATATTATTTACAATGTGTGTGTGTGATATACAGAACATTATATAGAATGTGTGTGTGATATAGAGAATTGTATATACAATGTGTGTGTGATATACAGAATCTTATTATGTATAATGTTATATACAATGTGTTTGTGATATACAGAATCTTATTATATAGAATATTATATACAATGTGTGTGTGATATACAGAATCTTATTATATAGAATATTATATACAATGTGTGTGTGTGATATACAGAATATTATTATATAGAACATTATAAACAGTGTGTGTGAAATACAGAATATTATAGAGAATATTATATACAATGTGTGTGTGATATACAGAATATTATATAGAGTGTGTGTGTGATACACAGAATCTTATTATATAGAATATTATATACAATGTGTGTGTGATATACAGAATCCTATTATATAGAATATTATATACAATGTGTGTGTGATATACAGAATATTATACAGAATATTATATACAATGTGTGTGTGATATACAGAATATTATACAGAATATTATATACAGTGTGTGTGATATACAGAATATTATTATATAGAATGTTATATACAATGTGTGTGTGATATACAGAATATTATAAACAATGTGTGTGTGAAATACAGAATTTTGTTATATAGAATATTATATACAATGTGTGTGTGATATACAGAATATTATATAGAATGTGTGTGTGTGTGTGATATACAAAATCCTATTATATAGAATATTATATACAATGTGTGTGTGATATACAAAATCCTATTATATAGAATATTATAAACAATGTGTGTGTAATATAGAATATTATATAGAACGTGTGTGATACATAGAACATTTATATAGAATGTGTAATATAGAACATTTATATAGAATGTGTGTGTAATATAAAATGTTATATAGAATGTGTGATATAAATAACATTATATATAATGTGTGTAGAACATTATATAGAATGTGTGTGTGTAATGTGGAACATTATATACAATGTGTGTGTGATATATAGAATCTTATATAGATTATATACAATGTATGTGTAATATAGAATTTTATATAGAATGTGTATGTGGAATATAGAATATGTGTAATATAGAACGTTATATAGAATATATGTGATATAAATAACATTATATGGAATGTGTGTGTAATATAGAACGGTATACAGAATATGTGTGATATAAATAACATTATATGGGATGTGTGTGTAATATAGAGCGTTATATAGAATGTGTGTGTAATATAGAATATTTTATAGAATGGTTGTGTAATATAGAACATTTTATAGAATGTGTGTGTGATATACAGAATATTATATACAATGTGTGTGTAATATAGAACATTATATAGAATATGTTTGTAATATATAATATTTTATAGAATGTGTGTGTAATATAGAATATTATATAGAATGTGTGTGTGATACATAGAACATTTATTTAGATTGTGTAATATAGAACATTTATAAAGAATGTATGTGTGATACATAGAACATTATATATAATGTGTGTGTGTGATATGCAGAATATTATATACAATGTGTGTGATATAGAACATTATGTAGAATGTGTGTGTGATATAGAATATTATATAGAATGTGTGTGTAATATAAAATGCTATATAGAATATGTGTGATATAAATAACATTATATACAATGTGTGTGATATACAGAATATTATATACAATGTGTGTGTGTGGTATATAGAATCTTATTATATAGATTATATACAATGTATGTGTAATATATAATTTTATATAGAATGTGTGTGTAATATAGAATATTATATAAAATGTGTGTGTGTAATATAGAACGTTATATAGAATATGTGTGATATAAATAACATTATATAGAATGTGTGTAATATAGAACTTTATATACAATGTGTGTGTGATATACAGAATCGTATTATATAGATTATATACAATGTATGTGTAATATAGAACATTATATAGAATGTGTGGGAGATGGGAGACCTGTGCAGTTCTCTCCCCTCCTGCCAGTCTACCTGTGATTGTGCCCCCACCGGACCACTGCGCTCTAGGCAGTCATGTACCGGCCCAATGCTATGCCGGCCCACCGGGAAACTGCCAGGTATCCTTGTGAGCCAGCCCGTCCTTGTACCTAGCCGTAATGTAACAGCACTGCGCACCATGTTCATGTCTTGGATGGGTAATACCAATTAAGGCATAGCCGTGAATCATTTGCTTTCCTATAGGAAGATGTGATTTATAGTCTATAGGCGCCTGTACTGATAGCTGTATCATTTTTATATATTTTACCCAATAGATCGGTGCAGTCATTTACTTTTTGATGGGACACATTTTGTGTGTATTACTCTGTAAAAGTAGTCGTAATAGTTCTGCCGGTAGGAGATGGGGAGCTGTCCCCAGTCCTTCTGCCACATGGGATTAGCCATTCATATCTCTACTGACATTGTTAGTTTTATCATTTTCATCGGGTTGAATTCCTCCGAGCAGTATGGCTGATGAGGGAGATCTTCTATCTCCACACTGGACATGAAGATTGGCGTGGGCGGCACAGTCCAGCTCGTTCACTGCCTACTAGAGGCTGCAGCAACCTACTGTGTGTGATTACAGTTTAGTTAACAGAGCAGGAGATAAGAATGGCCAGATCTGGTTGTAAAAGAAACGATTTTTCACTTTGTCAGTCAGTCACAGCCAGGAGCAGTAACTAAGGCTGCAGAAACAAACAAACGTGATTTAACTATACACCAAAACTGCTTGATTAAGCCAAGATTATTTTTATGCGGAGTATTCCTTTTTGCAGATCAGTAACACTTCCTGCATGTGATATGTATGTATAGCATTCAGGGCTTTTGTTTGGAGATTGCAGGAACTTTCTTTACATTTCCCAACCTTCGCTGAGACTATAAAATATGGAGATATAAAGGCACACCATACGTGTCGCTAAGGGACGACTTCGGTCCTGGTGTGATTCACCACCCAAACTGCGCTTATGTTGTGAAAGGTTTTTATTAATATCAGCTTTTGAGTCAAATCCTCTCTCATTTTTACAGTGCAAAAAAACAAAAAACCCCAAGGATTTTACCTTCCCGAGCAAAGATTTACCACCTTTATCATTCAAGCAAGGCGAAAGGAAAACTAATTTAAGAAAATATGTGCAGGGCCAGAGCATTCGAATTTAGAACAAAAAAAATATATTTAAAAATGGTTCTACCATGTGAGTTCTCCATTTACCAATCTTGCAACGCATCACCAGGACATTAATGCTGTACTCCAAACGGATTAAATACCAGGACATAATGTACAAGGCACAGCTTCCTGTACGTACAGTGCACAAATCTACGGTGAACGAAGTAAATGCCGGTTAAGCTAGGCAAATCTACGGTGAACGAAGTAAATGCCGGTTAATCTAGGCAAATCTACGGTGAACGCAGTAAATGGCGGTTAATCTAGGCAAATCTACGGTGAACGAAGTAAATGGCGGTTAATCTAGGCAAATCTACGGTGAACGAAGTAAATGCTGGTTAATCTAGGCAAATCTACGTTGAACGAATTAAATGCTGGTTAATCTAGGCAAATCTACGGTGAACGAATTAAATACTGGTTAATCTAGGCAAATCTACGGTGAACGAAATAAATGCTGGTTAATCTAGGCAAATCTACGGTAAACTAAGTAAATGCCGGTTAATCTAGGCAAATCTACGGTGAACAAAGTAAATGCCGGTTAATCTAGGCAAATCTACGGTGAACGAAGTAAATGGTGGTTAATCTAGGCAAATCTACGGTGAACGAAGTAAATGGTGGTTAATCTAGGCAAATCTACGGTGAACGGCGCAAAATGCTGCTTACCCAGGTAAATTCCACGGGTGAACTGGCAACGCGGTTAATCTAGGTAAAATTCCACGGGTGAACCTGGGCGCAATGCTGGTTAATCTAGGCAAATCTACGCTGGAACGTAATTAAATGCTGGTTAATCTAGGCAAATCTACGGTGAACGAATTAAATGCTGGTTAATCTAGGCAAATCTACGGTGAACGAAATAAATGCTGGTTAATCTAGGCAAATCTACGGTAAACTAAGTAAATGCCGGTTAATCTAGGCAAATCTACGGTGAACGAAGTAAATGGCGGTTAATCTAGGCAAATCTACGGTGAACGAAATAAATGCTGGTTAATCTAGGCAAATCTACGGTAAACGAAGTAAATGCCGGTTAAGCTAGGCAAATCTACTGTGAACGAAGTAAATGGTGGTTAATCTAGGCAAATCTACGGTGAACGAAGTAAATGGCGGTTAATCTAGGCAAATCTACGGTGAACGAAGTAAATGCTGGTTAATCTAGGCAAATCTACGTTGAACGAATTAAATGCTGGTTAATCTAGGCAAATCTACGGTGAACGAATTAAATACTGGTTAATCTAGGCAAATCTACGGTGAACGAAATAAATGCTGGTTAATCTAGGCAAATCTACGGTAAACTAAGTAAATGCCGGTTAATCTAGGCAAATCTACGGTGAACGAAGTAAATGCCGGTTAATCTAGGCAAATCTACGGTGAACGAAGTAAATGGTGGTTAATCTAGGCAAATCTACGGTGAACGAAGTAAATGGTGGTTAATCTAGGCAAATCTACGGTGAACGAAGTAAATGCTGGTTAATCTAGGCAAATCTACGGTGAACTAAGTAAACGGCGGTTAATCTAGGCAAATCTACGGTGAACGAAGTAAATGCTGGTTAATCTAGGCAAATCTACGTTGAACGAATTAAATGCTGGTTAATCTAGGCAAATCTACGGTGAACGAATTAAATGCTGGTTAATCTAGGCAAATCTACGGTGAACGAAATAAATGCTGCTTAATCCAGCAAATTCACGGTGAAACGGCAAATGCCGGGTTAATCTAGGCAAATCTATCGTGAACGGCGTAAATGCCGGTTAATTCAGGGGCAAATTCCACGGTGAATCTGGCAAATGCCGGTTGACTCAGTACCCACACGGTGAACGAAGTAAATGCCGGTTAATCTAGGCAAATCTACGGTGAACGAAGTAAATGCCGGTTAATCTAGGCAAATCTACGGTGAACGAAGTAAATGCCGGTTAATCTAGGCAAATCTACGGTGAACGAAGTAAATGGCGGTTAATCTAGGCAAATCTACGGTGAACGAAGTAAATGGCGGTTAATCTAGGCAAATCTACGGTGAACGAAGTAAATGGCGGTTAATCTAGGCAAATCTACGGTGAACGAAGTAAATGCGGGTTAATCTAGGCAAATCTACGGTGAACGAATTAAATGCGGGTTAATCTAGGCAAATCTACGGTGAACGAAGTAAATGCTGGTTAATCTAGGCAAATCTCCTGTAAACTAAGTAAATGCCGGTTAATCTAGGCAAATCTACGGTGAACGAAGTAAATGCCGGTTAAGCTAGGCAAATCTACGGTGAACGAAGTAAATGGTGGTTAATCTAGGCAAATCTACGGTGAACGAAGTAAATGGTGGTTAATCTAGGCAAATCTACGGTGAACTAAGTAAATGTTGGTTAATCTAGGCAAATCTACGGTGAACTAAGTAAATGGCGGTTAATCTAGGCAAATCTACGGTGAACGAAGTAAATGGCGGTTAATCTAGGCAAATCTACGGTGAACGAAGTAAATGCTGGTTAATCTAGGCAAATCTACGGTGAACGAAGTAAATGCTGGTTAATCTAGGCAAATCTACGTTGAACGAATTAAATGCTGGTTAATCTAGGCAAATCTACGGTGAACAAAGTAAATGCTGGTTAATCTAGGCAAATCTACGGTGAACGAAGTAAATGGCGGTTAATCTAGGCAAATCTACGGTGAACGAATTAAATGGCGGTTAATCTAGGCAAATCTACGTTGAACAAATTAAATGGCGGTTAATCTAGGCAAATCTACGTTGAACGAATTAAATGGCGGTTAAGCTAGGCAAATCTACGGTGAACGAAGTAAATGCTGGTTAATCTAGGCAAATCTACGGTGAACGAAGTAAATGTTGGTTAATCTAGGCAAATCTACGGTGAACGAAGTAAATGCTGGTTAATCTAGGCAAATCTACGGTGAACGAAGTAAATGGCGGTTAATCTAGGCAAGTCTACGGTGAACGAAGTAAATGGCGGTTAATCTAGGCAAATCTACGGTGAACGAAATAAATGCCGGTTAATCTAGGCAAATCTACGGTAAACGAAGTAAATGCCGGTTAAGCTAGGCAAATCTACTGTGAACGAAGTAAATGGTGGTTAATCTAGGCAAATCTACGGTGAACGAAGTAAATGGTGGTTAATCTAGGCAAATCTACGGTGAACGAAGTAAATGTTGGTTAATCTAGGGCAAATCTACGTGAACGGCGCAAATGCTGGTTAATCTAGGCAAAATCTACCGTGAACGTAAAGTAAATGTTGGTTAATTCAGGCAAAATTCCGCCGTGAACGGCGCAAATGCTGGTTAATCTAGGCAAACGTGAACGGCGCAAATGTTGGTTAATCTAGGCAAATTCCACGGTGAATCCAAATAAATGTTGGTTAACGAAAGCACCCACGAACTTAAATAAATGCTGGTTAATCTAGGCAAATCTACGTGAACTTAAATAAATGTTGGTTAATCTAGGCAAATTCCACGGTGAAACTTAAATAAATGTTGGTTAATCTAGGCAAAATCTACGTTGAACGAATTAAATGCTGGTTAATCTAGGCAAATCTACGGTGAACGAATTAAATGCTGGTTAATCTAGGCAAATCTACGGTGAACGAAATAAATGCTGGTTAATCTAGGCAAATCTACGGTAAACTAAGTAAATGCCGGTTAATCTAGGCAAATCTACGGTGAACTAAGTAAATGCCGGTTAAGCTAGGCAAATCTACGGTGAACGAAGTAAATGCCGGTTAATCTAGGCAAATCTACGGTGAACGAAGTAAATGTTGGTTAATCTAGGCAAATCTACGGTGAACGAAGTAAATGCTGGTTAATCTAGGCAAATCTACGGTGAACAAATTAAATGCTGGTTAATCTAGGCAAATCTACGGTGAACAAAGTAAATGTTGGTTAATCTAGGCAAATCTACGGTGAACGAAATAAATGTTGGTTAATCTAGGCAAATCTACGGTGAACGAAATAAATGCTGGTTAATCTAGGCAAATCTACGGTGAACGAAATAAATGCTGGTTAATCTAGGCAAATCTACGGTGAACGAAGTAAATGTTGGTTAATCTAGGCAAATCTACGGTGAACGAAATAAATGCTGGTTAATCTAGGCAGGAACGAATTGATTTCCTTTTCAGTTTCTATGGCTGCCTGTAGATTTTTAATTCACTATATTCTGCTCTATCTTTCTGACTCCACACATCATACTAGCTCTGAGACATATCAAGGCGCTGCTCCCTCTTCTCAATCCAGGAACAAATAGGTTTACCTGCAGTCTCAGTTAGCTTCGTTCCAATCACAGGTGTAAAGGGCAGCTCACTCTAATTTTTAGAAACACAATATTCACACAATCTGTTTAACAATTGTGTTCCTTGTACACAAACAAACAGGTCTCTTCTTCAGTCCAATCTTGTTCTTGTTCTTTTCTCCTGCTGCTGAATGGAAGTATGACTTGCCCTGTTTAGCAGAATGTGGGACATGCGTTTTGTGAATCTTTCACACCTGGTGTGTTTCATCTTTCAGTACAGGCTGTGCATTCATCTAATAATGCAGGGGAGTTGTTGCTGTATGGAGACACCCTAAATGTATGTTACTTTTAGTAAATACCGTATTGAGGGTAATTCTAAGGACAGCGGTTTCTGCTGTAAATACCGTATTGAGGGTAATTCTAAGGAGAGCGGTTTCTGCTGTAAATACCGTATTGAGGGTAATTCTAAGGAGAGCGGTTTCTGCTGTAAATACCGTATTGAGGGTAATTCTAAGGAGAGCGGTTTCTGCTGCAAATACCGTATTGAGGGTAATTCTAAGGAGAGCGGTTTCTGCTGTAAATACCGTATTGAAGGTAATTCTAAGGAGAGCGGTTTCTGGTGTAAATACCGTATTGAGGGTAATCCTAAGGAGAGCGGTTTCTGCTGTAGATACCGTATTTAGGGTAATTCTAAGGAGAGCGCTTTCTGCTGTAGATACCGTATTGAGGGTAATTCTAAGGGGAGAGGTTTCTGCTGCAAGTACCGTATTGAGGGTAATTCTAAGGAGAGCGGTTTATGCTGCAAATACCGTATTGAGGGTAATTCAAAGGGGAGCGGTTTCTGCTGTAAATACCGTATTGAGGGTAATTCTAAGGAGAGCGGTTTCTGCTGTAGATACCGTATTAAGGGTAATTCTAAGGAGAGTGGTTTCTGCTGTAAATACCGTATTGAAGGTAATTCTAAGGAGAGCGGTTTCTGGGGTAAATACCGTATTGAGGGTAATTCTAAGGAGAGCGGTTTCTGCTGCAGATACCGTATTGAGGGTAATTCTAAGGAGAGCGGTTTCTGCTGCAGATACCGTATTGAGGGTAATTCTAAGGAGAGCGGTTTCTGCTGTAGATACCGTATTGAGGGTAATTCTAAGGAGAGAGCTTTCTGCTGTAAATACCGTATTGAGGGTAATTCTAAGGAGAGTGGTTTCTGCTGTAAATACCGTATTGAGGGTAATTCTAAGGAGAGCGGTTTCTGCTGTAAATACCGTATTGAAGGTAATTCTAAGGAGAGCGGTTTCTGGGGTAAATACCGTATTGAGGGTAATTCTAAGGAGAGCGGTTTCTGCTGTAAATACCGTATTGAGGGTAATTCTAAGGAGAGCGGTTTCTGCTGTAAATACCGTATTGAGGGTAATTCTAAGGAGAGCGGTTTCTGCTGTAAATACCGTATTGAGGGTAATTCTAAGGAGAGCGGTTTCTGGTGTAAATACCGTATTGAGGGTAATCCTAAGGAGAGCGGTTTCTGCTGTAGATACCGTATTTAGGGTAATTCTAAGGAGAGCGCTTTCTGCTGTAGATACCGTATTGAGGGTAATTCTAAGGGGAGCGGTTTCTGCTGCAAGTACCGTATTGAGGGTAATTCTAAGGAGAGCGGTTTCTGCTGTAGATACCGTATTGAGGGTAATTCAAAGGAGAGCGGTTTCTGCTGTAAATACCGTATTGAGGGTAATTCTAAGGAGAGCGTTTTATGCTGCAAATACCGTATTGAGGGTAATTCTAAGGAGAGCGGTTTCTGCTGTAAATACCGTATTAATGGTAATTCTAAGGAGAGCGGTTTCTGCTGTAGATACCGTATTGAGGGTAATTCTAAGGAGAGCGGTTTCTGCTGTAAATACCGTATTAATGGTAATTCTAAGGAGAGCGGTTTCTGCTGTAAATACCGTATTGAGGGTAATTCTAAGGAGAGCGGTTTCTGGAGTAAAGTACACAGCAAACCGATGATCCATTCCTCTGTAAAGTGACTTAGTAAATAACCCTGCATGTAGATAAAGTGGCAATTGTCGTAAATTTTAAATTTTTGCTCATAACTAATCTCGTAACATAGCTGATTGCAGAATTTTGGCAGTTTGGCTATTTTAGGCCAGAATTTGAAATTCAATTTGCATTCCCACTTTACCAGAAAACAAATGTTAAATAGTTTCCCCAGCCATTACCTGTGTGTAGCACGCTCTGCCCATTTCCTAGCTATGTTTGAGGCTTGTAAAAATGTTTTAGCTCCAGTTGTCGATATGACAAAATGACACACTTTGGTTCTCAAACGTAACTTTTTCCATTTGGTAGATAAATCTACCGAAAACCGACCACCCCCCCGCCTCATTAAATTCAAAGAAAACCACAGGAATTCGTGCTCTCCCTGTGTGGCCGCCGTTCATAGAACCAAACACATGCTGGAGAAAACACTGGCCATCTTGTCACACGAAAAGAGGCAGCGTGACTTGGTCGTTGAGTGTCTGGAACTCCAAGTCGGACACTCGACCCCGAGAACACCGGTCAAGTTTGCGAATGCCTGCTTTTCACGGGTCGGACACAGGGAGTTTAACATGAAACATTTACTAAATTATAGGAGATAATTATGATGACAAGAGTACCAAGCCTGAATCACAGAAGCAGCAGCAAAAAGATACATAGAATGTGAAGGCAGATAACAGTTTGGCCCAATTTTCGAAATTCTTTCATTAGTCCGTGGCCTTATCTGCCGTCACATTCTATGTTTCTAAGTCCCCTTTTAAAGGTTTAATGGAGAGGATGGCATTGCAGACGTTGTTGTGTTCATATACTATAGGACGTTTTTCCTTTAATTACTGCATGTGAGGGATAAAGCAGATCGGAGGTTGCTCTGGAAATCTTTTATTTGCATGAACCGAACAGATAAAACATTGGATAGACTGTTTCTGATGCTGTGGCCACATTATCAACCTGTAATAGGTCACTTTGTTTATCAGAACAAAAGGTCAGCCTGATATTTTCTGTGATTTGAAGAAACATTTTTAGGACCATAACCACTACAGCACATTGTGCTGGTTATTGTGTAAGGAGTCTTTTAGGTGCCTTTACGTTTTTTTTTGGCAATACATTTGATTAGTGTCACAGAAACCAATCTCCCTCGGACCCCTTGTGCAGATTCGGCTCCAATGCCATTTAACCATGGCAATCATAGCACGGGAACACTGGGCTGACAACCGACCCCAACTTACCAGTGTAGGACAGCTTTGGCTAAGGAAGATTTAGCAACGTTTAGTCACTCTTTGTACCTTAACACAATTAGCTGGAAGAAATGGTGCTGAGAGTGGGAGTTGGACAGTTTAGATGTTGTACAAGACATTCTTGGTTACTGGCACTGGGTCATTGCAGTGAACTTTGGGTAGATCTCCATTGTCAGAGCAGCATACTCTGTAGCAACATTACAATTGGGTAAGCGGATTGTATATAGTCCTACAGGCATCGCAACTCATTAAAAACAAATTAATATACTCTGAGCCATTTACGCATTAAATTTCATGACAGCACGCTGTAGTGGTTATGGTGCCACGAGCACTCTGATATCTTGGGACAGAGCCACACCGTTCACAAATGTTTTGACACTTACCTGACTGTCAGGCACCTGATGTCCTGGCCTGATATTGTGAAGCAGAAGTTCATACAAATGCATTCACAAACCAACTGGGGACTTATTGGGTGAGAGTGTTGGTTGGCTAGTTCGGTCAATGAAATCATCTAAAGCCAATTTGCTAATGCATTAGTGATAACTTCTGCCTACAGATCTCAGCACAGATATGAAGGATAGTGGGTGCCTGATGGAACCAGGTAAGTGTCCATCCATTTGTAGGTAACCCTTGACTGTAGGCAGGGGACTCCTGGCACCATAACTACAGCACACTGGGGTGCTTAGTGGTTTGCTTTCAAAAAAAGACCTAACTTAACCAACAAACAAAGGGGACCAGTTCTAGTATACCGTGTCCAATTTAGAATTTGATGAACCATCTCACTTTCAGGAACGTAAACACCTGTAAATGAATAGCATTACAAAGCGTGAGATCTGCATGAATTCAGGTTCAATATAACGTCTCCCAGGAAACACACAGACTGATGTCAGAAGTTACTGAGATTACCTGCCTCTCTTTCTCTGGAATGGATGTCGTATTAATAGCAGTACTTTGAACTAATTGTGTGATTACTGTGGTTTTAGAAATTGTTTATTATCCAATGAGAAGTAATGTTAATCTGTATCTGTCCAAGAGGACACAGCGGTAATGTCATAAAGAACAGTCTTACTCTAAACAACATACGTCTGCTATAAATAATAGTTTACCACAAATAAATTCTTAATGAGCAGTGATGTGTTATACCATCTCCAGTAATGTTTAGCTCACTCACAAAACATGCTTCATATTGGCAGCATTTCAGTACTACCAGTATTAAAGGACCACTATAGGCACCCAGACCACTTCAGCTTAATGAAGTGGTCTGGGTGCCTGGTCCAGCTAGGGGTTAACCCACCCCCCTTTTTTTTTTATATAAAAACTGCTATGTTTATTAATAGGTTAATCCAGCCTCTCTCATTGACAGCCGCTAGAGGAGTTTGCGTGCTTCTCACTGTGAAAATCAGTGAGAAGACGCAAGCGTCCATTTCCTATGAGACTGGTTGAATGCGCGCGCAGCTCCTGCCGCACATGCGCATTCAGACAAGAGGAGGAGGAGAGCTGCCCGCCCGGCGCTGGAGATAGAGGTAAGTTTAACCCCTTCCTCTCCGCAGAGCCTGGCGGGAGGGGGCACCCTCAGGGCACTATAGTGGTTCTCTAAGACTGTGTTGATTATTGTGCCAGTTTTGCAATATTTCCAGAAAAGAACCTGATTCTGATATCTGTACTATAAGGAGCAGTAGATCGCAAACCTGATCCTTTGTATGGAAAATGAAAACTATTTCCTTGTAGTTTACTTTCTTAAATCTTTTGGTTTTAACCCGAGTTTATTAAATAAACCGCGTTGAACTGTTTACAGCCCAGATTGAAAGAACGTATTCTGTATAATGTATTTTGTACATGGTGAAATAAAATTGGGTTTTTATTTAGTGGAGAACGAAATTCACTTTGTCTATTTTACCAAAAACAAACCAACTGCAGCATATTACCAATTACCCACAATGCAATGCCTGTCTACTGAATAAACGCACAGTGATGGATAGGTAATGTTTCTCTTTTTATTACAATCTACCATTTACAAACACTTTGGTAAAACAAAAAAAATTATATATAAAAAAAAAATTGCAAGAAGTCTGATTTAAAGCAACACTTCATGTTTACCCTCCTCTAGTGTTAAGCCAGCCCTTTAACTCATTTCACCTTGAGTGGAATGTAACATGAGGTTTCTATGACAACCCGTTCTATTAAATCTCTCTATGGAAGTCATACACAAACCATGCAATGCTGCTTTAAATGTTGCCCTGTGTGTAACTGGCAGGGGTGCAGTCTGTGTCCTGGTCACTGGGTCATGGGTAACCTTAAGGGCGCTCGAGGAGGGGCTGGACGGGGAGGGGGAAGAGGCCCACGCTGATATCCATATGGAGGTGGTCTTGGGGGTCCATTGTACCCGTGGGGAGGCATCAAAGGAGGTGGCCGCATCCCTGGTGGCATTCCTGGATGGCCTAGGAGGAATAAAACATACTTTAGCAAAAAGCAAATCAACCAGAACCCAGTTACAATGAATGTCTGAAAGAAGGATGTAGTTTGTCCAATGAGAGGAAATTTATACCCTCACAAATACTGAATCTCAAAGAAAGGGAACAAGCTTCTACTGGAAAACATTATCTGCCAGATGTTATCGATGAAGGTTTCTATGCCAGATCACCATGGTGGATAGCTGGCAATTCCCAACACTCACATTGTAGTGGAGATCTGTTCCAGTATTTCTAGAGTAACTTTGGTTACACAACAAACAAATCGAAATACAATCTATAATGGACCCAAAAAATGTCTGCACATATTTACAGGATTCTCCCTCTGTCACAAACTCTACATTTCAACAGAGAGTGCGCCCCGTCCAAGCCAGTAATAATGTAGCTGCACGGTGTCACGCCGAAGGTATAGAATATTGCCATTTAATGCCATTTGTGGAGTGCATATATGAATTGGCCACTTGGTAGAGGTGAAAGGGCCAATTTGATTAGAGAGGTTGGATGTCAGAAGGGATTAATGTAAATTGTATAGAAATGTGAAAGGCTCTGCAAGGTGTGAGATTTTACACTTGAGCTGGACTTGTGTCTAGTACCAATGTAAACTAACCATAAGGCCTGGAACTCTTAACTGATAGTTCCTTTCTTTGATATGTTAATGGCCATTAGCCATCAAGAAAACCCTTGTGTTCCAGTATCAGATCCAAATGCAGCATTAAGTAACTAACTTCATAAATGCAAATATTATTTCTGTGGAAAGTACAAAAGAGGAGATCGAACCAAAAGTTTATATTAGGATTAATGTTGGTCTGGAACACAAGGGGGTCACTTATTGTTTCTATAGGTACACCTTATTTCGACCTCTGGGCCAGGCTTGAAAACTTGAGACGAATCCACAGGGTATTTATCCAATGATATTGAAATGTATATTGTACTTGCTTGGGGCCAAAATCTAATTTTGAGTCACCATCTTCTGCCCAGGAAGTTTTACTTAGAAGATATAAATGAGTAAGTGACTAGGACTTCTGTTATTTTATCCTATTTGGTTTTATGTGCTGTTGATTGCTATTTCTGTATGCATTGTGACTTTTTTTTTTTTTTGCTCATAATAAACATTCCTTTATTAAAGGATTACTATAGGGTCAGGAACACAAACATGTATTGCTGACCCTATAATGTTAAAACCACCATCTAGCCCCCCTGGGACCTCATGCCTCCATAAATATAGCAAAATCTTACTGTATTCAAGCCTGAAGCTGTAGATCTGCATGCTGTTAGACTCAGAAAAACAAGCTGTCTGCTGACATCATCAGAAGTGGTGGCCTGATCCAATCAGTGCTTCCCCATAGGATTGGCTGAGACTGACAAGTAGGCAGATCAGGGGCAGAGCCAGCATGATTCAAACACAGCCCTGGCCAATCAGCTTCTCCTCATAGAGATGAATTGAATCAATGAATCTCTATGAGGAAAGTTCAGTGTCTGCGTGCATAGGGAGGAGACACTGAATGTTTGGATGCATTTTAGGCAGCCAGGAAGGATCTCTAACAGCCATCTGAGGAGTGGCCAGTGAAGTTATCACTAGGCTGCAATGTAAACACTGCATTTTCTCTGAAACAAACAGTGTTTACAGCAAAAAGCCTGAAGGGAATGATTCTACTCACCAGAACAAATTCAGTAAGCTGTAGTTGTTCTGGTGACTATAGTGTCCCTTTAAGTTCTGCCTTTGTCTGGTAAAGAATCACGTTACCTGAAGAGACACATTCAATAGGTATTGTGCTAAATTATATTTGCTGGGTTTTTCTTCCTGATTTACCTGGGTGACCAAGGCATCCCATTCATAAATTGTCTTTGTGGTGGCAGCGTTAAAATAGTAATATTTATTAGGGATCGACCGATTATCGGTCTGGCCGATATTCTGTATTTTCAGCAATATCAGTATCGGCCAATAAAGATACCGATAATGCAGATTATACACCCCCCACTGCATTCACTATACACACACACACACACCCCCGCCCCCCAATGAATTCACTATACACACACACACCCCCAATGAATTCACTATACACACACACCCCCAATGAATTCACTATACACACACACACACACACCCCCCCCAATGAATTCACTATACACACACACCCGCACTGCATATATAATGAATGCAGTGAGTATAAAATGAATGCAGTGTGTGTAGTGGATATATTATGAATGCAGTGTGTGTGTGTACATAATGAATGCCAACACTCACTGCATCCACTATACACACACACTGCATTCATTACATACACACACATTCGTAAACAAATTCTGACTGACATGTAAATTTTGGGCATTTACCTTAACAAAAAAAAAAAAATTGCAAAAAAAAATACATGTTCAGTTAACAGATTTGTGTAGAAATAGTTTCTTTTTTCAGAATGGTAAATGTACAGAATATTAATAAACTATCAGCTCAAAAAAAAAAAATTATCGGTCGATCCCTAATATTTATATTATTATGGTGAAGTGTGGGTGGTGTTAAGGGGGATTTTGATAATTTCCCGTCTAGTGCAGACAAGTAGTGAACTTTAACCCTTTCACCACAACAACCAAGTCATGTAACACACTGTATCATCAATACCTAGATCTGGGTTGTTTCCTTAAACGTTCTGATCAAAAACAAATTGAGTAGAATGACTTACCCATTGCACCAAATGGCGGTGCTCTCGGCGGCATGCCCATAGGAGGCGGCCCCGGGTGTCCCATGCCAGGTGGACGAACAGTAAGCTGAGCGGCTCCCGGATGAGAAGGTCCAAGGTTGTGATGCTGAACCTGCATTTGCATCCCTGAAAATAAACACCAGGAAAAACAAAACTGAGTGCTGAGCCAAGATAAAGCAAGCAAACCTTGCATTTCTGTTTACCAAACAATGCAATGAAAACAAAGTCTAATCAGATTATATATACAGAGTATACTGGTTCCTACACGGTGACACTTTATGGTCATGATGAATCATGACTTTCAATGTGCTATAGGGAGAGATGAGTAGAATAACGTGCCCCACTATGGCTGCATTTCTCAATGATAACATCCTACCAGCAGGCAGATGGTGTAGGCAGAGATGTTGGCATGTGGTCATTGAGGTTATATCTAAAGAGCCCTCTCCTTCTTCCCCGGAAGAGACTGAAAGAAAAACCTCTGAATCTGTCCCTTGTTCAGGAAGAGCAATGGTCTGAGGACAGGTAAATTCAAGTAAAGCATGCGTGCCACATACATGCAGAGGAGAAAGTTAAAGTACTGTATGGATGTGGAGCCTCGCCTACTGAAATACAGCAATTGTGCACAGATGAAGGGCTGGAATCCTAATCTCCAATTATAGAAAGCTCTTGGGGCAGCGGTTGCTGCTAAAGGTGACAAACTTTAATAAAGTTAAGGGAGTAAAAACGTATTCACAACATTTCACTTAAAAACAATCTGAGTAGACACTAAATTCAGTTTTTATTACATTTTATATGAAGATCTGAATCCACTGTGATGAAAATGCAAAAATAAACAAAATCACGAGTAGAGAGCAAATCTTGTTTTCCCAGCACCGTACATAAGGTTTAATCAGAGATTTACATGACATTACACTTGTTCTTTTTCCCTTAATTCATTTGTTAGTTTTAAGATGTGCTTTAGTCAGTTGGTCCAAGATTTATTTCCAACCACAGTAGTATATTTAAATCAAAATAAACTCTGCAGCTCTCTGGATAGGTTGTGCTATCACCATTTTATGGCAAACAGTTTAGAAATAATTTGTAGCATAGAATAACAATCCACCTTCCATGTTGTATAAATGAACAGTAATAACATGGAAGCAGAAATAGTGCATTATCAATGCAGGTCAGGAGGGGGCAGTGTAGAGGGCACTCAGGGACTCAATGCAACATAGCCACTAGATGGAGCTCTAGCTGTTATATTGCTCAGTGTCTCAAGGTACAATCACTTTCCAAGCATTATTATCCCATTCCTTTATTATACTACATCAGACCCTCCATTAACCCATTAAAGACTGAGGCAGTTGTACAAATTCTAATCAAAACCAAATGTAAACAAAACTATGAATTTGCGCTACATGTCTGTTCAGGCGTAATTCACCTCTTTCATATTATGTGCACCCACACTTATTATATATCATTTTATTCAGGAGAAACAGGGCTTTCATTTAACATCAAATATTTGTATATGAAACAATTTAATATGAATTAAATATTTTTAAATTGAGAAATTAAGAAAGTAATTTTTTAGTTTTGCGTACCATTTTAACTAATTGTCCCGTTTCTGCAATAAAATACACAGCGATGTCTCACGGGTAAAACAGTACCCCCCATGTACAGGTTTTATGGTGTTTTGGGAAGTTACATGATATATTTATATATCTATGTCAGTTTATACACATTGAAAATTGTCAGACTGGTTATGTTGCCTTTCAGACCAAATGGTAGCCCAGGAATGAAAATTACCCCCGTGATAGCATATCATGTTCAATAGTAGACAACCCAAGGTATTACAAACGGGGTATGTCCAGTCTATTTTAGTAGCCACTTAGTCACAAACACTGGCCAAAATTAGCGTTCATATTTTTTGTGTTAAAAATGCAAAAACTAATTTTACCACTGATTTTGGCCAGTGTTTGTGACTACGTGGCTACTAAAAAAGACTAGACATACTTTAGGTTGTCTACTTCTGTAAATGGTATGCCATTATGTGGGTAATTCTCATTTCTGGGCTACCATACGCTCTCAAAAGCAACATAACCAATCTGGCGAATTTCAAAGTAAAAAAACAGAAATGCAAAACCTTATATTTGACTGTGACCTTTGAAAACACCATAAAACCTGTACATGGGGGGTGCTGTTACACTAGGGAGACTTCGCTGAACACAAACATTAGTGTTTCAAAACCGTAAAACGGATCACAACAATTATATTGTCAGTGAAAGTACAGTTTGTGTGTGAAAAACCCTTATTTTCAGCTCTCCATGGGTCTGCCGGTGTTGGCCCTTGGTGACTATCAGAACTGCAGATTTTCAGTGCCCAGAAGGAAAGCATTGGATTGGCTAAAATCGACAAGGGGGCAGGGCCAAACACTGTTTTGGCCAATCAGCACCTCCTCATAGAGATGTATTGAAACAATGCAACTCTGAGGAAAATTCAGCGTCCCCATGCACAGAATGGAGACGCTGAACGGCAGTGCTGACTACTGTGCAGCACTGACCCAGCAAGGACCTCCAGTGGCCATCTGAGGAGTGGCCACTTGGAGGTGTCCCTAGGGGCAATGTAAACACTTCCTTTTCTCTGCAAATACAATGTTTGCATATAAATGTCTGAAGGCTGTGATTACGCTCACCAGAACAACTACATTAAGTTGTAGTTGTTCTGGTGACTATAGTGTCCATTTAAACCTTATTCACTGCACTCTGTCTGTAATATAACAGCTTATCTACTGCATTCTCTGTTAATAACAACATATCCATGCCCCATAATTGAAGGATTAAACTCACCATGATGCATAGCAGGAGACTGGAAAGGATGTGGCACTTGGGGGTGACCAGCAGCAGTGGCCGCAGCAGAAACTTGGCCTGCAGCTGTGACGGGAGACATGGGAGGAGGCGGCATTGTAGGTGGGATCCCCGGGGGCATTGAACCTGGTGGAGGGCCAGGAGGGAAAGTGGGCATTCCTGTAGATAACAAAAGAGCACTGTTAATTAAGAAGATTAGCAGATAAAAGGCATTCAGAATCAGCAGGCGGTGTATTAGAATATGAAAAAAATAAACTAAAACACATTAAAATGACAATTAAAAGGACACTCAGCCCATAGCAGTGGTTATGTTGCTAGAAGACTTATGGCACAACCCCAGTTCTGTGTCATGCGACACTGCACCACCAATAAATGCTGTCCAAAAATGACCAGAGTAACATAGAAACATAGAATGTGACGCAGATAAGAACCATTCGGCCCATCTAGTCTGCCCAATTTTCTAAATACTTTCATTAGTCCCTAGCCTTATCTTATAGTTAGGATAGCCTTATGCCTATCCTACGCATGCTTAAACTCCTTTACTGTGTTAACCTCCATCACTTCAGCTGGAAGGCTATTCCATGCATCCACTACCCTCTCAGTAAAGTAATACTTCCTGATATTATTTTTAAACCTTTGTCCCTCTAATTTAAGACTATGTCCTCTTGTTGTGGTAGTTTTTCTTCTTTTAAATATAGTCTCCTCCTTTACTGTGTTGATTCCCTTTATATATTTAAATGTTTCTTTCATATCCCCCCTGTCTCGTCTTTCCTCCAAGCTATACATGTTAAGATCCTTTTAACCTTTCCTGGTAAGTTTTATCCCGCAATCCATGAACCAGTTTAGTAGCCCTTCTCTGAACCCTCTCTAAGGTATCAATATCCTTCTGAAGATACGGTCTCCAGTACTGTGTACAATACTCCAAGTGAGGTCTCACCAGTGTTCTGTACAATGGCATGAGCACTTCCCTCTTTCTACTGCTAATACCTCTCCCTATACAACCAAGCATTCTGCTAGCATGTCCAGCTGCTCTATTACATTGTCTGCTTACATTTAAGTCATCAGAAATAATCACCCCTAAATCCCTTTCCTCAGATGTTGAGGTTAGAACTCTATCAAATATTCTGTACTCTGCCCTTGGGTTTTTACGTCCAAGATGCATTGTCTTGCACTTATCCACATTAAAGGACCACTCTAGGTACCCAGACCACTTCAGCTTAATGAAGTGGTCTGGGTGCCTGGTCCTTCTAGGGTTAACCCATTTTTTCATAAACATAGCAGTTTCAGAGAAAACTGCTGTTTATGAATGGGTTAAGCCTTCCCTATTTCTTTAGCAGCTGTCTCATTGACAGCCGCTAGAGGCGCTTGCGTGCTTCTCACTGTGATTTTCACAGTGAGAGCACGCCAGCGTCCATAGGAAAGCATTATGAATGCTTTCCTATGTGACCGGCTGAATGACCGCACATTCAGCCGACGGGGAAGAGAAGAGGAGGATCAGAGGAGGAGAGCTCTCCGCCCAGCGCTGGAAAAAGGTAAGTTTTACCCCTTTTCCCCTTTCCAGAGCCGGGCGGGAGGGGGTCCCTGAGGGTGGGGGCACCCTCAGGGCACTATAGTGCCAGGAAAATGAGTGGTCCTTTAAATGTCAGTTGCCACAATTCTGACCATTTTTCTAGTTTACCTAAATCATTTGCCATTTGGCTTATCCCTCCTGGAACATCAACCCTGTTATATATCTTAGTATCATCAGCAAAAAGACATACCTTACCATCAAGACCTTCTGCAATATCACTAATAAAAATATTAAAGAGAATGTGTCCAAGTACAGATCCCGGAGTAGCATTAGCAAACAGTAAACAGGGGTCGGCCCCAGACATTTGGGAGTTTGTGTCCAATTGCTTGATAACCAGGTTTACACAGTATTGGAAAAGAGGGTCACCATATAGGGCTGTAGCTGTTAGGGTGATTAGAATTCCCAATGATGTGATTAAAGGAAGTCCCACTCTAATCAGCATATCAATTTAAGTGAATTGGAGCTGAATGGTTAGCTTAATGTAGAGGTTCTGGTGTCTATAGCCTGTCCCTGCAAGTTTTTCAATGTAAACACTGCCTTTTCAGATAATAGGTAGTGTTTACATTTCCTCCTAGTGACAGTCACTCAGACGCCCACTAAAGGTGCTTCTGCACCAATATTCAGTGTCTCCATGCTTTGCATGGAGGCACTGAAGGTTCCCCACAGAGATGCATTCATTAAATGCATCTTTGTGATGAAATGCTGATTGATGCAGAGCATTCACAATAGCCCCCCAATACTTTCCTATGGGGAAACAGTGGATTGAGGTCATCATGCTTTATAATCTCAATCATAGAGGCGGGGTCAGTCGAGGGGAGAGCAGCACAGTGTGAGAAAAAAAAACTGTAAAAACACCATTCCCTTGCGAATGGAGGGGGGTTGGTCACCTAAACACATCCACCATGACACGCAGGCAGACATCTCCCCCACCATGACAGGCAGGCAGGCACACACACCATGACCGACAGACAGGCAGGCACACACACCATGACCGACAGACAGGCAGACACACCCACCATGACAGGCAGGCAGGCACACCCACCATGACCGACCGACCGACAGGCAGGCACACCCACCATGACCGACCGACAGGCAGGCACACCCACCATGACCGACCGACAGGCAGGCACACCCACCATGACCGACCGACAGGCAGGCACACCCACCATGACCGACCGGCAGGCAGGCAGGCACACACCATGACCGGCAGGCAGGCAGGCACACACCATGACCGGCAGGCAGGCAGGCACACACCATGACCGGCAGGCAGGCAGACACACACCATGACCGGCAGGCACACACCATGACCGGCAGGCAGGCAGGCACACACCATGACCGGCAGGCAGGCACACATACCATGACAGGCAGGCAGGCAGACACACATACCATGACTGGCAGGCAGGCAGACACACATACCATGACAGGCAGGCAGGCAGGCAGGCAGACACACCTACCATGACCGGGAGGCAGGCAGACACACCTACCATGACAGGCAGGCAGGCAGACACACATACCATGACTGGCAGGCAGGCAGACACACATACCATGACAGGCAGGCAGGCAGACACACATACCATGACCGGCAGGCAGGCAGACACACATACCATGACAGGCAGGCAGGCAGACACACATACCAAGACAGGCAGGCAGGCAGACACACATACCATGACAGGCAGGCAGGCAGGCACACATACCATGACTGGCAGACACACATACCATGACTGGCAGGCAGGCAGACCATGACTGGCAGACACACATACCATGACTGGCAGGCAGGCAGACACACATACCATGACTGGCAGGCAGGCAGACACCATGACCGGCAGGCAGGCAGGCACACACCATGACAGACAGGCAGGCAGACACACATACCATGACTGGCAGGCAGGCAGACACACATACCATGACAGACAGGCAGGCAGGCAGACACACATACCATGACCGGCAGGCAGGCAGACACCATGACCGGCAGGCAGGCAGACACACATACCATGACAGACAGGCAGGCAGGCAGACACACATACCATGACTGGCAGGCAGGCAGACACTGGCAGGCAGGCAGACACACATACCATGACTGGCAGGCAGGCAGACACTGGCAGGCAGGCAGACACACATACCATGACAGACAGGCAGGCACACATACCATGACAGACAGGCACACACCATGACATAAAGGCACATACATGATGGCAGACACACCCACAATCATACACAAAAAAAACATGTGCTACAACAATGTAAAAAAAAAAAAACTTCAATAGATGGAATAAAATTGTGCAATCAAAAAAGCAGCACGTAAAGTGCAATAGCCCATATACACACACTCTAAATACCAAATAAAGGTGCGCTGTGTCTTTGAGACCATAAAATATTTTGAGGTGCATATATATATACAAAGTGTTTTCCTGCATAAATCCTCAATACTGTGCAAAACCTTTGCCAAAGTGCATATAGTGAAAATTAGGGACTGACTGATATGGCTTTTTGAGAGTCGATACAGATAATCTGTGAACTTTCAGGCCGATAGCCGATACCATATCGATATTCTCTACACATAGACAAACAGTGAGTTACAGATACCCAGACTGCGGGTTGGAGAGGTAATAAAGGGTAAAAACCATCAATACAAGACAATAATTAGACTAATGGGAGAGAAACCCTACCTAGAAAAGAAAGGATCCCCTCCCACTGGAATTACCTCCCAGTAACTACATTCAACAGTAAAAAAACCCAAAAAAAAACACTTTATTTTGCCCATTTTCCGCCTTAGACGTTGGTAGTTTATAGCTGGGGGCTGCCTCGAAGCAGCAGGGTGTTAGGAGAGTAGGACTAAAGGGATAAGGTGGAGTACTTTTTAAATACCGGGGAAGCTATTTGGAAGGGATATCTTCTAATTATCCCGATTGTCAGACGTATACGATTAGGGATTACTCTGTGACTAAATCTATAGTTTTTTTATTTCTCTCCCTGTCCCTTAGTGTACCTCTTCTCCCCTCCCCTTAGTGTACCTCTCCTCCCCGTCCCTTAGTGTACCTCTCCTCCCCTCCCCGTCCCTTAGTGTACCTCTCCTCCCGTCCCTGTCCCTTACAGTACCTCTCCTCCCGTCCCTGTCCCTTACAGTACCTCTCCTCCCCTCCCTGTCCCTTAGTGTACCTCTCCTCCCCTGCCCTCCCTGTCCCTTCCCCTCCCCCTTAGTGTTTCTCTCCCTCCCTGTCCTTTAGTGTCTCCCCCTTACCCCCCTCTGGTGTTCCTCTCCCCGCCCTGGTGTGCCTCATTACCTCTCTTGTGGCGTGGCCAAGCGGACCACGGTAAGGGAGCCTCAGTTTCCTGTATCCAACCGGACTGACTCACTGAGCATACTGCAGCCCGCTCTGCTTGGCCATGCTACACCGAGTGAGTAGTAATGGGGGAGCACTATGCGCTTCCTGCCAGTCACTCAATTGTTGCGGCCCCATAGCCGGTGCGCCAGGCCACCACCGCCTTTCACATTAGTGGCAATATCGGTATCAATAGTGGCAGATACCGTTATTTGCCAAAATCCAGAATATCAGCCGAACCGATAATCGGTCTATCTCTAGTGAAAATAAAGCACATACAATAATATGTTGCTTAAAGGGACACTATATTCATCAAAACAACTTAAGCTTAATGAACCGGTTTTGGTGTATAGATCATGCCCTTGAAGTCTCCCGCTCAGTTCTACACCATTTAGGAGTTAAATCACTTTTGTTTCTGTTTATACAGGCGTAGCCACACCTTCTCTAGCTGTGACTCACATGCATGAAAAGAAATGGTTTCACTTTCAGTCAGATATAATTTACTTTAAATGGTATTATTTCCTGCTCTGTAAATTGAACTTTAAATACATAAAAGAGGCTCCTGCAAGGTCTAGAAAGCTATTAACAGAGCATGAGATGTGAAATTCTAAATTATACAGTATTTTCAATACAGGAAGTGTAAACATTAGATGACTCTTTGCAGGAAGTGTTGGAAGGCTGTGTAAGTCACATGCGGGGAGGTGTGACTAGGGCTGCATAAACAAAGTGATTTAACTCCCAAATGGCAGAGAATTGAGCAGTGAGACTGCAGCGGCAGGATCTATACACCAAAACGGCTTAATTGAGCTAAAGTTGTTTTGGTGACTATAGTGTCCCTTTAAAATTGCAGGCAGCTTTGTATTATCCAATTTAACTCAAAGATAAAAATACAAAAAAAAAACTAAACCAGTGTAATCCTATATATAAATAGTATATGTATTATAATGTGGAGAGCAGATGAGACTACTCTAACTTCTCAGCATGTGTAAATCACTTAGGGGGCCAATGATGCAGTAGAAGACAGCCACTAAAAGGTTTCTTGTATCGAAACGGACCTTTGGTCCGGGATCGGACGGTGGACGTCCTCACGCTCTGCATGAGGACCTTTAGCGTCAGATTTTTCCCAATAGGAAAGCACTGATTCAATGCTTTCCTACGGGGAGGTCTAATGCATGTGGCATTAGCATCCACTCATCGTGGGCTGTTAGAAGGGACAGAGTATTGACCCAGCGGTGAGGGAGCTAAAGTGCCAGGAATACAGCATTGTATTTTTAAATGTGCCAAAGACTCTATAAATTGAAACGGTCACTTCTCTGGTAGTGACAACTGTAAGCTGGATTTCCATGTTCAGAGCGACTTCGTTACACACACTGGGATCTATAGGTTAAGAACAGCACAACACAGGCTAAACTCTAGTTCAGGGATAGGCAACCTTCGGCACTCCAGATGTTGTGGACTACATCCCCCATAATGCTCTTATACCCATAATACTGCCAAAGTATAAAAGGAGGTGTAGTCCAGAACATCTGCCGTGCCGAAGGTTGCCTATGCCTGCTCTAGATGGCTATTGCCTTGTATATAAATCTCACCATGACTGTTCGAATTTAAGCACTACTATAAACAGACACACACACACACGACTCCAATATCATTTACAGCACTGGTTCCCAATCCAGTCTTCAAGTACCCCCTAACAGTCCAAGATTTAGGGATTACCCAGCTGTGTCCAAGGTATTTTTAGAAGAAAAATATATAAACCCTTTATACACAACACTTTAGGTAATCCCTAAATCCTGGACTGGGTTGGAAACCCCTGATTTATAGAGTTATTCACTAAAGTGAGAATTCAAAGTGAATTTCAAATGCAAGGACATAATAGCTAGCTTCCAGTTTGGCCTTAAAGGGACACTCCAGAGCCCTAAAGCAGTTTATCTTACTGAAATGATTTGTGTGTGAAGAGTGTGTCCTATTTATTTCATTTGCAAAAAGTGCAGTTAAAAAACAACCTCAGAGATCTGGCAAGGTGAAACAGAAGCTCAAGGCCTATCCCTTGCTGACCACCTCTGGGCTCGAGTACTTCCTAGATGAAGTGTACAGCAGTGGGGAGCCTACACCATCGAGCGACCCCTTGCCGACCCACAACAATATCCCAAGGAATATGGGGAGACGTACACAGAAAGCACAGTCCAGCCACCCAGCAGAGCAGACCGACATTGGGGCTCTACTACAGAGACAGGCACAATCCAATATGGCCGCGGAGGCTCAACAAACTCCGACAACGACCCGTGCTGCATCGCACACACCCACACAAACGGAGGATAACAGTGAGTACACCCTGACACCACCACAGGCACCACCTGACAACACACTGGCCACCAAACAGGACCTCCATAATTGGGTGCAAGACATCAAATAGACACTGGCCACAGATGTGGGCCTGCTTAAAGGGGAAGTACAAAAAGTAACTGAAAGAGTAAGGGTGACAGAGGAGAGCATCGTGAACATCCAAACAGACATAACACAAGTAAAAGAAGCGATACAACAAATGCAGACCACCCAACAGGGACTCTCCCTACAACTGTCGACCCACGAAGACCGAACTCGTCGCAACCACGTTAAAATATGTGGGGTACCCTCTGATATCACACCTGATGAACTGCCTCACTATGTGAGATGGCTCCTGGCCACCATTCTACTGCCAGCAACAGCCAGGAAGAGGCTCCTGGATGGGCTCTACAGGCTCCCACCCTCGGCTACTATGCCTAACACAACACCCAGGGATGTTATCTTACGCTGTGCCACCACACAGGACAAATCCAACATCATGTCGGCAGTACGGGACAAAACCCCCGTAGCCTTCGAAAATGCACAGCTGTTATTTTTCCAGGAGTTAACTAGAGCCACACTTCAGTGGCGCCGATCACTGACCCACTTTACCAGCCAACTGCGCTCCGCAGGGGTGCCATACCGCTGGGGTGCACCACGATCCCTGCTAATCACCCACAATGGGACTACACACAGTGTTTCCGCGCCCAAAGAAGTGCCTGCAGTGCTCACCAAGTTGGGACTACCGGACAGAAACGACACGGCAGAGACCCCTGGACAGAGATGGGACGCAGACAACACTGTACCATTCACCCCGAGAAACATGGTACCGATAAACCGAGCCACCTGAATGACAAAGGCTAGAAAGAACTCTCACAAACCACACAAGTTCCTGGAGAAGGGACGGTGTATAGGATTGCTCCAACCACGGAAGACTTATGGTTTTCTTTTAGAATGTTTCTTCTTAAAAAAAAAAAAATTTTCTCTTATGTTTATAATTACCATATTGTTATCACCTTGTTCGATATATGTCACTGCGCTACATACACCTGACAGAACACATGGCAGCGTTAACCCATAGATGACGATACAATCCGATAGTCTCACACAACGGTAGAGGAGGCAGGAACTCCACAAGCTCCCTCTCCACCCACGCCACCCCTTAGGTCAGGGGTACACCATCCTCCGGGAAACCTTAGACACACGGACGCCCAGTCCACCAAAGACCGAACACACGTTCACCTACAGCCTGACCGGGACATCCTGACATAAGACCCGCTCACATAAGACATACAGAGAAAATTTTTTTTCATATTCAACCTCAACAGTGAGCTGGGCCACCCGGCACCACGAACCGCTATGAGCCCGGAGACATAACACACCCGAACTCGACCACCACACAGCTCTCTTGACTTTTCACAATGGTCACCACCGCCTTTCACATTAGTGGCAATATCCTGGAACAACACCAACCAACACCTGTAATGCTGCACCCTTGAAAACTAAACCTGTTACCCCCCACACCACTCCTGCTGACACACATCCTTCCACCTATTGTCTTATACTAAAATTAAAAATGTGCGCAAACCTCAAATGCCATAATGTTACATTAACTGAATCGCTTGAAAATTATGACTCTTGCTGTTGTGGCAGAGTAAACATGTATGTAAACGCAACAAGAATTAAAAAAAAAAAAGTTTATAAATTATCCTTGTTACACCTCCCTGACTGTGAATCAGACACCTGGTCCTGTAACTTCCTGGATGTTTAGAACCAAGTGAAGATAAACTCAAGATACAGCAATTGCCCACAGCACATGCCTTGTAAAGACTTCTCATTGAGCTGCATTGTGAAGTCTGTGATTGGACAACCACAGAAAGTCTGGGCGGAGTTAGAAGGGGAGGACTTGCAAAGGCTGCAGGCAAGAGAACTACAGCTTTTATTAGCTGTTTTTAGATATATCCCCAATGCATGCAGGTTTTCATTGGGGTTTATCTACTTAACAGCGATTTTTATATATTTTGCATTTGAGCAGTGGTGTGTCCCTTTAAATTTGAAATTCAATTTCAAGTCTCACTTTAGTGACTAACCCTGTTATATTCATAAGCAGTGTACCTCTTATATGCAGACTCCGGTAACTCCACACTTTCCATCATATAAGTACACACAGCACAGTCAAAAAAGGATTGGAGTCATTAAGCCACTACAGGCCCCTAGATCACTATTTCAATGGAGGAATGGCATTAAATGCTAATCATTGGATTAAAAGGAACATTATTGGGCCAGGAACACAAACAGTACAGTATAATGCTTCCCCATAGGATTGGCTGAGACTGACAAGTAGGCAGATCAGAGGCAGAGCCAGCATGATTCAAACACAGCCCTGGCCAATCAGCATCTCCTCATAGAGATACATTGAATCAATGAGTAAAGTTCAGTGTCTCCATGCTAAGGTTGAAGACACTAAATGGCAGTGCTGCACACTAGACAGGACTGCCCCAGTAAGCACCTCTAGTAGCCATCTGAGGAGTGGCCAGTGGAGTGATTACTAGGCTGTAATGTAAACGCTGCATATTCTCTGGAGAAAAAAAAACTGTATACTGCAAAAAGCCTGAAGGGACGGATTACACTCACCGGAATAAATACAATAAGCTGTAGTTGTTCTGGTGACTATAGTGTCCCTTTAATGTCACACATGCATTTCTCAGCCCCAATACATTGCTGGATACAAGTTAAGTTAAATATATTTAAACGGTTATTACAACCTCAATGACCACTTCTGCTTTTAAAAGTGGCCATGGTTACAAGCCGGGCACATCGCGAGATATCTGCACTTTGTGCTGGGGGTGCAACTCTGTTTTAGCTGTTAATTCTGTGTCAACGCGCTCTGTGGGCTGGTGATAGCTGCAAACAGCTTCTTCAAATGATGTCATTGTCCGTAACGCCAGCCTCATCTCGCTCTAACTCCACCACCCAAACGAAAAAAGTTTGACTCACCTGCTGCAACTGCACTCGTTAAAGATGTAATAACAGCTGGCACAATGGGAGGAGGTGGCGCATCAGCAAAGAGTTGGTGAGGTCTGTCAGCCTGTGAAAGTGGATTTTGAGCAGCCAGAAGTCTCTCAGCTGCTGATCCGTGCCGCTCTCCCTTCGAGTCTTTCTTGAAGGCATAAGACACTGTGATGGGCCTGTTACATAAATATTGTCCATTCATAGCTTCAATGGATGCGTCTGAAGCATCAAAGCTGGCAAAGTTAATGAAAGCATAGCCCTTGGAGTTCCCAGTATCCGGGTCTCGCATGATCTTGGGGGTCTGCAGAATTACTCCAAAAGCACTGAAGGTGTCGTATAGAAGTTTTTCATCAATCTCAGGATCAAGGTTCCCAATGAAGATATTGGCTCCGACATCCAGATTCTTGTTATGGGCGGAAGCTTTATTTACTCTGATTGGTTTCCCATATAGTTTGATCATGTTCATGATTTTTATAGCATAATCTGCATCTTCCTCACTCAAAAACTCCACAAAACCGTAACCTGTGGGATAAATAATTACACTGAATTTAGACAACGGAACACATTCTTTAGGTTTCATTAACTCAAATTCAAATTATATGCTGGAGTTGGCAGTGACATCTACAGAAAGCAGGAAATGGAGACCAGCCAATTCGGTTGTGTGTTCCTCTTGCCTCACTACTCTCTTGGATGGGGGAGACCTGAGAGATGGTTCAAATGTGTTCTAGTTTTTTCCTTTTTACAAACATACCTGCATCTACAACGTACGTAATTATTCCTCACATGATTCTCTACAAAAATGTCCTTTTAACTAAACAGACTGTAAATCAGGGGGTGCATATGTTGTAGAACTACAACTCCCATGATGCATTGTATGTCTTTATAAAGTATCATAGGACTGGAAGTTTTAATACATATGGGGATCTACCTACCTTAGAGTACCCCTGCTGTGAGTGATTCATCCCATATTTAAACAGCATCTTGGAACATCCAATTCTTGTTAAGGAAGACATGAAGGGATAGTATGAAGGCCAAGGATCATCAAGATAGGAGTATAATGTGTACAAAGGTCATTTTCCATAACCCTCGTCCTTCTGTTTCCCTAATGTTTCTGCATGCTAATGAAGTATTTTCAATGCAATAGGCAAACAGGACAGAAAGAGAAATAAATCCCCCACTGCCAATGGATATGTTTCAGAATTTGTGTTAACATTTACTGAAGACATGCGCAATTTCAACTAGTGCTGCTTTTGAGATAAGTATGCATAACATACCATATATCACCATAAAACTTCAAATAACCATAAAGGATGTTAAAGGGACACTATAGTCACCAGAACAACTACTGCTTAATGTAGTTGTTCCGGTGAGTATAATCATTGCCTGCAGGCATTTTCATGCAATCACTGCCTTTTTGGAGAAAAGGCAGTGTTTACAGTGCCCCTAGGGACACCTCCAAGTGACCACTCCTCAGATGGCCACTGGAGGTGCTTCCTGGGTCAGTGCTACACAGTAGTCAGCACTGCCATTCAGCATCTCCATTCTGTGCATGGGGACGCTGAATTTTCCTCATAGAGATGCACTGATTCAATGCATCTCTATGAGTAGGTGCTGATTGGCCAAAATTGTGTTTTGCCCTGTCCCCTTGATGATTTTATCCATGCTTTCCCCATGGGAAAGCTTTGGATTGGCTAAAAATCTGCAATTCTGATTATGTCACCAAGGGAGCGGGGCCAGTGCCGGCAGACCCGCACGGCGCTGGAAATAAGGAGAGTTTTTCATGCTTTTAAGGGGGGGGGGGGTCAAGCCACCTAAATGGTGGGTTTAGCACTATAGGGGCAGGAATACATGTTTGTGTTCCTGACCCAATAATGTTCCTTTAAGGAGACACCATAATAACTTTATCTACTTTAATAGTTATGGTGCCTGGAGTCCCCTGACATTGGTTCATGGTTAAACTACAAAACACTGAATGAGAGCCCTGCTCTGCTGCTTCGACATCAGCCTGAGCAGCCACGGGTGGCAGTGATTGAGTGCATATCTTCTGCCCATCGATGGCATTTGTTGGTATGACTAAAGCTGAATGCAACTCCACCTTAGCATTACCCTCAGTGGGGACCAAGCTGCAGGTGGCTGAAACAATTTCAACACAAATGTGAACTGGCATTAGGGGACACCATGCACCGTAACTATTTAAAGTAAACATCAGTTACCAAATTGTTAATGCATTTGATTACAGTAGTATGCTGTGTTTTTTTTTGCATACACGAGAAATTATGTTTTGCATTACAAGCCGGCCTTCTTATCCACATGCCAGAATACATTACCTTTGGAAAAAAAACTAAATTATGAAGAATTGAACTATCAAAAATACAGCATATTGATGAGGCCAAAACTCAAATACATTTAAGTTGTGGTGGTCCTTGGAGTGTCCCTTTAAATGAAGAAGTGGTTATGGTGCCTATAGTGTGCCTTTAAATAGAAAGTTCACACAGTATGAGTTCATGCATTGATATCTTGACATTGCTTTATGAGGAGGAGTCAAACAATGGAAACTGTCCCAGTACAATACAAAGTAAAGAAAGCGGACAGAATTCTCAGTTTTCTCTCACCTTGGTGCTGGCCCGTAACCCTGTCTTTGGGCATGTGTGTGTTTACTACGGGTCCGGCTTGTAAGAACAGCTCCCATAGCAACGGCTCGCTCACCTTCTCATCCAGCCCACCAACATAAACAGTGGCATCTAAAAGAAAGATAAAACACATCACACATTGCTCTCACTCTGCATTATCCCACAACAAACATGCACAGTTCTCTCCCATGAAATGTGACAGCAGCATGGACAATTAAAGGAATACAAACATATATTCCCAAAGCTATAGTGTTCTCCCTGTATGTGTAATCATCAAAATATCGCAATGAGAAAAACAACAAATGTTAATTATTTGCAGACTACTGGCTACAATGCACTATAGGCCACACAATGTGGGCAGCCATATTTATGATTTAATTCAGGTGTTTCAGACTCACCCATTGCCAACAGGTTCATAAATCCTGCATAAAGCCATAGACAAACAATGGCAGGACAAAGTGTTCAGTGACTTTAAATGTGGCGCCGTCATAGGATGCCACCTTCACTACGTCCTGCCAATTCTAAGTGCTATTACTGTGAAGTGGATGTATCTAAAGGCAGCAACAGCCCAGCAATGAAGAGAGATAGTAAGAGGGTAACCCGATTACTGAAGCGCGTTAAAATGACCAATTACGCAGAACAGGCTTCCCCAAACTCCGGCCCTCCAGATGTTGCTGGACTACATCGCCCATAAGCCTCGGCCTATTTCATTCATAGAATCATGGGGGGCCCGAGTTTGGGGGCCCATGGTGTAGACCAGGCACAGGCAACCTTCGGCACTCCAGATGTTTTGGACTACACCTCCCATGATGCTTTGCCAGCATTGTGGGTGTAAGAGCGTTATGGGGGATGTAGTTCAAAACATGTGGAGGGCTCCCTGCAAGCTGGCGGTATTCACTCACCGCTGCCTGGAGTAGTGGAGGCAGGGAGAGGAGACCAGCGGGCACCAGGTTAGAGGTGAAACGGGGAGGGGAGACAGCGATACCCGGGGAGCCCCCCCTCCTCCATCGCGCTCACCCTGATTTCTCTCCGAGATCGGACCGGCCGCCATCTTCTCTCAGTAACTGAACGCACACTGCGCGCTCCGCTACCAACTTCCGGCACGTCACTTCCGCTCCGGCCGGTTTCTTCCTTCAATGTGAACAACTTTATCAATATGAACATTGTGAGCATTGTATTCACTGACAGCATGTAAACATCACTGAGCCCTGACACACACACACACTGTGTGTAATAATAATAACAATAATAACCCAACAGTGTGTAATAATAATAACCAGACAGTGTGTAATAATAATAATAATAACCAGACAGTGTGTAATAATAATAATAATAACCAAACAGTGTGTAATAATAATAACAATAATAATAATAACCAGACAGTGTGTAATAATAATAATATCATTACCAGACACAGTGTATAATAATAATAATAATAATATCATTACCAGACAGTGTATAAGAATAATAATATTATTACCACACAGTGTATAATAATAATATTACCATACAGTGTATAATAATAATATAATTACCACACAGTGTATAATAATAATATTACCATACAGTGTATAATAATAATATAATTACCACACAGTGTATAATAATAATAATAATAATATCATTACCAGACAGTGTATAATAATAATAATAATACCACACAGTGTATAATAATAATAATAATACCATACAGTGTATAATAATAATATCATTACCACACAGTGTATAATAATAATAATAATAATATCATTACCAGACAGTGTATAATAATAATAATAATACCACACAGTGTATAATAATAATAATAATACCATACAGTGTATAATAATAATATCATTACCACACAGTGTATAATAATAATAATAATAATATCATTACCAGACAGTGTATAAGAATAATAATATTACCACACAGTGTATAATAATAATATTACCATACAGTGTATAATAATAATATAATTACCACACAGTGTATAATAATAATAATAATAATAATATCATTACCAGACAGTGTATAATAATAATAATAATACCACACAGTGTATAATAATAATAATACCATACAGTGTATAATAATAATATCATTACCACACAGTGTATAATAATAATAATAATAATATCATTACCAGACAGTGTATAATAATAATAATAATACCACACAGTGTATAATAATAATAATAATAATACCATACAGTGTATAATAATAATATCACTACCACACAGTGTATAATAATATCATTACCAGACAGTGTATAATAATAATACCACACAGTGTATAATAATAATAATATCATTACCAGACAGTGTATAATAATATTACCACACCGTGTATAATAATAATAATAATAATCATTACCAGACAGTGTATAATAATAATAATAATATCATTACCAGACAGTGTATAATAATAATATTACTACACAGTGTATAATAATAATAATAAATATCATTACCAGACAGTGTATAATATCATCATTACCAGACAGTGTATAATTATATCATTACCATACTGTGTATAAAAATAATAATAATATTACCATACAGTGTATAATAATAATAATATTACCAGACAGTGTATAATAATAATAATAATATTAACATACAGTGTATAATAATAATGTAATAATATCATTACCAGACAGTGTATAATTATATCATTGCCATACAGTGTATAATAATAATAATAATAAATAATAATAATATCATTACCATACAGTGTATAATATCATTACCACAGTGTATAATAATAATAATATCATTACCACACAGTGTATAATAATATCATTACCAGTGTATAATAATAATATCATTACCAGACAGTGTATAATAATAATAATAATATCATTACCAGACAGTGTGTAATTATAATATAACCATACAGTGTATAATAATAATAACATTACCACACAGTGTATAATAATATTACCAGACAGTGTATAATAATATTACCAGACAGTGCATAATAATATCATTACCATTACCATACATTGTATAATAATAATAATAATAATATCATTACCAGTGTGTAATTATATTACCATACAGTGTATAATAATAATAATATTACCACACAGTGTATAATATTACCAGACAGTGTATAATAATATCACCATACCGTGTATAATAATAATATCATCATTACCAGACAGTGTATAATAATAATAATATCATTACCAGACAGTGTATAATTATATCATTACCATACAGTGTATAATAATAATAATAATATCATTACCATACAGTGTATAATTATATCATTACCATACAGTGTATAATAATAATAATAATATCATTACCATATAGTGTATAATATCATTACTACACAGTGTATAATATTACCAGTGTATAATATCACCATACCGTGTATAATAATATCATCATTACCAGACAGTGTATAATAATATCATTACCATTACCAGACAGTGTATAAATATAATATCATTACCAGACAGTGTATAATAATAATAATATTACCACACAGTGTATAATAATAATAATAATAATATTACCACACAGTATAATAATAATAAATATCATTACCAGACAGTGTATAATAATATCATTACCATACAGTGTATGATAATAATATCATTACCGGACAGTGTATTATAATAATAATAATACCATACAGTGTATTATAATAATAATAATAATACCATACAGTGTATAATAATATCATTACCAGACAGTGTATAATAATAATATAATAATATCATTACCAGACAGTGTATAATTATATCATTACCATACAGTCTATAATAATAATAATAATAATAATAATACCACACAGTGTATAATAATATCATTACCAGTGTATAATAAGAATATTGCCAGTGTATAATAATAATACCAGACTGTGTATAATAATAATAATAATAATAATAATACCAGACAGCGTGTAATAATAATAATAATATCATTACCAGACAGTGTGTAATTATAATATTACCATACAGTGTACAATAATAATAATATCATTACCACACAGTGTATAATATTACCAGACAGTGTATAATAATATTACCATACCGTGTATAATAATAATATCATTACCAGACAGTGTATAATAATAATATTACCAGTGTGAACTATTATTAATAATAATAATATCATTATCAGTGTATAATAATAATAACAAAATTACCACACAGTGTATAATAATAATATCATTACCAGACAATGTATAATAATAAATATCATTACCAATGTGTGATAGGAAGATATTATATTATATAAACCCACTCTGTAACACACTGCAATCGCAGTACATTGTATCACTGTGTATTATATAAATGATTTAATAATATACAAGCAGTGTGATAGGACCAATAAAGAGATTATATTATATAAACCCACTCTGTAACACACTGCAATCGCAGTACATTGTATCACTGTGTATTATATAATGATTTATTAATATACAGTGTGATGGACCAATAAAGAGATTATATTATATAAACCCACTCTGTAACACACTGCAATCGCAGTACATTGTATCACTGTGTATTATATAATGATTTATTAATATACAGTGTGATGGACCAATAAACAGATTATATTATATAAACCCACTCTGTAACACACTGCAATCGCAGTACATTGTATCACTGTGTATTATATAATGATTTAATAATATACAGTGTGATAGGACCAATAAAGAGATTATATTATATAAACCCACTCTGTAACACACTGCAATCGCAGTACATTGTATCACTGTGTATTATATAATGATTTATTAATATACAGTGTGATGGGACCAATAAAGAGATTATATTATATACACCCACTCTGTAACACACTGCAATCACAGTACATTGTATCACTGTGTATTATATAATGATTTATTAATATACAGTGTGATGGACCAATAAAGAGATTATATTATATATACCCACACTGTAACACACTGCAATCACAGTACATTGTATCAATGTGTATTATATAATGATTTATTAATATACAGTGTGATAGGACCAATAAAGAGATTATATTATATAAACCCACTCTGTAACACACTGCAATCACAGTACATTGTATCACTGTGTATTATATAATGATTTAATAATATACAGTGTGATGGGACCAATAAAGAGATTATATTATATACAAATTCCACCTAACACACTGCAATCACAGTACATTATACGTGTATTATATAATGATTTATTAATATACAGTGATGGACCAATAAAGAGATTATATTATATATACCCACTCTTGTAACACACACTGCAATCACAGTACATTGTAATACCGTGTATTATATAATGATTTAATAATATACAGTGTGATAAGACCAATAAAGAGATTATATTATATAAACCCACTCTAACACACTGCAATCACAGTACATTGTATCACTGTGTATTATATAATGATTTATTAATATACAGTGTGATAGGACCAATAAAGAGATTATATTATATAAACCCACTCTGTAACACACTGCAATCACAGTACATTGTATCACTGTGTATTATATAATGATTTATTAATATACAGTGTGATAGGACCAATAAAGAGATTATATTATATACACCCACTCTGTAACACACTGCAATCACAGTACATTATATCACTGTGTATTATATAATGATTTATTAATATACAGTGTGATGGACCAATAAAGAGATTATATTATATATACCCACTCTGTAACACACTGCAATCACAGTACATTGTATCACTGTGTATTATATAATGATTTAATAATATACAGTGTGATAGGACCAATAAAGAGATTATATTATATATACCCACACTGTAACACACTGCAATCACAGTACATTGTATCAATGTGTATTATATAATTATTTAATAATATACAGTGTGATAGGAACAATAAAGAGATTATATTATATAAACCCACTCTGTAACACACTGCAATCACAGTACATTGTATCACTGTGTATTATATAATGATTTATTAATATACAGTGTGATGGGACCAATAAAGAGATTATATTATATAAACCCACTCTGTAACACACTGCAATCACAGTACATTGTATCACTGTGTATTATATAATGATTTATTAATATACAGTGTGATGGACCAATAAAGAGATTATATTATATATATACCCACTCTGTAACACACTGCAATCACAATACATTGTAGCACTGTGTATTATATAATGATTTAATAATATACAGTGTGATAGGACCAATAAAGAGATTATATTATATATACCCACTATGTAACACACTGCAATCACAATAAATTGTATCACTGTGTATTATATAATGATTTAATAATATACAGTGTGATAGGACCAATAAAGAGATTATATTATATACACCCACTCTGTAACACACTGCAATCACAGTACATTGTATCACTGTGTATTATATAATGATTTATTAATATACAGTGTGATAGGACCAATAAAGAGATTATATTATATAAACCCACTCTGTAACACACTGCAATCACAGTACATTGTATCACTGTGTATTATATAATTTCTCTCTACTGTTTCCAATTTGTCTATTTTCCCTAAAAAGCTAAATTCTCTGGTCAGTTTCTGAATGTTGTACAATAAGCAGGGAAAGTTAATTTGCACAAAATGCCCTGTCTGTGCCTTTTCAGAAGGCAGTTGTTATATCAAAGCTACTTACAGGGGTGATTCTTCTTACATAAAGATTTAGAGGAGACTCCTATTTTGCTTGAATTACAACGTTATGTGATCTATTCCTTACATTCAGAAGATGAATGGCACATTTTTTAGGTTTCCCTTTTTGACAAATTCGAAGACAGTCAACACATTAAACAGCACAAGTTTTATTATAAATATCATTTTAGGCTTAAGATAAAATATTACTACAAAAATATACAAATCATTTCCCTCTATCAAACCGATGTGTGCGTCATCTCGCGGAGCTGCAGTCGGCATTCATGGATTGGTAGATATTTATTTTTGTTTTACAGAAACACTTAACAAAATTAAAAAAAATTAAACACTATACAACAAACAAACAGGAAATAACTTGCATGTTCGACGCAAAGGCTGGATTTTAGAACTGATCAACTGATCATCAAATGTGACACAATAAACGTGGCAACCAAGGAATCGTCCTGCAGATTTATATACTTCTAAAACGTTCCCTGAAATCTGCTCTAACCCCCTCACCCCTCTTTATTTAAATGTTGAAATAAAATAGAAAACAAGTGTTAGGAAAAAACCAAACAACGTATATAAATTATTGCTCACACAGTAAAACACGGCCGTAAAATGATGTGGACATGATTAAATAAGAGATATAGCTCTATCTAAAATATTCCAGAATAACTGGGGCTTTTGCGAAATGTAAGATCCTTAGAAAGGGAAACATACTTCGAAACGCGTCAGGTCAACTAACTGGTGTTGCTTCCCCTTTATGGTCCCATACGGCACAGATTGGGTATGGGAAGGCCCATGTAAGTGGCTTTTGGCACACTCAGAGAAAAGATTGAGACAACAAGTAATTTTGGTTCTAAAAGGGAGCAATCACCATAGGAACCAGTGGCATGTTCCCCCAGATTGCTCTACAGCCAAAGTAATTGCCATAGATACCAATGGAATGTTAGTGCTGATTTCTCCAGCACAAGCAGTCGTCATGGAAACCAATGCATTGTTCCTACTTTTTGCTGAACTTTTAACACTTTGCTCCAGAATTACTCTTTTTATAGAACCCTGTAGGTTCAATAGAAAAGTGGCAAAAAAAAAAAAAACAACCAACAAATGAAAGAATGAAAGTGCTTATCTCCCATTTATCATTATCTTCCCTGCCTTACAAACGCGGCCATAGAATTCACAGGAGCATCAGGACTGAATTCAAGGTATTTAATGCTGGAGTGTATGCTGAGACCAGATAAAATAAAATCTAGTTATGGATACCTATCCCATGTACATGTCACTAGGTAATGAGTAAGTATTCACTGTGTTGAATTGTCCACTTTTAAAGGAACAGCATAGTGTCAGGAATACAAACATTGTGCTGGGTCGGCTGATTAGGGACCAGCCCCTCATCTGTGCAGTGAAATGTTTTTTTAACTCACCTTTTGTACAACACCGTATCTGTCTCGCCACGGCTGACCCCCACCCTCTATGGCTGAGATCATCAATCTATGATCTCAGCCAATCCAATGCTTTGGGGAGGCTAATGTGCATGTGTGGCAAAACGCCGCGTTTTGCCAATCAGCATATCCTCATAGAGATGCATTGAATCAATGGGGAATGTTTAGCGCCTCCATGGAGAGCGTGGGGCACTGGACTAGGAAGCTCCCCTAGTGGCCGTCTGAGTGACTGCCACTAGAGGTGTTACTAGGCAGTAACGTAAACATTGCCTTTTCTATAAAAAAAAAGTCAGCGTTTACATTAAAAAGCCTATAGACACTAGGACCACTACATTAAACTGTAACTATAGTGTCCCTTTAATTATTTACTCAAACATACTTCCTTGCATTTCATATGGCCGGAGCTATTCTAGGGCTTTCAACTTGTTTCATGACCTACTGATAACTATTTCTGGAAGATGTAAGTTATAAAAAGAACAATGTATCTTATTTACACAGACTGATTACTAAACACATTTATTGTAGACACATTACTGGGAGTATTATTACTGTGGAGCTCTGTTATACACTCAGACACATTACTGGGAGTATTATTGCTGTGGAGCTCTGTTATACACTCAGACACATTACTGGGAGTATTATTGCTGTGGAGCTCTGTTATACACTCAGACACATTACTGGGAGTATTATTGCTGTGGAGCTCTGTTATACACTCAGACACATTACTGGGAGTATTATTGCTGTGGAGCTCTGTTATACACTCAGACACATTACTGGGAGTATTATTGCTGTGGAGCTCTGTTATACACTCAGACACATTACTGGGAGTATTATTGCTGTGGAGCTCTGTTATACACTCAGACACATTACTGGGAGTATTATTGCTGTGGAGCTCTGTTATACACTCAGACACATTACTGGGAGTATTATTGCTGTGGAGCTCTGTTATACACTCAGACACATTACTGGGAGTATTATTGCTGTGGAGCTCTGTTATACACTCAGACACATTACTGGGAGTATGATTGCTGTGGAGCTCTGTTACACTCAGACACATTACTGGGAGTATTATTACTGTGGAGCTCTGTTATACACTCAGACACATTACTGGGAGTATTATTGCTGTGGAGCTCTTTTACACACTCAGACACACCAACAATATAAAGCTCCCAGAAAAGAGGGACAGAGGGATTTGGGCCCAAAATAGGGACTCTCCTTCTTAAATAGGGTCACTTGGGAGGTATAAGCCTGAGAATTCAGAGCAAAATGTAATTCTCTGAAACCTGAAATGGAATGTCAGTGAGATGGAGAATAGATCCCATTTTATCAATAAGTAATAAATAAATGGAGAGGTCTTTTCAGAAACAGTTCGAGCTGCTAGTACGGTTATAAAATACAGTAAAATGGCAAACCAAACCCTAAATAAAGAGAACTGTCACCTCAAAACTATTTTTATAATCTAATAATCCTTTCATCAAGTATTCAAAGGAAATAGAAGATTTTAAAAATCTAGTCTGAAGATTCTATCCTAAAGAAAAGCTCTATTCATGTCTATAAATAAGACATATATGCTGGATAAGTTTTGAGCCAACTTCCAACAGGCTCAACAACTTGTGAGTGGTTTCAGCTCTTCCTTATTTATTTTTTATATTTCGTACAGATTACACTATGTTGTGTTATTTGTCTTATTGTATTTCCATATAGATTATTTCCATCATTACATACGTCCTGTTCAAGCATATACCAAGGTCGTCTATTTTTGGTTATCATAACTGTTTATATTACAGGTAACCTTATTTTGGTATTGTGTGTGCGCTTTTACCTTTTTTTCACTATATCTTGGTCTTTCAGTATATGTGGTGACAATATACTTTGGTATTTTAGCTGCACCGTTTGTTTTCCTTTAAGCGCAACCTATATTTTTTGTATTATCTATAAAAAGAGAAATGTGTTGGAGTATTCAGAGAAGAGCTGAATGAGAGGGATTCAGAGCAATCCTACTGAGAATCAATTTCCCCTTTACATATTACTGATGCAATATGGCAGCTCTCCTGCGCTTTACGCAGTACAAACAATGCTAATAACGCAAATAACACACGATAAAAGGGGGCGGGAGAGTGCCCTGTCCATTGTTTTTACCCTATGATTAATACTATTTCTTATAAATTATTACTTTTTGTTCATTAATATTATTTATACATTTAATTATTTACAAATAGAAAGAAGTATAACATATAAATAATGCCTATACTTTGCTTTAACCCTTACAATGCCCATGGGATGTTAAGGGCTACAAGCACTTTGGCACTCTAGGGGTTACAGTGAGTCCTATTATTTCGATGATGCCATTTAGTCTCTGGCAGAATATTTTTCTTTGGAGGACAGAGAGAGAGAAAGGGTCCGTCATTTTTGTAACCGTGTACATTAACCCCTTAAGGACCAAACTTCTGAATAAAAGGGAATCAAGACATGTCACGTGTCCTTAAGGGGTTAAGTGGCTACAAATTGCCTGAAAAACGGTTCCAATTGTAAAATGCCTAAAACCGTGATCTCTAGTCTTGTGTTTGGTTCATATATGGTCGTGGAGAAATGGCAGCAGCTCAGTAATACTAAGTATTTCACACTACATATGTAAGCAGCAAAGATTCTTGTCTGTATTCCCATAGGTGTGAACAAGCCAAAGTCTAAATATACGGTTGTACCGGCCTCACAGATCTAAATTGGAATTCACACAACCAGTGGGAGAAGCAAAGTGCAAGGATCCCATGTTTCATTATCTTCATGTGAGATTAATTTCCTGGCCATTCCACCGCTCCCGGGACTGTTCTCCAGTCATTCGTAGAGACATTTCCAGACCCACATGAGATTGCAGGCTTTCCACCAGGTCGCGAGGAGTGGACTGGGATTATTCCACTGATACGCCCTTTGAGATGCCTAAATGATTTCGACCAGGCCTGTTATCGGATTGATGAGCGGGCCACGCCATTTATGTTGTGTTTAGAGTTTATGTGATGGTTTCTCAGTTTCTCCTGGAGAGATTTTACCTCCTTGGCCAAGTCAACGAGAGTTGGAGGTGGCGTGTGTATCTGGCCAGAACCAAAGACAACAGCACAGAGAGTTAAAATACTAGACAAGACTTTTGGTTGTATGTACTTGTAAGTTCTGTGTATGTTACATAGCTCTTCCTCCCTCACTACTCCTTCTGTTAGCCTTATCCCCACCATCCTATCTATATATGCCACTAGATACAGCTGATGATTAAAAGGGACACTATAGTCACCCGAACAACTACAGCTTATTGAATTTGTTCTGGTGAGTAGAATTGTTACCTTCAGGCTTTTTTGCTGTAAACACTGTCTTTTCAGAGAAAAAGCAGTGTTTACATTACAGCCTAGTGATAACTCCACTGGCCACTCCTCAGATAGCGGTTAGAGATCCTTCCTGGGTCATGGTTGCCTAAAATGCATCCAAACATTCATTGATTCAATTAATCTCTATGAGGAGATGCTGACTGGCCAGGGCTGTGTTTGAATTGTGCTGGCTCTGCCCCTGATCT